GCGGGGTGACACTGTAATAGGATCAATGCCGTCTATCTTGAAGCCAGGCCATGTAGAAACAGAATAAAAGATCAATAGAGCATATCTGAGAGGGAAAGATTCAAAATGAAAGGCAAATCAAAGCAATACAAGGCTCTTTAGCATGTATAGATACAAAATACCTAGCTTTCACCCCGAGTCCCGCGGGCGAGATGTATTATGTAATCGCTCCGCTTGGGGAATCCCGCGGTGGACTTCACAACTTCTTCATCCGCTTGTTCTCACATTTTCCTGCGATTCTTCAAATTGTTACTTTAGTCTTGCTTTTATTGTTGACTAGGGTTACAGTTTTTCCCTGACTGACTCTCTTATTGCTTTATTTACTGCTCACTCTTTTATCATGGCTGACCCAGAGGATGGAGATGATCTCTTTGCTGATCTGTATGTCTTCCACTTTACTCTTCAATACCAAAATTCTAATCAGGTTTTTTTTTTTTTTTCTTTTTAGCTACGATGCCGACGAGTCTACCAACCGTACTACTGCAGCAGTTGAGGCACCGAAGCCTACTGATGTAGGCGCGACTAACCCTGCGCCTGCTGGAGAATCTGCTGGTCAAGATTTTACACCTGCCCCTATTGGCACATACGAATCGCACCCTGCCCAGCCTTCCGAATTCGATCAGGGTTATCACAATGGCTCCGGAAACGCTTATGGTGCCCCTGCCACTACCCAGGCCCCCCCTCCTGCCGAGACCGAATCTCACGGAACAGGGATCAAAGAAGACGGGTAAGTCCACTAATTGCGTTTCTTTTACATCTTTGTGTTCGGATCATACCCCAATCGCATGTATCTGTCTGGTTTTGGGCTTTACCCCGTTGGTACAAGCCTAGGTGGTTCCAATTGCTATTCATGGGTTTCGACTACAATTCTGGGTGCAGGAAGGAGTCTCCTAGCTACGGGTTGAAATCTCTCTGGGACGTGGACTGTGGGCTGTTTGAGGAAAAATTTGCCGGATGACTGGTGGCGCATGCATTTTCAAAGGAGGGAAAACAATTTGCGGACTCTGCGACCAATCAACATTCCTGTTCGAGGAACCATCACACAACCACCACCATCTACCAAAAGCAATTTACAATCATATATTGGCATGCCCCAGCATTCGCTCCACGGAGTCATACGGAGGCTCAAAGAGCACATTACGCGGAGCCCCCTCATGAAGAAAATTGCTTTCCCAAACCAACCACACGCCACCCGCGGACCTTTGTCACCAACGATTCATATATAGTACAGCCGATACTATATAGTTTCCTGTCGATATACCTTGATAGGGCAGAGCAAGAAGTAGCTATCTAGCTTGGTACTCTGTGTTAGACAAGGCAAAGGTTTTCACGGGTCAGACAGACAGACAGTGACAATTCACTTTTTACGACTGAAATACTTGCACCTCCACGCTTCTCATCTCGCCTGTTTCCGGCTTGAGCAATCCAGAAAGAGAGGGACATGAATTGTGCATCCAAGCTCATGTAAACCAGTGGGCTTGACGTTAAATCCCGGTCATGAACATTACAAGTATACATCGACAGTGATTACGAGGTACAAATACCATGTACCGGCCTAGCATGTGCCCTGCTTGTTCTAGGACAATGTGCTCGGAATAGCGAGACTTTTCGCTCACTCGACTAGCCCATGAATAGCAATATCTGGCCACCCACCTTTGCACATTGATCTGCTTTTTTTTTGTCTACCCATTATCATATCTATCGCATTACCTTCTCCATCGTGTTGCTCACTATCATACACCGAGGCGTTCCGTTTTTTCATTTTTGCCGTGAACCCTCACTGACCGTTGATGATGTGATTATTAGAAAGATGTTCATTGGCGGTCTGAACTGGGAAACTACAGACGGTATGGATATAAATCTTTGCTGCACGGAAACCCGTCACTCGGCTGACATATCTTGATCTTCATTTAGAATCCCTTCGTGACTATTTCTCTCAATTCGGCGAGGTTCAGGAGTGCACCGTCATGCGCGATAGCGCTACTGGGCGCTCTCGAGGCTTTGGGTTTTTGACTTTCCGTGACGCTAAGACTGTCAACACTGTAATGGTGAAGGAGCATTATCTGGACGGAAAGATTGTAAGAACTATCCCGCGATCGGGACAATTGGGAAGTAACCCGTTGCTGACAACATCGAAGATTGATCCCAAGCGTGCTATCCCCCGCGACGAACAGGAGAAGACTTCTAAGATTTTTGTTGGTGGTGTTAGTCAAGAGGCTACCGAGCAGGACTTCAAGCAGTTCTTTACTCAGTTTGGCCGTGTTGTTGATGCCACTCTTATGATGGACAAGGACACCGGACGTCCCCGTGGTTTCGGATTCGTCACTTTTGACGGCGATGCTGCTGTTGAGAAGGCTCTCTCCCGCCCTCTTGAGATTTTGGGCAAGCCAATTGAGGTCAAGAAGGCCCAGCCCCGTGGCAACCTGCGTGATAACAACGATCAACGTGGTGGCGGCCACCGCAGCGGGGGATACCGCGACCAAAACCAGAACGATGGAGGTCAGCAGCAAGCCGCTCAGCAGGGACAGGGTAGTTCGATGACTCCTCAGATGATGGCCCAATACTGGCAACGCATGCAACAGTACTTTACCATGATGCAGCAGTCGATGGCCGCCGGTCAGGGAGGAATGCCCGGCATGGGCATGAACCCCGCTATGAACATGAACCCTGCTATGATCGCGCAGATGCAACAAATGCAGCAGATGCAGATGCGCCAGCAGCAACAGCAAATGGGTGCCCAGCAGCAAGGTACTATGAGCCCCGGCCCTCAGAGCCCTGGCTCCCAGCAGGCTATGCCCAACATGATGAACCCCGCTATGATGCAGCCCAATCAAGCCAACGTTCCCGGTGGTCCAGGCAGCGATTGCGCCAGCCCCGTTCCCAACGCAGCCGCTATGGCCGCCAACTACAGCAACGGAGCTGGAACCCCAGCCAGAGGACAGACTGGACCTGGCTACAACGCCACCGAGCAGATTGCCTTCGAGCAGCAAAAGTATGAGCAGCAGCAGATTAACCGCTCAATGGACCCCCGCGGTTTCTCGCCTTACCAGCAGCAGGGTGGCCCAACTTCGTGGGAGGGCATGTACGATGAAGTTCCTCAACCTCACGTCCCGACCGGACCAGCAGGTATGAGACGCATTGGAAGTTCGGGTAGTGGTATGTGATTCTTACGAGTTTCTGCATATTGTTTCCCTTTCATCTCAATTCCATTCCTATTGTTTTTGTTCACTTTAACTAATTTAAAACAGGAACCACTCCTCAGCCCCAGGGCACTGCTCCCCCCAATGCTCCCACAGGACCCCGTAACGCCGGCAAGCCTGGCGCGAACTACCGTGGTGGTGGTCGAGGTGGACACCGTACCTTCCACCCCTACCAGCGCTAAGCTGCTCGCTGTGGCTACCAAGTGACGCATCTAGTCTCTTCCCATTTCAGATCCGATTTCGTTTCTTTCATGTGTTTTTTAAGTCTTTTTTTACCTGGGGCCAGCGAATTTGGGCCCCATGGATTGATAATTGCGTGGTCGCCAGCGAAGATGAGGCTGGGGCCCGGCGAACTGGTTGTATTTGCGATTTCCATACTCTTTGTCTGCACTTCAAGGTTGTCTCTGGTTCGGTGCTTTCGTGGGCGGGGCTTTTGTCCCCTAGTGTCGAGGTCTGGGATATCAAGGCTGCGCCAAGGTTTCTCGTGCTAACCGGGTGGGAAATTGTTTGGTTATCGGTGAAAGCGAGTCTTCAATCTTGTTCAAGCTCGTTGATACACTACTTTTTGTTGTGATATTAGCCTCACAATCAAGGGTCAAAAGTGTTCATTCAAGAATTTCCACTATAGATAGTCTTGTAGGCGATAGGGTGTAGGGCATAGGATTTTCGTTGCTGGATAGCTAGAAATTTTAAAAGAGCTACAGGGTCGAGGCTCCCTGGTCATGGATGCTATTTATGGGCGGGAGCCTAGTCAAGCCACGCGGGGCTATTATGTGTACTTAAATTAACATCCTGGGAGTTGTAAACACTTCGGATACATATCTATGTCCTCTTGAGATCAGAATCGCTATGCCTATGATATGGTGATCAAATCAATGGATGGGTTCCAAGTTGTCTTTCAGATAGGGCCAGGCAATCCACGTGACTTCAAAGCGATTGCCTAGGTAGTGACCTATATAGGAACAGCTCTAGCACCACAACACTTAGTTATAATTTATCGCTACTTCAATACCATACACACTTTTCTATTCTTCCTTAATACTACGTATTTATCCTTCATTGATAGACAGTATGGGCCCTGCCGATCCTTTGGTAACCATGCAAAATGCAAGCCTGGGCTGCAGGTCCACGGGTGTTCACAAACCCATTGTCAGGTTTACTACCTTACATTGTAAGCACCCAGCTTCTAACTAACACGTTAGGGAGATATATTATTCAAGATTACCAAGGAACCTCTTCATGGGTCTGCTTGGTTACAGATATAGACGACACTGCTCTCTTAGTTACTCTATATAACTATATATATATCCTCTATCTCGCTTTCCCCACACATATCAATGTTCGTCCGTGAGAGATTCTTGAGCTGCAACATACTCATCTTGGATTACAAGACTACGAACAAAACATAGGGACTAAGAAACTTGATATAGAAGAAATGCTCATCAAGTGCAAGCTGTAATATAAATGATAGATGGTAAAGATGATAAGGAATGAGGTATGTATAGAGACAAGATGAAAAATGAATGGATGGAAATGATATCACACAAGAAGATGCATCTAAAGGCGGGAAAATCAATCAATGCCCCGCCGTTTTCAAGCACACGCTAAAAATCGTCAAAGTAACTCCCAAGCCACAACGCGTGTGCCCGATCTAAGAATGTCAAGGAAGGTAAAAATATGAAGCAAGAAGAGTTGTAACGTCATGTCGAGTCTGTGACGCTTTCGTCGGTTTTTTTTTGTTGCTTTTTTTTTTTTCTTTTTTTAATATGCCATCCCATAGCCCGGGGCTGCGGGACGACGGCCTTCGAGAGAGCTTCGCGAGTGGTGGCTGTCGGGGCTATTACTGCGCCCGTGTGCCACGCCGTAATCATTGCGGACTAGGCCATCGCGTTCGTCGCTGCCAGTTGGTCTGTCTCGCTTAGGTTCGTCTCGGTAAGACTCGTACGGGCCGGTGAAGTTGAAGTTGCTCATCTCGGCGTATTCCTTGCGCTGCGGGTGGTCCATAAGGAGGGAGTCGCGGGCGTCTAAGGGAGTCAGATCGTCGAGGTCGCGGTTTGCTTTTTCTATAAGAAAAGGATTGTTAGTATATATACATGCTGGGATAGAGCTTGTATCATAGGATAGCTTTGACTTACCAGCTTCTCTTCTCCGCTTTTCATGTGGGTTCTCGCGGCAGCAATTGATAATGGCATTGACTGCGATGAGAATTGCGAGGACGGCAGTGAGAGTGGACTGCACGACAATGAGGACGACACCAGTGACGGTTTTTGTTGTTTGGGAAAGACCAAGTTCTTCGACGAAGACCAGGACGCAAACAATAGACAGAACACGGACGACCTGGACGGCGATGTTGATTCCCATTGATGCCTTCGTGGCATAGGGGCGGCTCCACACCAAGAGTCCCAACAGAAGGATTTCGCAAGCGAGCTGGCCAGCACTTTGGAATAGACCGTGTCCCTCGCCACCGGCGATAATGCAGCCCTTGACCAGAGCGTACACCATGACGGGGATGAAAAGCCACCAGAAGTCCTTCTTGTAGTTATCGTAGAACAGACTGTACTTTTTCCAGGTTTCCTTGTCCTCGTACAGACGAGAGGTATCTCCCTCTGCCTTCTTGTACTTACGAGCCATGTAAACAATGCGAACGGCGAAGAAAAGAAGAACCGCGGTGAAGATAGAAAGGGTTATGGCAGCCAGCGTCTTTGCTGCCCACGAATCACCCTTTCGCAGTTGGTAGACACAGTATAGCACCCAGATACTGTAAAGCACAAGGATCATGTTGGTGATTGTCCGCGCCATCAAGCCCCAATAATCTTTCCGGAAGTCGGACAGCTTGTTGGGGAAGTTTCCATAGAGCGCCCACAGTTCCAGGACAACCTTCATCAAAAGAATACCGACAACAACCACAGCGATGACGATGGCGAAGATCAAGAGAACAGTCATGAAGATATCGGCAGATGGAACCATCAGATCTTGAGCGAGTTGCTTCATGTCGCTAACCGTGCTCGAAGAAGAACTTTCCTCACTGTCCGAAGAGCCACTTTCCTTACTGTCCGAAGAGCTCTCCGTAACACTAGGATCGGCAGAGGCTTCAATCGAGCGAGGGACCATCTCGCCGAATTCGATGGTGTAATCCCAGCTCCGTTTCGTGTTGGTTGATGTTGTATTGGTTGTGTTGGTAGAGGATGAGCTACTGCGCGCGATAGAGGCCTTCTTCAGGTAATCATAACTTTCCGTAGTCAAGTTACCGCCAGTGGCCTCGCGGAATTTGTCGATGGACTGCAGCATGCCAGGCCAAGGGATCAAACCAGTACTCCACAAGAAGTTGGAGGAGAAGCTGCGATAGATGGGGGGATAGGAGACACTGAGCATGCCATTGGTAGCCATAGAATGGAACAATCCCATCACGTCGCCAAATCCAGGGCTAGATGACGGTGTTCCAACACTTCCCGCCGAACCAAGAGCCGAGACACCGCTCAGTGCAAGAGCGCCTGCCGCAATTCCGGCCGAGACATATTTGACCGCGCCAACCTCGGCGGAGTGGCCATTGGATAAGTGAGATTCGATACACGCCACGTTGTTGTTGTTTTCCTTGGATTTAAGGACAAGCTTTGCCTGGCCATCCAAGTCGGGAATTTTGAATGCGATGCCAGGGATCTGGCTAGCATATTCGGCCGGAACTTCCATGGATCCGCTGGCCTTGAAAGTACCCTTGGGAACAGGGCAGAGTTGTTCAACATGGATCTCATCGCCGCAGGGGTCGAATTCTTTGCTGTAAATTTCGTTGCCATAGGCAGTGACGGTGATAGCCGCTTGCACCTTCTGTTGCTTCGCGTTGGTACCAGCCACGTCGAAGACAACTACTCCACTAGAACGAGTGTAGGTGACGTCCATCTTTTGGACATTGATTGCCGAATTAGTCATGCACAGGTTGAATCCATTCGTAGATAGGGTGTCGGCTGCCAGGGCTTGAGGCACAATGGCCAGGCCCAGCAGAGCCCAGATGAAGTTCTGCATGTTGGCCGACCACAATTGATGTTCGACACGTTATACCAATCCAAAATCTAACAGTCCGAACCAAGGCGCGTATTCATCAAGGATGTAGGGATCGACTAGCGCGAGGATTGGGCGGGTTGTAACGATATATGGAGTGACAGTGGGTAAGTCACAAGGAAAAAAGAAAAACCAAAGGCAAGGCAGGGTCAACCCGCTATAGGCAAGAAATAAAAATGATAAATAATAAAAATGAGTCGAAAGGGTCGCGAGGACGTGGTGGGGGGTTGTTGTGAGACACCCGGGTTTGGAGCAAACCAGGAGCTGTAAAGAATTGAGATATAAAAACGAGGGTAGAAGAGAGGAATTGGGGATTAGTGAATGAAATTCCCCCTCTCAAAAATGCGATAATCAGTTGAAAAAGAAGAAAAGAGAGGAAAGACTCGATAGAGAATTACGAGTTTACGATTAGTCTAAATTTGGCCCCTGAATTTGGGACTGATTGGCCCCCCCCGTTTCAGTCTAGGCCCAACAATAGGTATGTTACTATTTATATTAGACTGTACGGATTACTCCGTACATACTCCGTATTTATGTCTTAATTTTATGTTTACTATGTAGAATATCTAATTAATTAGCTGCTAATAGTATATGTAGTTACATACCTATCTAAACAACATTGGAGCTCATATTAAAGCTTTCCTCCAGACTTGATCCAAGGTTCCCCCCTTCAGGTTACCGGGGTTCCAGCCCAAGTGGCGCACTAAAGTTCTCCTATCCATCCATGGAAACACATTCGACTAAAAGTTTGGAAGTTCAGCAGGGATACTAAAATATATGAACGCCACACCAGCCACGCGGGATATTAACTGCCTTTACGGAGTAACACTTGCCGAATTATGATTCGACCATTTTAATTCAAATGTTTTGGCATTCCTAACGTTAGGGATAACATTACGGAGCACCTGCAGCCTCAATTGAACGTTCATAATGCAAATATTATGTATGACGTGTGCCCCTCGCGGGGTGTCACACAAGCCTGAAGATACTGCATGGCTTAAACATGACTGGAGCGCGGATCGAAGATCCTAACACAGTCCTAGTTCTAGGCTTACCGGTGGACCCCCCTTACAGGCTTCTAGATGGACACATAATCCTCTTAGTGAAAATTGCGTACGGCCAATCCAGTCAAGAGTATCCCATACTTCGTACAATCTACGGGGTACTTGGAATCACTTTGTGCGCGTGCGCACACATCCTAGAAACTGTAAATGTGTAAAAACGTAAATTCGGGGCCTATGTGGATTCACCCTATGGTCCCATCATCAACATGAGACAGGGCCAAGCGCTGAGGTCCACGGGTGCCACCCTAGATCACAGATATCTATTCTTATCGCTTTTAGCCTATATGCCACCACCAATTAATGTGATTATCACCGTGATAGCCTCTGACGGTCATCCATAGCGCTTACTAGTTGCCCATACATAGTTCATATATACCCGTAGACGAAGTATTCAACCTGTTGCTAGATAGTAGCTACAGAGTACGGAGTAGAGACTTCGGAGATAATTTACCTCTATGTTGTAAAGGATTTGTTTTGTGGTTTCAGGTTAATTGTTATGAAAAACCCTTAGATGATATCAAATGGAGCAACTACAAAATAGGGGCCTGATCCCGTGTTTCCAGAAATAGTCCCCACCAAGGAAATCTATTAATGAAATCAACATAAAAAAAAGCTTTCTTGAGCTAAATATGGAGTATGGAGGAAAAGATCTGATGTGAATTGTACTCTGTACAACCATAGATATTTTCTTACCTTAATACAAAGTAATTTGATTTTCTTTACAGTGTTGTCGTCTGAAATAATAAATAGCCACAAACAGAATATTTACAATATCAAACCAATTCGTTACAATCAACCCATGTGTAACTTATGATTTCTATAGGGGAAACCTGAATTCATTCAGCCCTGGAGAAATGAGGGAGATTATATACTCCGACCTTCCTGTTAGAGGTGGCAGAAAATGTCATATCCATACCGCCTAATACATAGTGACAACCAAAGACTTCCATTCCACCACCCCGCTCGTCATCTTCCACCAGGCACAAGCTCGCTACCATGGGGCCCGAGGGGCTCGAGAAGCCCGAGATCCCAGACAAACCCGAGAAAAGATCTCGTCGACGTGGGGCCGAACTCGACCCATTCCTTCGTACCCGGCTCTGCGTGCTCAGAACCACAGCCAAATGGACCTACAAACAGATCCAGAATGAATACCCGCATATCCCACTCTCAACCATCAAATCAACCATTCTCCGAGAGAGCAATCGGGTCAATAATCATTCACAAGCTCGCTCCGGTCGACCATCAAAACTGAAGGACGAAGATCGAGCCCGGATCCGCGAGGCTTTTCGTGCGAATCCCCAAATTACATACGATGAATTGCTTGTGATAGTCGATTATAAAGTTGGCAAGGAATCACTTCGTCGGTTCTTGAATGATGACGGTTTAAGGAAAACACAGACCCCTGCTCGGTCTTCCTTGGCTGGGAAAGCATCTACCAAACAACTTGATGGGATACAACCTGTTCAGTCATATGACACACCTCCCGCTGGCTGGGCTGGTGAATTCGGGTCTGATTTAGCACCCAGCGAATCAGGTCCAGCATCTGCTACTGCGAGTCAAATCGTCGGAAATTAGACGACTGGTTGAAAGAGATACCCTGGGATTTTCGGCGTTGCGCGTTTATTTCAAGGCAGCTCGAGTACGTACATGGAGTATTTTCTGTAGCTTCTACGGACCGAGAACAAAATATGATATTGAAATCTCTACATTCTTGCATCAATTGAAACTGATTCGAAGACGGACTAAACTCTGCTGCTAAATATCGGAAGTGAGATGTATTCTCAGACTCTGGGTAATTGCATTCGCTCGATGTATCAAATATTAAAATAAGATGCAAGTATAATCGGATGAAGTCGCATAATTGGTAAAAATAATCCCTAGCTGGAAAAAAGCCAGCAGGGAAACACAAATTGTCCATATGAGAACAACACCAGACGCCGGGGTATTTTCCTTTTCCCGAAAAAGCAACCGCCTATGCAGAAAGAAAGAAAATCGTTAGATAAAAGACAGAGATCAGCTCATGTCATCGTCACGTCCTCCGCCGCATCCTCTGCCGGGGTGGCGGCAGTGGAAGGCACCACAGAGACATCAGTCATAGCATTATCGCCATCTTCATCATGCGCAGGGGTATCGGTTTGCGAGTGAGATTCGGGGGTAGGAGTGACACCATTGTCGAACGCGTTATCGTTGTCGTTTTCATCTGCCTCTTCCCACAAACGAACCGTCTTGTCTATACCGCAACTCACAACCATACGCTTGCCGTTTAGGGTACCCGTGTGAACACAAAGCACAGCGTCTGAATGACCATCAAGACGCTGTAGGATTTGCTTGCTCACAAGATCCCAGAAGAAAATAGAACCATCCTCGCTGCCACTGACGGCGAAACATAAGGGCGGGTCGTAGATCGCATCTCGAGGTCCATAAGTACCGAAGCATCCTGACAAGCTGTATTTCGTGTTGACATGGCCTTGAAATGTCTTGAGGACGCGGCTCTCAACATAGCTCCACATCCGAATGCAGTTGTCTAGGGTCCAGGCCAAGACAAATTTGCCGTTGGGGGAAAACTTGACGCAAGTTGCAGGCGGGTTGTCCTCCATAACCAGGGTGCGGAGACACTGGCCGCTGTGAGTATCCCAGATACGAATAAGTCCATCTAGAGCGCATGAAACGATAAGAGTTCCATCATGCACAACATCGATACCGGCCACAGGATCGGAGTGGGCTGGAAGGGAGCGCATAACCTGGGCGCGGCGAACATCCCACATAAACACGGCCTCATCGTAGGAACCGCTAACCAGGATGTTACCCTTCGGTGCGAATGCGATTTGATACACGTAGTTATGATGTCCATCAAAGACCTTGGTATGGGCCTTGAGCTGTATGGGATCATTATTAAGAGACCCAAGGAGGTAAAATGGTGGATGGGTTTCTTACAGTGTTCACATTCCACAAGCGAATTGTTTTGTCATCGGAACCAGTTGCAATCCATTCACCGTCAGGCGCCCAGGCAAGGGTAGAAATGCCAGCTAGATGTCCTTCGAATATATGAATGAGTCTACCAGTCGCAGTGTCCCAGACTCTGACAGCTGCGTCGGCACCTGTTGCGCAAAGTCAGTTGTCGAGTCATGCAGTAACTAGATCGCGACCATAAGACGTACCGGCACTCGCGATCATAGTGCAATCCGGCGAGAATTGTACAGCTGACACTCCGCGAAGGTGACCGTGCATAACAAATTTCTCCTTGTAGTTCACATCTTCTGGCTTGGTAGCCACCGGGGTAGCAACAGGCGTGTCAGAACGATCGGACCACTTCTCAGCGTCGCGATCCTGCTCAACGTCTGAGCCAGTCATATCATCTCCCGCAAGATCATTCAATCCACTCTGGGATTGGTCATCACGTATGTTAGTGGGAGTGATCGGAGAAGGGCTTCGGTGACGGTTGCGCATGCGTGAGGAACGCCAGTATTCGTCGGCGTCCACAGCTAACTCGTCGGGGCTCTCAGACTCGCTGTAGAGACGCCCAGTCTTCTGCGGGCGCAGGGGTGTGAAGCCCTTTTGCATAGTCCAGCTAGCTCGGCGGCGCTCGGCTTCGTCGTGGTCGGATCCTGCTGCGAGTTCATCGGCGGACGACTCGGCGGGCGATTGCGCGCGAGGATCGCGGCGCCGCGGCTTGGGGGTTATATGATCCATTGTACAATACGGACGTGTAAAAGCATCCGAACAAATGATGCAAATAAGCCGAAATTAGGTCAACAATAGTTAATTCGAGCCTTGAAACGAAAATAAATTGGACGCGCTGCGGAGCACAATATGAAGGCGGTGTCTTATTTTCTAGGCGGTGAGTCCGGAACAAGCTCTTGTTGGCTGCGTCATACTAAACAAGCACGTGGACCCATAGACATTCAGGTGGAATGTCGACCTCAGATCTTTGTTTAGCCCTTATCGAGCACTTCTTGGCTGATCAGAACTCCAGAATAAAACCTTCAAAGCTCATTCCGGTCAATATCTGGCCCAATGGCCTCCTCTATCCCCTCCAAAGCTCCAAGCGACATCCGCATTCTCACATTCAACTGTTGGGGTCTTAAATACATCGCCAAGTACCGTCATGAACGCATGTCGGAGATTGGACGGCAGTTGGCAATAGCCAACCCGCCGCCAGAGATCGTCGGGCTGCAAGAATGTTGGACCCAGCAGGATTTTGAAAGCATTCGCGATCAAACACGACACATCCTGCCATATGGGAAATTTTATTACGGGGGCATATTTGGTGCGGGATTGGCGATTCTCTCAAAATGGCCGATCGAGGAAAGCAGCATGTTTGGCTACCCGTTGAACGGCCGACCAACGGCATTTTTCAGAGGAGATTGGTTCGTTGGAAAAGGTGTTGCGAGCGCACGCGTTCGATTCGGCCCTGGTACTGCCGATGTCGCCGAGGTGTTCTGCACTCACCTCCATGCCCCGTATGAGCGCGAACCGAATGATTCATATCTCTGCCACCGGACTGCACAGGCATGGGAGATATCTAAGCTAATGCGTGGCGCGGCGGAGCGCGGTCATCTAGTCATCGGTCTAGGTGACTTCAACATGCTTCCTTCTTCTTTCGCCCACCGCCTCATTACCGCGCAGAGCCCTGTTCGCGATGTCTGGCGCGAGCTGCACCCGGACTCGTCCCTCGCAGCGGCAATTGACCCTGTTGAAAAAGCACGGAATCTGCCGATTCCAACCGCCGAGTTCAATCTTGCCGAGAATGGAGCTACATGCGACGGGTCCTTCAATACCTGGCGCTGGACTGAGGATATGCGCAAGCGCCTAGCCAAGGGTGAGGATATTGTGATTGACAAGGACACCCCAGACCCGCGCGGCAAACGCCTGGATTATATTTTCATCGGCGACGGTGGCTACCCACCTACATTCCCGCCGTCTAGCTGGTCAGTCCAGTCCGTTCAAATCTCAATGACACAGCGTCATCCTACTCTCCTCTGCTCTCTGAGTGACCACTTCGCCGTCGAGGCTGTCATCACTCGTTCTTCTATACCGACATACCCTCATCCGCAGTCCACAGACTCTGCTCCAGTCTCCCCCGATTCTCCTCCTTTGCATACAACAACTTCAAAGCCTGTATCCCCCAACGCCGCGCTTTCTCCAGACACATATGACCATATCATCGACATGATTCACACATATGTGCGCCGCGAACGCTCTCAGCGCCGTTGGCGTCTCGCGCATTTCCTGGTGTCTATTGTGGTTTCCATCGGTTGCATGGTCGGTGTGTGGTGGGTTGGCAGCCGCACATACATCGGGTTCATCCTCGTCCTAGTCAGCACACTCAACTTCGGTGCTGGGATTTTGGATGGTCTGATTGGTGGGCTCTTCATGTCGGGTGAGTTGCGTGCATTGAAGGAGTTTGAGTGGGAGGTCAGAAATGCTAGGAGCTTGGTGGTTGCTGCTGAGGCAGGTGTAGGTGCTGCTTCGGAAGAAACGGAGAGAGAGCACAAGAATGAATGATTGTTTTTCTCTCAACTTGTTCTGCGAGAAGATAATTAATTATTCTTAAGAGCCCTGGAGAGGTGGCTGGATTACATGATTTGTTTGTTTGCATTTGTAGGTATATTTAGTTACGAAAGTGTAGTATAGTATATGCCCGGCTAGTTCCTCGACTGGCAAAACTAATTTATAATTCGAAACCAATATCAACTACTGGAGATTAAATTCTTTACGAATTTAAGTAGAACATAATTTGCACGAAACGAGTGTGTAGTGCATTTGTTAAGAAATCGTTATCATCAAAGCTACATGAGCCTCCACCGAGTCCACCAGCATCAAGGAAGGAGCAAGCAGAAACGACAAAGCGAGCTAGCAACAAAGTGTGCGAATTTACTCAGCACACTCGCGCTTACGGGTCTCAAAGACACGCAGAGTCTCCTCAGCAGCCTTAACACCGCTCATAACCATGGCACCGAAAGTAGGGCCCATGCGGTTGAAGCCATCAATCTCGGACAGCTCCATACCACCAATGATAAGGCCCTTGGCGACCTCACGAGTGTTCTTAACAATAGCGTCCTCGGCCGCATTCATGTCAAGGCCACGCATGCCACCCAGCTTGTCAATAGCGTTCATGGAGACAAGACGCTTAGCGCAGAAAGCGCCGAATGGACCGTCGTGACCAGTGGTGCTGACGATAATTGGGGCATTGATGGTGTTGGGGTCCATGCAAGAGTGGTCGTCATGGTGGAGGGTGACGAGAGTCCAGTTGACAACGACACCGGCGAGACGGATATCGTCGCCGTCTGGGCGGGTGATCAAGTCTTCGACGCAGGTCGCGTTGAAGAGCTTGACGTTAGGGAAAGCGAGGACCTTTGACAGGAGAGTCGAGGTGAACAGCGCGGCGTGCTTGACGACCACGAAGTTCGGGTTTGTGGGCTCTTCTTCGAAGGGCACGCCCAGCTCGGTCAGGAAGGCATCTGCGGGGCGTCGAAGGATCATGGCGCTGAATAGCTGACCACCGAGCCAGGCACCACCACCTGTTTGCTATGTTAGTGATGCTGTATTGGGTTTATGGTGGTCTACGAGAGTCTGCTCGCATGGGACATGACTAACCGGGCGACACGGAGGCCTCCACGATAGCGATCTTCAGGTCTGGGCGGGCCTTGGCGAGCACATAGGCAGTGCTCAGACCACATGAACCGGCACCGACGATGACAACATCGCTCTCGGCGTAGTTGTCCAGATCCTGGAAGTAGCGTCGGGTCATGGCGCGCGAGACTTGGCTCTCGCGGATCGGGGCGAACTTGAACTCATCCCATTTGTTGCCGAACTGTTCAAGGAGCTTTGACTGGCCCTCGCCGGCCAGGGTGGTGGTCACCGACTCGGGGACGATGACCTTGCCCTTGATGCCGGTAGGGGCAACAGTAGCAGACTCAAACATGGCAGCAGGAGGAGACATAATGGTTCAGAGATCAAGTCGGAGATATGACTTTGAACCTTGGTTAGTTTGACTACTCTAGTTTAGGGGGGGAAGGGGAGGGCATGATCCTTTCGCTGGTATTATCCAGATCAAGTTAAAGGCCGTATAATCTCAGAACGAACCCACGCTGAAGATGAATCTGACGTCTAGAAGTAGACATTGGATTCACCAACAACGCAAGAACGAACACCGGCTCATCACCCAGAAGTTACCTGAGATACCTTGATCCCTGAGGGATAATATGCCCAGCCAAAGAGTATCCATGGCTCCCAAAGGAAGGGCAGTATGTACTTTGGGATCTAAACAAATGTCAGCCCTGGTATGCAAGTACATGGAAGTAGATAGTTACTATTGTGATAGAAATTCGTCAATAGATTGATGAGAGAAGAGAAGACGAAGGAGGGGTAAGTCCAGCTTTATATGCAGTCATCGAACCCCCCACCATTTTAACCTAATTGTTTTCTCCGATCCCCTCCGGTCCGGTGAACTCCCTCGGTGAGCTACGTTGCACGAATGAAATGCTCTGACGTTTCTACCCTTTCTACTATAGGTGGATCTCATTCCCAATAAAGGTATCCCATTCTGTAAAGCTGCCCAGGCAGGCCCCTCACCCGTTAGTACATCGATCTACCAAGTGCCACTAGAACAATCTATCCGTTCACCTGAGGGTATTCTACACCATAAGAGTTGTTAATGTACTACTTCGCTGATCTAGAGTTCTTATGTAGTTTATGTTGTACGGGAAGCCTATTCCGTGGGGCGAATAAGAAACCGGGACACAACGCTCCGACTAGTCATGGAGCTACATAGTAGGAAGGTACGATTTGGTCACTTAACAGGTTCTGGTATAATACATGTAATCCAGCAAAATTTCGCGGTAACCTTCAATCAATGATGTTTCATAACCGTAATTCCGTCCACAACAACTCTTTCCATTTCTGTTCTTCCAAGGTTTTTTTTTCCCCTTTGACAGCCTCACCTTTCCGTTACTTCAATGTTGACAATGGAAACTTGAAGTTCAAAGAGAAAGCGGGAGTTTTCCCCTGGTACAGTTCCGTCTAGTATTAGTCTTCCTATTGCTATACCACTACCGCCGCTAGCCGAGACCGACATTCCACAACCCCACCGCCATTGGCCAGTGACGACTCCACCTCGAAGTGACCAAAATATATCCACAATGAGAGACGAGAGAGATATCGTAGATCTATACGCAACCGATTACCAACCTGTTTGGGCTGCAGGAATTGAATTCCCCGGTGTCATTCCAGAAGAGATATCACAGTATCTGTATGACAAGATCTTTGAAGAACCTGTCCGACGCCAGGCTTCTGCGCTTTCTCATGCCAGCTCTATTCCCCCAAATCTCACAACGACTCCTACTCAAAACAGGATTCAAGATGTCTTCCCCTTTGCGCGCCTCAAATCTTTTCCGCCAACTATTTCTTGCGTTAAGACAAAACTAATGGGAAAGAAGCACAACCGTGATGAAAATTACGTTGATTTAATGAATACATTCATCAATTCACTCGGCGGCAATCTTCTTTACAAGGGCTTACCACGCCCGTCAATGGTTAACCTAGCCTCACTCTTCGCGCCCCTGGTCTCTTCAAACACGCTTCAAAATGAGTTCGGACCTGGTTTATACGCTACTTCCTCACTCAAGTATGCGTTGGACTATGCTGGCCCAGATGGGGTCATTTTGATTTTCAAGGATATTGACTTCCGTCCGTTGGTTAAGATTGATTTGGCCGGCGAAGACTGGCGAACTACGGTGGACTATTGGACCGGGGCGACGATTTCAAATGTTTCTGAGCGTGTACCAGCACTCTGGGAGCGATCCGATATTTTGCAAGGCCAAATCTCCGTCAAAGATCTAAGGTCCAAACAGAGGGTTCCCGGACCAGATCCCCAGGTTGTGGGAGTGAGTTATGCAGGCTTGAATGCATTTGCATCTGCTTTGCACATGATCATATGGCTAGACAGTTCGCGCTGAGAGAAGTTCGTTGCTTTATGTCATCTTGTTTTCAATTGTCTAGTTGGATCCGGGCTCTTATTCTTATCCAAGGAGCGGGATCGTCTCTGACAACCCGGCGTGGTTGTGGCTTTTGCTTTTGCTTTTGATATTATCTTCTCTATTGCTGTTGCGTGAAAGCCTATAGCTGGTAGAAAGATAATGATATTATTATGTCTAGTCTAATGATAATATACGGCTCAGGTCATATTACCAGCCATAGCCTGATAGGTGCGCCCTCCTGAAGGTGGCTGCCGTCCTCAGTGCCTATGTTGTAGGTAGCAAGTAATGGTATACAAATCGTAAGAAAAAAAAAAAACTTTGCATAAAAACAAACTCTTGGCGTTAATAAAGTTGCTAAATAATCATAACACAAAACGGTAATTGGCACCGTAATTATCCTCCGCTGCCGGGGCGTCGATTTTTGTTTCTTCAATGCGAGGCCCATACTTCTTGTCGAGGCGCCGGTTTTCCCACACCAGGAGTACACGCAGGCACAGAGCGAGGAGTGTAGTGAAGAACATAAATGCAGCACAGATTGCCATACCCTTTACATACCTTGGAGCTTGTTCATCTGGGAAGATATTGGTACCCAGGAAAGGACCACACTGGCCAATCAGGTTCAGAAGAACAATACCTCCACCACGGCGAGTGTCGGAGCCCTGGTTGTCTGTACACCGGTACAACGTAGCACAGTTAGTGAAAGGCCTTTACATTCGATAGGGAAATCTACAATAGGTATCAGAAAGGGAGATGACTCACTCAGAACCCATGGTAGAATATTGGCGATCGAGGGGAAGATCCCACAGGCCGCCAAGAACACGCCAAAGTATCGAACACCCACTGATGTGCAAGTCGCGCAAAGGATGTACCCCACACCACCAACCATTGATAAAGCTGCGATCATCAATCCACGTTGCTGGATACGATCCGCCACCCAGGTCGTCACGATCGTCGCTAGGAATGAGGCAAAAAATGGAGGTGCAGTGAGCCCCTGGGCGTGGATGGCAGTGAAGCCCATTTCCTTTAAAATGGTGGGTAGGAACACAGGAAGTGAAGAAAAACTGACGTTACAGCTGAAGTACATCAACTAGGTATAGGTTAAATATTAGCGAATTTCCCATACCTTAGACATCGTGCTGATGTTCAACTTACAGCTGTAATCCACGCTTTCACATCAAGAAGTGTCATGGCCAATTCTTTCCATTGGATCTTGCCTGTGCGATCTGGCTCACCGGACTGTTGCAGTGCACGGGCACGCGCAACATTCTTCTCATCCTCGGTCAGGAACTTAGCTTCCAGCGGGCTATCTGGCAGGTAGAACCAAGCTAGCAAGGCAGCCGCGCAGACCGGAACACCCTCAACCAGGAAGAGCAATCGCCAATTTGCCAACGCCGCATGCCCTGAAGTAATACCATAGGCCAAGGCACCGGCGAATGTATTTGCCAGCGGCGCAGCAGACAAAAACATGCCGCATCGGAGACCCAGCTCGTGGCGACGGTAGAAGAATGACAGCAGATAGGGCACACCGGGACCAAATCCAGCCTCGAAGACCCCCATCAGGAACCGGAGTGCCATCATGCCTTGCCAATTAGTGACAGCTGCCTGGCACGTTGCCATCAAGCCCCTTTCCAGTCATTCGTCAGTTCATAATTCATAGACTCGTATACATTTGCAATTCCAGCTGACTGACAACATTGCACGTGGAATTCATACCAGGAGAACACCACAAAGGCAGCCCATTGGTGTGGTTTGACAATCTTCCACATGAGTGCTTGGAATTCAAACAATGTATATGAAATATAGAATATTGTCAAGAGCCACGCGTAGCTTTTTCCATCGAGGCCGAGCTCCTCTTCCATGCCAGCGATTTTGGCATTGCTATAGTTCACAGTGTCAGCGGTTGTGCTATTTTACTTGCAGTCCAAAATATTGCGGACGAACCCGATGTTACTTCGATCAAGGAAAGCGAGGAGATCTAGATACCAAAAACATATGGTTAGAATATAATTCATTTAATGTCTTGAGTTTGAAGCATACATAAAAATCCCAGTAAAGTTGGAACACGCCAATCCAGTTTCCTTACCACTCGACGTTCCAACTCGGGGTCAATAACCGGCAAGATTGCCGTGGGTGGTTTCTCCTCGTGAGCGGGCACAACAATTTTTTCAACATCTTCATCCGGGGCAGTTTGGATTACATCTTCCGGCTCTTGCTTTTTCAAGCCCATGGTGAATTAGAGTCACAGGGGACAATGGAATACTAGTCCTAAAGGTGAAAATGGTAGAGAAGAGAGAAAAGACCCGGACAGATCTCCGAGAGGCATACTCGCGGGGTGAAAGGGGCAAAATGGCCAGGATCGGCAGAGACGCATGTAGTACAGGAATCTAGGCAATATATGGCCTGTTCATATTCGTGATGATTGGTGGATCATCAGAAACTATTGATATCTATTGGTCCTAGGACAGTCGAAATTTTGAGTGGAGAAATTGGAGAATCAGAATGCGGAGGCATTGGCAAAAGCTTAGGTGGAGTTGCTTTTGTACGCCGAGGCCGGAACTGTACCTCCCTGTATTCCTTTCAAGAAGATGATAGTATATTGATTTGGAATTCTAAGTGAGGTATTTAGATATCTCTCTATTTAAAAGAAAGTTCTCATGCAGAAAATGCTAGTTAGTCAGTTACAGTTAGCAATGTTGTCAATAAGTGTGTACCTAACTAGAGCACACTTTTCCCATTTGCCAACATCTCTTATTAAAAGAAATTCTTGTATAAATAGGGCAATTTCATTTATTTTTTACTATATGACCACACATGAATAATGAATTTAATGAACATTCCAAAATGGGAAACATATGAAAATAAATTGCTGCCTGTAAACTAAGGTGTTTTACATATCAGGTCCGTATCGACCACCGTATCAAAAATCTCCCGCGTAGTGTCGCGTTCATTAAACACCTCCATCCTTCATTGCTTTTGCCCTGTCTACCTCCATCGCATCCTAATTGCAATTGCCTCACTTGATTTAAATCTAATTTACTTATATCCTTCCAAAGTTGATTGCACTTGGCAATCAAGCCCCCAATATGGATGACCCGGCCACACGCATCCCGGGGCAGCTGGTAAGACCCCAACAACTTCCTATATTGATCGCCCCATGATCTGTATTTCCCCCACTAATCTTGTCGCAATTATGATAGCTCCCCCACATGCACCTGGTTTCGCGCAACCGATACCCTAGTATGCACATGATGCCCTCCGAGACCGCCGTCGAGTATTTGACGAGCGCACCCCGGATCTGCCAAACCCAGCCAATGCATTGGACATTCCTAGATGGTCCTCCGGATGGTACTGTCATGCTTACATGGCAGCCACAAAATCACCTAGGCAATAATTTTGCTAGTGATGGCTATGTCTGGGCCGACCAGGAACAGGCTTTCACCTTTGAATCTCGCGGCTATGTATGCCTCCTACAATGAAGCTTCCCTTGCTCCACGTAGAGTCCATTCTAATAATTGAGGATATAGACCGTCGAGATGTACCTTCACCGAAGCGGTTTCCACCCTCCCAATGAGCCCGTGGCGACGCACTGCCGCAAGCGCTACCGCATTACCTCGTCCAAAGTACCGAATGCTCCCCAGCCCGACCCATCACTGTGGATTGTGCACTACACCCGTGCGGCGCCTCAGGACCATGCCCCTGCAAACCGAATCCAAGTTACCCCTCAAATCCAGGGCATGATGGGCCAGCGTCGCTTCCTTCAGAGCCAAGGACAATTGGCCCGCAAGGACTTTTTGCTTCATGATCGCAACAGCTGGCCAGTCATCAACTTCCCGCAAATGACTCCACAGAACTTTGCGCAGCCCGGTGCTTACCCAGCTGCTGCGCCTCGTGGACCTGGTTTCTATGCTCCCCCGGGTCACCCAGGCGCAGTTGCGGCCAATGTACCCGTTTCCAAAGGGCCACGCGGACACCGTGCGCCATCGGCTGCCCTCGCTTCTGCAACAGCTGATTTTGCTATTGAAGATGAGGATGTCTCTAGTGGTGATGCTATGGATCTTTTGACGCCCCGCGATGTCAGCAAGATGCGATACCAGCAGCATCACGAGTGGATGGAGGAAATCTTTGCCTCCCCATACAGTATCTCACAAATTACACCAGTTTCTTTGGGTCTAGGCCGAAAGGGAGAGCTTGAGTCCCTGACTGCAGGCTTCTTCGATGCCCCTGTTGGGACCTCTGGCGGGGAAGGCCAGGAGGCGGGCGACGCCCCGCAGGCTCACAAGATGGAGCCGGCCAAGGCAGAGGAGTTTGCCGAGCGGGTCTCTAAGAAGGTGGCGGACATGACCGCCGAGATCGAAAACTTGAAAAAGCAGCATGCTCGTCGGATGCAGCGTTTCAACCGAACCTCATTGCTCAAGGATGCCGAGTTGCGCCTCCGAGAGTCTGCTGCTGACCCGACCGAGACTGGCCCAGAGATTTGGAGACTGGAGGGCCGAGTGGTCATTCCAACAGAGGATGAAACTCCGCAATTGGATTACATTGAAGATAAGGCTAAATACAGGGTTGACGAGGTAGTTCGTGAAGTTGAGACTGCCTGGAATAAGCAAATCATTGCCGAGCCCAAGGTATCCTGTGTCGAGAAGGGTGGTTTATTGGAGAAGATTGAACCCGAACACAAAGACGAGCCTGACTCATTTACAAACGATATGGTCATGGATGACGATTCTCACCTCCTTAACCAGTTCGGCAGCCCGGGAGTTGGTTCAGGTGCAGTCTCAGGTGTTTCCGTCAATGGACAGCCGATCCACGCTGACATATCTGGTGATGTTGACATGGATTTGGGTGACCAGCTCCACGGTGGTGCCAATGGCCAGGCCAACGACTGGGTAATGGTGAACAATGAGGCCAAAGATCATGGTCCAGTTGGTGAAGACTTTGACTTTACCAACATCGACAGTGCCGGGGATGCCTTGGCCGCTTATTCCGAGCAGAACGATGGTCTGGACTTGCCAGACTTGGAGAACTCGGCCTTTGGCGATGCATTCCATGCATCTGACAACGAGCACTCACACAACCCTGATACGGACGACATTTCCTAGTCTGCCCCGAGATCTTTTCATATGAAAGTGTTTTTTTAACGAATGATTCTGTGGATCAGTAATTCTGGTCTGTTCCAGGCGTTGCGGGGCTTAGTGTTCGGGGTCTGATTTATGCAGGATGCTTTAGCTGGTTGTGTACCATAAGATTGACCAGGGGGGATTCTCTGTTCCCTTTGGCTGTTCGAATTTCTTCTTTTTTTTCTCGCCTCAAATTGAGAGGACAGAGGATGGGATCTCTCATGAATTTAATCCCTATTTTTCATCATGTCTTTCACAGTAGCTTTGAGATATATCCCAATTAGGAAGGTAATAGTTGCGTCCACGCATATTCAGAATCTGAAAATAAAGGGACACACAACTACCTTATGATTATATCGTTATAGAGTGCATGAGATAGATATAATATCATAATTAACTAATAGTCTCCAGGACTTGTAGTACTGGTAGTACTGGTAGTGCTAGCTAGTCCTGATATCGGGAAGCCAAGAATGACGATCAGCCCTAGATAGTATATACTAGACTTCCACAACTCAAAACTTATACCATCACCACTCATTACATATGACTATTCTATAACAGTATAAACTTGATATTTCCGCAATCGGATAGATGATGTGCATGAACTACTTCCGCCCCTCCCCGTTCATGACGTCAGCCGGGACTGCACTTCCTCAATAAAAAGAAAGAGAAGAAGAGAATAGGGTTCAATCATCGTCATCTATAGGAAGGTGCCACATGACTTTACATTACCCTCCCCCCAAGGCCTCTTCCTTTCTCATCTTAACCATCTTCCATAACTTGTATTGATTTGAATCATATCTACTACAAGAGACAAGATGTATGTATCCTGCATTCCCAGCCCTCACTTAGTCTAAACCAATGTCTAGGAACCGCAACCTTTCATTCCGATCGCGCAAAGAGCCACCTGCCCCCCGGCAGCGGTTCGGCATCTCGACCCTACGTGGGATGCAAGCGCCGGAGCTTAGCCGCAAGATGACCAAGCTGATCAAAAGCGAGAACACCGCCATCGGTGCCCACGAAGCTGCCGGCCGTGAGCGTATCGCGATCGCCGCCCAGCTCTCTGAATGGGGAGAGTCCACTGAGGATGACAATGTCTCCGACATCTCCGATAAGCTCGGCGTCCTGCTCGCTGAAATAGGCGAGCAAGAAGATAGCTTTGCGCAGAACCTCGAGGACTACCGCCGTATCCTGAAGCAAGTTCGCGACATGGAGGCCTCGGTTCAGCCATCGCGCGAGCAGCGTCAGAAGATCACTGACGAGATTGCCAAGCTCAAGTACAAGGATCCTAACAGCCCGCGTCTGGTCACGCTGGAGCATGAGCTTGTCCGGGCTGAGGCTCAGAACTTGGTTGCTGAGGCGCAGCTGTCTAATATCGTACGTTTGCTTCTGACTTCGTTCTGTTCTTGTGTAGTGTGTAAGGTTAGTTTCGGTTGGCTAACGTTTAACTCGTCAGACTCGGCAAAAGCTCAAGGAGGCCTATGATATCCATCTGGCGGCCGTTATTGAGCGCGCAGAGAAGCAGACTATTCTGGCTCGTCACGCTCGTCGTCTGCTCCACTACATTGACGACACTCCTGTTGTTCCTGGTGATGCACGCCAGGCGTATGACAATGAGCCCTTGGCACGCCAGATCCTCGAGGATGCTGAGAATGATCTCCGTGACTGGGAACCCAGCGTTGAGCCTATCAACCCCACCCGGGAGCAGGATTCTCGGGCTCATGTCAACGGTGTCAGTGGTTTCAACGGCACCGCTGTCAATGGACTAGACGATGTGTCGGAGCGCCAGTCGGATGTTCTCGAGAATGCCTCCGTGACTGAGGGCTTCACCGAACCAGTGGGAAGCGGTGCGCTGCCCGCGAAGATGGTGGTCGAGCCTGCCCCTGCGTGAACGATTCGATCCTTCTCAGAGGTCCAGCGGTCTCGATTTTAGTTCGGGACGGACATACTTCAGCTGTTATGTGTAAACTCGATTCTTCGCCTCAGATTGGGCACCAGTTGTTTTCGGGAAAGGCGTTGGCACTGAACATGGGGGTCTATACTCAGGAAATATGCAAATTGTGTATTGTAAAGTTTAATTCGCTAATTCGTTAATTCGTTAATTCATTAATTCCTTCTGTCTTCTCTTTCTAAAAAATTAAGATCACAAAAATAATATACGATTTGTAGAACATTCACGTGACCTCAGGCGCCAGAGTGACGCGGAAACCCCGAGCTCCAGCGGAGCTTCAACCATCGCTCTACTATCTCACCAGAATCCCTTTCACGTCTTTCCAGCATCTTTTTGTTTCTAATTCCCCTTTCCTCCCACATCAGCACACAATGGATAAGCTTGTTGCCCAATACTCGCGCGCTCCCCACCAGAATGAGATGTACTCAGAGCAAGAGCAGCAGGACCTCACTGCGAGCGTTCCTCCACTTTCGCTGAAGTTCAGCCTTCCTCCTGTCGACAACGTGAGTTCCTGATGAATATTGCTGCAGATTCTCTTTGATCTAGATGGCGGTTGGGTCGGAGGATGGATGTCTATCCTGACGTCAACCTGAGCTGCGCCGTCATCACAGCTATCCCTAAGAGAATCGCCAGCTGGAACCTATCTATGATTGAAACAAGTGAAATAATGGACTGACACGGATTATTTTCATCTAGCACTCTGCTTTCCTTCGTGCCATGACCGATGACCACTCCAATCCTAGCTGTCCTATCAAGCTCGCTCACGGCACAACAACCCTGGCCTTCCGGTTCCAGGGTGGTATCGTACGTTTTCCTTGATTTTGGTTATACTATGGGCTTCTGATTTTGGAGCATGTTGTGCTGATTGATACGTTGGGTTAGATCGTGTGTACCGATTCGCGAGCAACAGCCGGCAACTGGATTGCCAGTCAGACAGTCAAGAAGGTCATTCCTGTATCACGGTTGAGTCGGGGTGAGGACAAGAAGTCGAGCGAGCCGACACCAGGTCTCCTGGGAACGATGGCCGGTGGTGCAGCTGTAAGTTTGGGCCGCAAGTGATGGTGCGATGGCGTTGGTTGCTAATGGTTGTTGCGAATTGCTAGGATTGCCAATACTGGTTGCGGTATTTGAGTCAGCAGTGCACTCTGCATGGTAAGTCAGCTCGGCTCTTAATATTTGCAGGGAGTGGGAGGACATTGCTGATCAATTTCTATTAGAAATCCGACACAAGCGCCGTATCACTGTTGCGGCCGCGTCCAAGATTCTTGCCAACCTCACTTATGCCTACAAGGGATACGGACTTAGCATGGGAACTATGTTAGCAGGAGTATGTCCCATACATCACTGATAGCCATGGGATTCGAAAACTGACAATGACCTCTAGATGACACCCTCAGAAGGACCCGCCCTGTACTACATCGACTCCGACGGCACCCGCCTCCCCGGTAACCTGTTCTGTGTCGGATCCGGTCAGACTTTTGCTTACGGTGTGTTGGATGCCGAGTACAAATATGAGTTGACTGAGGAGGAGGCATTGAATCTCGGCCGCCGAGCCATTCTGGCTGCCATGCACCGTGATGCTTACTCCGGTGGTTTCATTAATCTGTACCACGTCAAGGAAGAGGGATGGGTGCACCACGGATTCGATGACATGAACCCTATCTTCTGGCAGACGAAGCTCGAGAAGGGCGAGTTCTCTAACGTGACATCTGAGTTGTAGACGGGTTTAGAATGATTTGTGTAATATTGATATCGATATGTCATTATGCTTAGGGTTTCAACACTGATTTCAACTTATATGCTGTTGGTCGCAATCCGCTAAACACATGCTCCATCTCAAAATTAGTAGTCCTGTCGCAGGATATCTTTGATATCCAATTAAACAGCCAATTGCATAGCCACCTCAATATGTGGAAACCTGCTCCTAATCAATCGAAACTTATCCAACAGAATATCCTTCGGCATAACCTGCAAATTATGAAAAGAAAGCACCACACCCTGCATGAACACAATATCATCAATGCGACTCGTCGTCTCCTCCCTAGTCGCCTGTGGCACATGAATCACCACATCAGCAATAGTATTAACAATCTCCAACAATTTGCTAATCATCGACGATCCATGCATCCGAATCGTATTCTGCGAAATCTTCGTCAAAAACTGTCTGAGCTGACTCGACAATCTCAACGGCATCTCCAACTCCAACGAAGGACACGACGCATGCGAACTAAGCAAACAATTCGACATTGCCATCTGCCACAACAACGTCCGCATCCACTGTCTCGTAATAACCAAATCCGCCTGCTGAAGCTCCGACAGCGCCGAAACCTCCACCTCCCACAACGCATCATCCAGCTCGCGGTGTTTCCGCTCAACCCACGACGCAGTCACCTGCGTTCGGTCCCCAATCCACAAACTGATAAACGACGCATCAAGCATGCAGAAGGTCTTAATCACCTGCGTCCAGCCCTGCTGGATTTCCGCGCCCACGAACGCGTCTTCTTCCGGATACTGCGTGTGGGGGGGTAATGTTACAGGAGAGAAGTTCACGATTGACATGAATCGCTCGTGGATGAAACATTGCCAGTAGAGTCGTTGGCGACGGGCTCGTTCTGTTGTGCTGAGGCCTGCGTTGACGGTTTTGTCGTTTATGCGAAGCATTTGGATCATGCTGATTGCTTCGCGGAGGTAGAAGAAGCCCAGGTCATAGTGGCCTAGACTCATGGCGCACATCTGGATGAAGATGCTTGTTGTTGCGCGGAGAATTGAGGGTCGGAAGCCTATTAATAGTGGTTGTTGGGTTTCCACGGACTGGCGCATTAAGTCGGTTATTTGGGTTGAGGCTAAGGGTGTGCTGGATTTGGTGGGTTGGGAGGACCGGGTTAGGTCCAGGGTTACTGCTGTGAAAGCGTAGATGAAGGCAGCATGCTCTCTTTCGTTCATTTTTGTGATTGAGGCGCGCACTTCCTCGTCGGTGATTATTGGACTGAAGGGGTATACATAGGTCATGTATGCTGGGATTAGGCTTTCAAAGTACGAGGTTGGTAGTTGGAGTGAGGCTGTAGGTGCCAGTGGTGGTAGTAGTGGTGTCAGAGCATTTGATTTGTTAGCGCTCTTGTATTTCGAGATGACGGCTCCTCGTCGTAGTGAATGTTTCCTTGATCTCAATGAACGGTTCTCTGTGTAGGTGCAGAGGAGATCGAGGTGTTCGCATTGCTGACATCTTTGCTGGCCGTTGCAACGGACTTTGCGGCGATTACACGGGTCGCATGCTTTTGGGACTCGATGGGAAGTTGGACTAGCCATTTTGTGATTTCAAGGGGTCAGGGGTTGATGTTTTAGTCGAAACATGTACTTTTTTTCCCCGCGTTGTCGACGCCTTGGCAATTAGAACTCTTAGCGCCACGGGGTTATTCTCCGCGATACTAAATTTGGTGAACTATACGAACACATGTGAGAACCATCTAGGTCGACCTTATAAGGTCTACCCCGACATATATGCATTAATTAAAAGCTTAATAGAGCAAAAATCCGGGGATGAACTAGCATTGAGCTAGGATAAAACTGCCGAGGTGGCGCAGTTTAGGTACATAATGGTGTCTAGGATGGTTTACTACTCGTATTTACTGTCTGGAACAATAGAAAATCTGATCATTTAAAGAGAGTGATTGATTGTGTCCTCTATTGGACTGTGAGTTATCTAACCAGTAGTATATCCCAACCCTAAACCAAAAAGACTCTTCCTTCGAACGCCTGTAAGTCCTCATTGTGTCCATCTACATTGCCAACCAACAATTTCCAATTCTCACTCTTCACAGAATCCGGTTTCTCAAACTTCTGTGTTGTGTCTGAGAAGTTGAGAACCACCAAAATAGTCTGGTTGCGACTCTTCTTGGTATAGGTGAAGACACTCTGGTTTGGCTCATCGAGAATATCAAATTCTCCAAAGACCAGAGCATCGGCATACTCCTTGCGCAGCTCATTCATCTGTTTCCAGAATGAAAGAACAGAAGAAGAATCCTTCTCCTGAAGCTTCACATTGATCTCAGGGTAATTGTCATGCGGGCGCATCCACGGCTTTGCCGATGAGGCCGGTGAAAAGCCCGCATTGGCCTCAGCACTCCACTGCATGGGGAGTCTGGAGTGATCTCTCGCCAAATGCTGCAGAGAATCCATGGCCACGCTCAACGCGGCTGGATCATCGCCAGACACTTTTTTCGTCATTCGATAGTAGTTGGTACTATCGATATCTTTGTATTCATCAATCGTCCACTCCCGGGGCGCATTCACCATTCCAATCTCCTGACCCTGGTAGATAAACTGGGTGCCAGAAAGTGTACTTTGCATCATGGCAAGCATCTTTGCAGACCGAACCCTGAACTCGGGTGTCTTGTCAGAGCCGAACCGACTCACAGAGCGACCCTGGTCATGATTTTCCATGAACACGGTGGTCCATGCATCGGTACCCTTGAGGAGATCTTGTGTGGTTCTTATGGCCGTCTTCAATTCTCGCAGGTTCCAGCCCGGCAAGGTGGTCAGGAACTTATAGTCCTTACCCTGGCCGAGATCCACGAGGTCGAATTGGAAGACCATGCTCAGCTGCTTTTCAGCTGCTGAGACATAGCGCAGAACACCCTCCACGGTATGTGTGTTTGGCAGTTCGCCCACGGTCATCGCATCATATTTGGAAAGCACTTCGTTCATCTCACTCAAATACTCGTGGATACGAGGACCGTTGCAGAACAGATCGAATGCAGGTTGTGTATCGGACTTGGGATCAAGGATTGGAGCATTGGCGTACTCGGGATGCTTGCTGTACATATTGACTGTATCGACGCGGAAACCATCCACACCCTTTTGCAGCCAGAATTCCATTGCAGACTCGTAGATTTCCTTGCGAGTCTCGGCATTCTCCCAATTGACATCGGGCTGTTCAACACAGAACAGGTGGAGATAATATTCCTCTGTTGTCTCATCCCACTCCCACGCACTACCTCCGAAAATGCTGCGCCAGTTGTTTGGCGGCTGACGATTGCCGTTGGCGTCGTATTTCGCTGGCTTCCAAATGTACCAATCGCGCTTGGGGTTTGTCTTCGAAGAGCGGGACTCTTTGAACCATTGGTGCTGGTCAGAGGTGTGATTCACTACCAGATCCAGGATAATTCGAAGTCCTCGCTTGTGGCATGCATCGATGAGGGTCTCCATATCCTCGACAGTACCGTATGGGCCATACACGCTTTGGTAATCGGAAATATCGTAACCCATATCAATCTGTGGGCTGTCATACATGGGACACAGCCAGATCACATCGACGCCAAGGCTTGTAATGTAATCCAGGGACGAGATAATGCCCGGGATGTCGCCAATGCCATCGCCATTGGAATCTTTGAAACTGGCGGGGTATATTTGGTAGATGATGGAATTTTTCCACCACTTTTCGCCCACTATAGCAGGAGACATGGTGAATGTGTAAGGGATTGCACAAGAAATGGTAAAAGAAATAAAATTATAGGTTCAACATCGAAAGCGAAGAGGCTATATATATGCCTCAAAGTATTTGATTTAGATGATCATTGCACTGCCTAGAGCTCCAAGAATGGAGTCCAGCCTTCTCCGATATCCATGTAGGGAGGGCCATTACTCTCATTGACTCAATGTCGGGCCGACTATTATCATTCGCAGTATCGTGTTCCACTCATTTTGTCTGCGGGGTTTGCTTTTTGCTGCACAAAGTTGGGTGATGTTTCAGTCTGATGGCGATTTCCACTTTATTCCACTTAATCGAACGACCCGGAGACCATGCCGAATATTTCAACATTCTGACCATGTGAAATGCCGACAGTCACCAGGCCGATTCGTCTCTTTTCCGGGTCTAACTGACATTCGTTAGATCAAAGGGAACTGAGGGGAAAAGGGGCATGTCGGGCCGACATTTTACCAATCACCTGACTATACTCCCCCGGCTTCCTCTAACTGTTTTAGGAGAAGCGACAACCCTAAGACATTCCAATACGAAAGAAACGGCTGGAAAAACGCCCATGCGGGGATGATTCTAAAGTAAATGAAGATCCCCAATATCGTTTCCTTTCCCGGCCCGACACATATCCAATTATAACACTCAAAGGAAATCCGGGGATAGTGGGCTGACCCTAGGAATACCCCGTGCAGAGAAACCGGGGAAAGTCTCTCCACGCCACTATTCCCGCTTCTTGAAAGGACTAAGCAAGGATTAAACTTGACGGACAAGTGGGCCAATCGAACCCCGGTCCCGTCCTCGCTCATTAAGGACTGTCATCGACAACCATTGGCACAGTTTTATATATAAGTGTCGGATGCCCATGCTTCTCCTCCAATGTCCTATCCACACCAACAATCATCTTGAGGATCTTCATTGCATCCATCTCAACAATGGCTTCTGAAAAGCTAGCCAGCGATCATGTCGAACGACATGACTCAATCGAACCAGCAGGCCATGACCTGGAGGGCTTCTCCGATGTCAAGACTACCGCCGAAGCCCGCTCCGCCATCCAAAAGGAGCACAACATGACCGCCATGCAAGCCCTCAGGCTCTACCCCAAAGCCGTCGCCTGGTCCCTCCTCCTTTCCTGCGCCATCATCATGGAAGGCTACGACGTGGTCCTGATCGGCTCATTCTTCGGCTTCCCAGCTTTCAACATGAAATACGGCCATCTCATGTCCGATGGCAAATACGGTCTTTCCGCCGCCTGGCAAACAGGCATGACCAACGCAATGAGCGTCGGTCAAATCCTCGGTCTCTTCATCAACGGTATCGTCTCCGAACGCTACGGCTACCGGAAGACCCTAATGGCCTGTCTCATGACCACCGTCGGCTTCATCTTCATTCTCTTCTTCGCTCCAAACGTCCAGACCCTCGTCGCCGGCGAGTTCCTCATGGGTATCCCACTTGGCGTCTACCAGACACTCACAGTCACATACGCTTCCGAGGTCTGTCCCGTCGCGCTGCGCGCTTACCTGACCACCTACGTCAATCTCTGCTGGGTCATTGGCCAGCTCATTGCCTCGGGTATCCTGAAGGGTCTCGTTGGACGGACCGATCAGTGGGGATACCGCATTCCCTTCGCCATCCAGTGGATGTGGCCGATCCCCATTTTCATTGGAGTGTACCTCGCACCGGAGAGCCCGTGGTGGCTTGTACGAAAGGACCGACGGGAAGACGCCATCAAGGCCGTGAAGCGTCTCACACGCGCAGACCCCAATTTCAGCGCCGAGGAAACCGTCTCCATGATTGTCTACACGAATGCGATGGAGCAGCGTACCGAGAACGGTGCCTCATATCTGGACTGCTTCAAGGGGACTGATCTGCGCCGCACGGAGATCGCATGCTGTGTCTGGGCGGTGCAGAGTCTGTGCGGCAGTGGACTGATGGGCTACTCGACTGTCTTCTACCAGCGTGCTGGACTCGCGGAATCGCAGTCGTTCACGATGTCACTTGCGCAGTATGCGATTGGAGTTGTTGGTACGTTCTGCTCGTGGCTGTTCATGACGTACTTCGGTCGTCGCACGCTTTATGTGGGCGGTTTGGCGGTTCTAGGTTCTATCCTCTTTATCATTGGATTTATATCTATTCCGCCTGCGACTGATGCGCTTTCGTGGGCTACTGGATCCATGTTGCTTGTTTATACGTTCATCTATGACTCGACTATCGGACCTGTGTGTTTCTCGCTGGTTTCGGAGATGCCTTCGTCGAGACTCCGCACTAAGACCGTTGTGTTGGCGAGAAATACGTATAACATCCTCAATCTAGTGACTGGTATTATTATTCCTTACATGCTAAATGTAGAGGCGTGGAATTGGAAGGGAAAGTCTGGATTCTTCTGGGGTGGATTGTGCGTCCTCTGTTTCACTTGGTCGTTCTTCAGACTTCCTGAGCCCAAGGGTCGCTCTTATGCCGAGTTGGATGTTCTGTTTGAGAACAAGGTGCGCACAAGAGAGTTCCCAGGTGCCAAGACTGGTTTGGTGCAGAGTGAGCTCGAAGGGGAGAAGGGCTCTGTTTGAACTATAATATCTGGAAGGCAGGGGAAGTAAGGCGAAGTAGCGGAGTTGATATGTATGTAATATGGACTAATAAAATGAATATCTTGTTGTAACTGGATTTTGGGATCGTTGAACACGTAAGTAAAGAAAATTATAGGAAGTAGCATATATACGTCGACGGATTTCTTTTAACACTGATTTTGATAGGAAATGCTGTTCGTACACGAAAGAATATTTGCAAAATTGGAAGATAAGACAAGCAGATGAGTATAATCATTAAAACCAGGTATACGCCACCTATGACATTGAAACAAGGAAACAATTTTTGAGATCCCAGACAGGAGACTGATATATCAGTTATCCACCAAGAACTTCATTCTAATACCCATAGCCGCCAATTCGACATCCAGGTACCGCAGCACACCAGGGACAGCAACGATAGTAACATTGTCACCACCAACGTAGCGCTGTCCATTACCATCTTCCCAGACCTCAGCACGGGAGTCATCAAAGGTAGCCTCACGGGCACAGCGACGGCAGCGCACAATACCATTGACACCACCCACGGCACCAATAGCAGCGCCAGCATGGGCATTGGCGCTCTGCTGGTTAGGAGCCGCCTTGGCAGCAGCAGCGGCAGCACCAGGGTTGATAGCCGCGCGGTTTCGGGACGAGCCGGAAACAGCAACCTGGGTGGACAGGAAGGAACCACATGAGCGACAGATCCAGGTGTGCTGGGCATCGGAGCAGTTCATGAGACGATCTTGCAGCAGGAAGGCCGCACCGTGAGCAATGAGCGAATCACGCTCCATCTCTCCGACACGGATACCACCACCCTTCGCACGACCCTTCACGGGCTGGCCAGTGAGCGCGTTGACGGGACCAGTCGTACGCACTTGGAACTTGTCGTTAACCATGTGACGCAGACGCTGGTAGTAGACCAGACCCATGTAGATATCGGCAGAGAATTCGCGGCCTGTGACACCACTGTACAAAGGCTCGTTACCGTAGTAGTTGTAGCCGGCCTTGCGGAGCTGCTCGCCGAAGTAGTCGGTTGCGGTGTTTTCTTCGGAGAATTGGAAGGGAGTAGAGTCTTGTGGGAGACCGTGCATGGCACCAGCCTTGCCGGCCATGGACTCGATCATTTGAGCGATTGTCATACCTATGGAGATGTTAGATGGGTGAATACATTTATTGTGAAAAGCGAGGGTGACTTACGGGATGGGAAAGCGTGAGGGTTGATGATCAAATCGGGCTGCATGCCGCTCTCAGAGAAGGGCATGTCGACCGCAGGCCAAAGTTGAGACAAGACACCCTTCTGACCGTGACGAGAGGAGAACTTGTCACCAATGACGGGCTTTCGGGGAATGCGGTACTTGACACTGAGCGATTGAGCGGGCTCGTTGCCAGACTCGGAACCCATGAGGCGGATGCTCTCGACGTAGCCTTCCTCGGCATCCTTATATTTCATGTAATGGGTGATTCCATCGACGTTAACATACGAGTCGGAGGCAGGATCGAACCGGACATTGTGCCAGGCGGCGATCTTGTCACCTTCCTTGACGCGAGCACCCAAGTGCGGCATTCCATCCTCGTCGATGATGTTGCGCACCTGCTCTTTGACCTCGTCGCCAGGAGCGAATCCAAACAGCTTGGTGACCTCACGCTTGGACTTGGTCCGACGCGAGTCGTTGTCGGCTAAAGTGACGACCTTAGTCTTGTAGACTGTACCGTGACCGAAACCACGCTCGTGTGCGGACTTGTTGATAATCATAGCGTCGTCCATGTCGTAACCGGTGTAGGAGATAATAGCCACAACTGCGTTCATACCGTTGGGGAAGTTGTCCAGGCCGTAGGCGTTGTAGAGAGGTGGCCGCACAATTGGCGTTTGACCCGTTTGGATGCGGTACAACTTGTTGTCGGTACGGTGAGCAATTGAGGTACCTGGTGTACCCATGGTCTGTTTACTCATCTGGCACTGGTACATGTTACGAGGAGATTGGTTGTAGTCGGAGAAGGGGGTCATGTTCGCGACGATGGATAGGATGTTCGTGGGCGTGAACTCGATATGGGTCGAAAGACCGGGAATCAGATCAGACTCCACACAAGCAATCTCCATGAAGGGCTGCTCGAATGGTCCGACGTAATCCAGCTTATCCAATGCCAGATACTTAACAGGGCGGTACATTCTCGCTGATTGGGAGAACATGTAGACACCTGGGTATTGACCGCCGCTTGAGTTGGGAATATATCCAATTTCCAATTCACGAGGGATGTTGTTTTTGCCTTCGACCTTCCAGTACCGGATTGTATCAGCGATTCTCTGGGCCTGCTTGGGCGAGCAGTAACCAATGATTCGGCCATCCAGTTGGACGACCACGCTCTCGTCCAGAGCCACGGAAGACTCGGACCGGACACCAAGCTGAACCAAAGTCCGAGGCAGATGAGATACATCCAAATTGTCCGTGGAGATTAAACACTTGTGTGCCAAATGGTTGAGCAGACCGCAAGGCGATCCATCAGGAGTGTGAACGGGGCAAAGGAAACCCCAACTTTCTGGTAGCAGCTTACGGACAGTGGTAGTCTTCAACTGAGCGAAGAAACTACCACGGTGAATCATGCGGAAATGAGAGATGAAACGGTAGAAGTTGATCTTCTCTGCAATGACGGTGTAACCTGATGTTTGTTGCAAATCGAGACCCGTAGGACTGACCAGGTTACCGGTGGAGAGGAAGTACTCGAGCGCATTACCAATATTCTCGTTTGACCGCTTGACGATCTTAGAGAGGAAGTCTCGCTCAAATGCTTCATCGGTAAACTTTGCGCCGTTGTTGCGGATAGACCAGTCTCTGGCAATGGGGCCAAATGAACGGAGCCACTCCTCAATACGTTCCTTCAGAATCATTCCGTAAAGGAAGCCACCAAGCAGAATTTCTTGGTTCGAGACGGCATCGGGGTTATCGGGAGCACAGTCTCCTGCAACTGTAGAGTAAAGCTTGCGGATCATGAAGGTGATCAACTTGAACTTGTCCCAGTCTTGCGCCTCGGTGACATTCTCGTTTCCAAGATGGGGGAGAACAACCTTGCGGAGGAACTCTGTGCCAACTTCCTCGTCAGGCATGTCAGCGGGGACACCGAGCACAGGTCGGAAAGCCTTTCCCAAGTGAGACCGGCAATCAAACTGGCTGTGCTTCTGGTAAGCGTGGTAGGTTCTCAGCAAAAGCTCGACACGGTCGGTGACGAAAGTGTTTTTCATGCCCTTAGAGGAAGCACCACCGACAATGGACTCGAAGATTTCGCGATCGTTGGTCTCAGCAAGTGCCTTGAGAATCATCATAACGGGGATGAGGTATTCATTCTTGCGCCATGAGAAACGGAAGGTGACATTTCCGTCGGAGAGGTAGTGAAGCACGTTGGTCTGCGAAGTCTGATCGGGACGGACGGATCGTATTTGAACACCGAACTTTGTGTAGGTCTGACCACGCTTGACGAAAGAACCACGAACGATTGACATGGGGTAATTGCGTTTGCCGACGACGAGCATACGAATGAGCTTCTCGTTACCGTTGACGATGTAGAAACCGCCCAACTCCTCGGATTCTTCGTTGTGTTGAACAAGCTCCTGAGGGGTAGCCTTCTCGAGGTGGCAACGGTTGGTGCGCACCATGATCGGGACATTACCCAGCTCGCGGACGGACTCCATCCAGTCTCCATTGTTGACCTGGTACTCCAGGCGAGCGCGGAGCTTACCACGGTACGTCGCATGGCGCTCACGGCATTCTGAGGGGTAGATCTCACGGTTCCGGGTGGTGTACTTGTTGGTGGGGGGCAAGGTAGGCTTTTCCAGGAAGATTTCACGCACGCGGACGTTCAAGCGATTCCGCTTCGGTGGGCGAATGCCTTCTGCTTGGCGAGCCTTCTTCTGCTCGTAGGTTTCGAGTTCACCATCGAGGAAAGTCTTGATACCAATATCCTTCAATCCTGCCTCCAGGATCTTGCTATCGTCGAAGAGAGCATTGAAGGAATCGATATGCGGTCGAATCGACTCGGCCAGCGATGGATAAGCCGTGTGATCGGTGGGGGGATTCTTAAACAAGTTCTCCCGTCTTAGAGTGTCATATTCGACTGACCACTCTGTTTCTGTGGCTGCGGGAGCCATGATGGAAATTCGCAGCTCTCAAAAGCCAATGCGGTATAGAAAAAAAAAAGAAAGACAGACTAAACGGCACAATAAAAACCGTTAATGTAAAGTCAAAAGCGCAACAATATCGGTCCGATTCCTCCGCCCAGTATTATATCAGCCACGAGACCACAGGAATTGAACCGACAATGTGGCAGCTGCCAAACGAAGATGAGAGGTCTGTTCTGCTTGGGGAAATTTTTCGAGGGTGGAGCCGGATGCTTATCATCACGTGTTGATATGCATTTATGGCCTGAGGTGTCCAAATGAGGTTCTATGTAAAAGTTCGGCCTTCTCTACGGAGTACTGAAACTCTAGTTTAACTACATGAACATGTTCATGAACCCCTAATCCTAGTAAACTCTAGATCAATCTTGCAATATTAATAGCTATAGAATGTGAAAAGTTTTAGCGCCACAACGGGCTGAATGTGCTGCAGGCTGTTCACACCCCTCTATTTTGAGGCCAATAGAGCCCATGGAGTCTAAGCGCCCTTGGTGGTCATGTGTGTAGGTAGATCCGTCAATTCTCCATAAAAAAATAGTAGATTCAATATCTTTTTCTATTGACATTTTGCCGCTGGAGGCGGTTATCCCCCTTAAAACAGCCCTCTAATAATAGGCTTAAATTGTTGCTTCTGGTTCTTGTTACGGTGTGACGATCTTGCTTCTCTTTTTTTTTTCTTTCCCTTTTTCCTTCTTACCTCTTCAAAATAAGAAATCAAGAAATCAAGAAAACATCAAGAAATCAACTTCTTGTTGCGCAGCAAGGTTGACCCCACTCTCTGGATTTTGTCATCCTGAGCTTTTTCCACACACAACTTCCTCTTGATCTCTATTCGTGTTTTCTTAGTTCTCTTCTAGACTCTTTTCGCTCTTTTCATTTCTTTTTCAAATTCCCCCTTCGTCATGGCTGGTATATTTCGTGCTATTTATGACTGGCTTCTGAGGATGTTCTGGTAAGTGGGCCATAGATGCAGTTCCCGGGAGACCACGGCCCGTCCCCGCAGATGAAGCCCTGCTGAACTCCATACAGGGCCAGCGAGATGGATGTCACTATGATCGGTCTTCAGAATGCCGGCAAGTCTTCTCTGCTGCGTGTATTGGCGGTAAGTCGAATCTTATGAGGTCCCTATTCGTCCTTGCTGACCATAATAGGGTGGAGAATTCACTATTGAGTATGTTATATGTCTCACATCTGAGATCATTTCATCTTGGCCATATCTTAATATCCCATAGTTCCATCCCGACAATCGGATTCAACACGAAAAGAGTGCAGAAAGGCCATGTAACCTTGAAATGGTATGTTCATCCTTCCCGATCAGGCACAGCGGCGCTAATATATTCCCGCAGCTGGGATCTGGGCGGGCAGCCTCGGTTTCGGCCGATGTGGGAACGGTATTGTCGGGGCGTCAATGCGATCGTGTAAGATTTGCTTGTTTCCCTTTTCTTGGGATCTCATTCCCTTCCGGTTGGCATACTAAAAGTCAATAAAGGTATATCGTGGATGCAGCAGACCGTGCTGCACTCCCAGTAGCGACAGAAGAACTCCATGACCTGATGAAAAAGCCCACGCTCGATAGCATCCCCCTTCTGGTCTTGGGAAATAAGTCCGACCTTCCAGACAAATTGTCTGTTGATGAGATCATTGAGGCCATGGATCTGAAATCCATCACCCATCGCGAAGTAAGCTGCTATGGTATCAGTGCCAAGGAGGAAACCAATCTCGATGCTGTCCTGCATTGGCTCATTGCCCGAGCTAGCCGATGAGAATGCCCCTTGTACCTGCTTTGACCCTTGACCATGACTCGTGATATCCCTTTCATTTTCATACCCTTGACTTTTGTCTCACATTTTTGATTGTGTTCATATCCGTAGACTCTAGCGTGTTTGCCCCGCAGCCTTGGATGTAACGACGTTGACGATGTAGTCTTTTTTTTTCTTGCTCATGGATTCTCAAATTCATGATGATGTATGTTAATGGCCATGTGCGATTTGATTGTTCTTTTTCTTTTTCCCCCTTCTGATCGCATTCCTGGATTTGTATTAAAGTGTTTTGGCAATGCTGGGAAGGAACAAATCCACCTGGGCATGGCCAACATAAATAAAGTGAACGGACCCCCCTGCACTGATGTGTTGGCTGCCAACGCATCGATGCAGAATATCCGCCAATAAACATCTCACGTTAAACATCATCTCGCAAACCAAGGCACCTGGGCACATCTCGTCGATTACATAACCAGAAAAATAATTCCAGTTTTACGCTACATCTCTTTTTGTGCTTCATGTTTGCATATTATTCTCAGACAAATCAAGTGGCATTAGTCGTACACAAAATATCTAGATCAGTTTTGGTCCTTCCTGGCAGACAGGCCAGATCCGGAGTTGCTCAAAACCCCCTTTCAAGCGCCCAGGATAGCACAGTAACGCCCGTAAACATCAAAAACAAAAAGGAGTGAAAATGCGAAGATAGTGAATCATTTGCAACGCTTCTCCACAATGTTTGGTCCATGCTCTTCGTACTCCTTCTTGGAGATCCACATCTGGTGGAAGGTTCCCAAACTAGCCAGGATACTTCCTCCAATCCAGGCTCCAAAGCGTCGCTCGGAGGTGTTACCAGGAGCAGTGACACGCACCCTGGGGCCGGGGAACATCTGCATCAGTTCATGGTTCAGACGATCGGTGAAGCCATAAAGCAAGCTAGATCCACCGGTCACAACGACATTGGCTAGCAGGTGAGGGCGGAGGTCGACGTCAACGCCGGCCAAAGAAGCCTTGACGAGTTCTGGGATAGTCTGCGCAGGTGTTGGGGGAGGGTAAGACGATTCGGGGTCTGGAATGGCAGCCTTGGCATCGAACAGAGATTCCACGGCACGGAAACGGTCGACACCGAAGACTTGGTTGTACCCATCGGGGAACTCGAATGGGCGACCGGGGGTGGTTCGAGCCATATCTTCGTTGGAGACGCCCGTGGGACTGGGGGCTGAGAGCCGCGTAGGTCCGGGCCAAACCTGAACGACACATTCCTTGAACTCGGACAGTGTGCGCTCCTCAAGAAGAGCACGATACGACGCATCGGGTGCCTTGTCTGCGGGGAAGGTCTTGTATTGCGCTTGGGGCGGTTGGCCTGCTTCGACAGCCGACTTTGAACTGATAAGGTAATGCGGCGTAATTGTGATGGGGTGCGGGGAGTTGGCCTTGAAGATTGCTTTGATCTGCGACGAGATGTAATCACCGCCCAACGGAGAGTGCTGCACACCCCGTTTCAGAATCATGCCATCGTGTATCGGGGTAACCGAGATGTTGGAAGCTCCAATGTCGATAACCAGAGCGGATGCCTTGCCGGAAGCGAAACTGTACATGGATCTGGGTCAGCAAATGGTAAACCTAGCTAAGATAGATGGGCCGATACTTACGCAGCTAGAACACCAGTACGGGCGAGATAAAAGGCCGGGGTATCCCATTTCTCCATTGCGATTTCGATAGTCTTTTCACGTGCCTTCGCTGGGTTCCAACCAGGCTCTGTCATCAACAATGGGCTGTCCGACAAAGGCTTCTCCTCTGACTCTACCTCCATTTCTGTGGGGAGCTCGTCTGCGGAAACGTCGTTTAGTCCGTTCTGGAAGGGGTTTCCCGCTTTCGTGCCGGTGAGTCGCGATATAAATGAGTGCTCCCACACCTTCTCTGCCATATCCCAATCCTCGACGATTCCATCCTTGCTGATTGGGTTGTGGATGGACAGACCAGGTCGCGGGGTAACAAATACATCGTCGCCAAATACGAGCTTCTCTTGGCCGTCCACGTTGTATTTGCCATAGTAAGTTGGGATCAATGACTTGGGAGCATCTTCACCAGCAAAGCCGGCGCGAGTGGTTGAATATCCCGGGTCTAGGACAATGGCTGACACCTCATCTATAGTCGAGCAATAATTAGTATCTCGCGGGATGAATGACAGTCACGCGCTCTTTTGGGATCAGAGCTGCAAGCGCAATTGGAATGGCATATCTGGGACCACATACCTCCACCATACTCGGCAGCTTGGGGTGGGTTGGAAGGGTTCATCGCGAAAGTTGTGCAGGTATCTTTGGGAAAGGGGTCGTAGCTCTCACAATGATATGTGAGTATTTTGAATTAGGTCGCCTGAAAACAAATCAAGACGTGACCATGCGTATTGGACGGACAATCAGAGGGGCTGGTTGGAGGCAGGAGAACGGCGGGTCTTTTTGGTGCGGGTGTAGCTTTGGCTTTGGCGCCCAAACGGGCAGTTCAAGATTAAGCTTAGTCATCGTGAACAACGATGACTAATCAGGGACAGGGCTCGGCGCTTCAAGAGTTTATAGAGTCATGCTTGAGTCTACATTCTAAGGTTAGTTTTGGAGACAGAGTAGTGTTAAAGGAATGGGCTGTATGATAAAGCAACGATAATGTAATGATCAACTGCACGTGAGCTGATTGATTTACCTACCTTCAATGTTTAATCTTTGGGAAAACAAAGCAAAAAAAATCTACACCAGACCAACAAACAACATTTGAACATCCCATTTCCTTTTCGCTTCTTTTCTCGCGCTTACTTTCCGCGTATTGGTATCATGGTGTGTATTTTATGCTTACTTCAATGTTTGGGCAAAAATAGTCATTCATCCTATTGGAATATATATCATATATATCTTGACGAATCATCTGGCGTGCATCGAGATATATATAGCGAAAGGATAGTCAGCAGCTATGCAACCCGTGGACTCTGTCCTTCACAAAATAGAACTATAATAAGTTAAACATCCACTTGACTAGAGATGATCAGGTAGATTTTCTACTTGAAATAATATCATAATAGATTTAGCCTTCTTGGTGTTTGGAGCCAGAAGGATAAAGATATTTGGTCGCATATCGCAGATCATCGGGAGTTAGAAGAAACCGTAGTTCATTGAAAAGAAGTCAGAAATAGAATTGGCGCAAAGTCATTATGGTATCGTATGCATATCGAGTAAAAAAAAAAAACATGCCACCGAGGGTCAAGTACATCAAGTCCATATCAAGGGAAATCCGCTGTCTTGGATGAGAATAACAATCATTTCTTCCCCGCCTGTGCTTCCTTTTCCCGCATTGCAGCTCTTGCACTGCGGCTGCCTCCAAGCTTCGGACCCCGAGGCACCTCAACATTGGCCGCCGGTTTTGCTGCTGGCCGAGTTCGACGACGAGTCTGCATGGCATCCATAAAGTCTCGCCTGAATTGCTCAGCAACTCGGTCATCAGCAGCCTGTTGGTCATCAAGTTGCGTTTCCTCTTCTTGTTCATCATAAATTTCCACTGTAGCAACTATTGTTAGCAAAGACGAAGATCCTGGGAGATTTCAATTTTGGATACAACGCACATTTGCTTTCACGTAGCACCTCCTCTACAAGACGATCTCTCGCGATGTCTGCTTCTGTCCTCTGTTTGCGATTGCGCCATGACTTGCCGTCTGCGCCAGGGCGACCCATCTCCGAAGCAGCCTGACCCACTGATGTCGGCAGTTCTCCCCTGTCGGCCATTTGTCGAGTCGCAGCTTCTGTCCGCGCAATGTTTCGCAATGTAGCTTCGTGGCCGAGGTCGATTTCGTGGAGTTTGCCTAGCGATGCAGGTTCGCGTGTCTGGTGTCCAGGCAGTGATAGCCCTGCCGCGACTTCCTCCTGGGTTGCTTGGTTGGCACCTAAATCGTCCGCTTTTGATTCAGGTTGGTAGCGCTTAGCCATTTCGGAATCTATGAATGCCATCCTGATCTCGTTAGTCCACATCAAACGAACTAGACGACCAACCGTGGGAAAGGATGCGTACATGTGCTTATCGACATCGACTGTCTGACCGGTATATCCTGTGAAACGTTCGTTCATTGCGCGTATCTTCTCATCCTCAGTTTCTCCGGCTGCTGGTACTAGTGCTAGCTGCTGGCCTTGGTCATCTCCTAGTCGTGATGCAGTGGAAAACCCAATGCCACCCTTTCGAATTGTTCGTGGGCGCCGAAGGTTATTGCTCCCCGGAGCTTGTGACGCGACAGGATTGTCATTCTGATTATCGGCTTCTTCGGCGTCTGGAGTGTTATGATCGGGACGTCGTCGCATGAACTTGCGCTTTTTTGCTGGGCGAAACAGAGATTCCACTGGTACATTGTCTTCTTGCGTGTCCATTGCGATTTGCAACTATGTGAACCTGGGTGGTAGGGGAAAGACGAGCAGGAAATTAATTATCAGTGTGAGGTCATTCAGCAGTAGACAAACTACAATTCGTCGATCCCAGACCGCCCTTTATTCTGCCAACTTTATCGCTTAAAGGCAAGGCTGAAAGATATGGGCGGTCAAGGCTTTGTTGTACATCTACAGGCAGTAACTTGCCCATACAACCTGCATTGCTGATATTGTCAATGATCAAGGCGGTGTTATCTCTATAACTGAGACAGGCAAGGCGAACTAGTGATAGCCGAAGTAGATCTTGATATGGCTGGGCTGGCTGTCTACAATGGGGTTAAGGTTTGTCAAGAATTTCTAGCTCCAAGTAACGAAAGAGATATTCGAGATATCTCAATGATTTAATTACTAAATCTCAATGATCGGCATAAACCCCAAATATGTCTTAAGGAACAAAACAAGAGATGGCACCGAGAAGGAGGTGGTGTGATTCAAAGCCCACGATCCACTTATCCAAGCCACGCTCTGCCAGCTCAGACATAGCAGCATAAGGCTGAACTTGCAAGGTAATACGTCAAGGTACATTGTGTAATGTGATACGAAAAGCTAAGAGTTAGACTAAGTTTGATAGGAATGGTAAATACTTCCAAGGTTGTGCTATGAGAATAAAGTATAAGATTCAAAGTCTAATTAAAAGTCTAGCCTTTCCATGGATTTTGCTCCGTCCAGGGCTATTCCCGAGGTCCGTTTCCTGCCGACTTGGATCCTGGAGTATTTGCATTTAGCCGAGAACAGTGACGTGTGTTACCCAGTAACTAATATAGGGGCTCCAAATTTAGCTAATACTAACTCAAGACCTTCACCAGGGAACCGGGATAATAATGTATTAACTTATGAATTTGATCATAATTTGGATTATAACGTCCATGAAAGGCTGGGAAGACTGGGTGGCAAGACTGGGTGGCCTGTAAAGATGGGTAATATTTCATTCATTCTGGGGTAGAGAAGCGAGGATAGGACAGTACATTTGATTATTCAAGCGAAATAAAATGAAGCATAATTGTGTATGAGAGAAGCTTTCCGTAATTGTGCTAAGTGCTCAGCACATATATGTTGTAGCCTATGTTCTGGAAATTTACTACTATAGGGGAAACTGGGTCACACGGATGAAAGCATATGGACATGATGCGCTTAATTTAGGTTTTTGTCTCATTATTAGATTAATAAGATGGATCCGGATAATTGTACTCCGTACCAAGCTAACCAATATAAGTTTTTGTCCAACTATTTGTGCTGCACGGAGTAGAATTGTGGAACATGATCCTGGACCATGTCTTTGTTTTTGGCTGATCCAGGATCTGATTCAAGATGCAAAGATCAAAGCATGTCCGTAAGCGTGTATGAAAGAGGAAGGCTGGGGATATCTAGTTAAAGTGTAGAGAGAATATTCTTTCAAGGTGGCTGGAAAACTCGCTTACAGATCTCTCAATTTACCCATTTAGTTATTGGTCAGGTGTTCGACTTTATCTTCAAGTATCCCCGCAAACAAATGTTGAAAATTTCTGACTCCGGGTGAGCCAAATACGTCTACGGTGTGGACTGTGTCCTTAACCGAATCTCAACAATATTATTGTTGACTCGGAAATCTCTCGGACAAAACGGGAATGGAAATGTATCCACAAAGGGAGAATTATGATGCAGTTGTACACAAAGGACAAGGTGGCAAGAGATCTATTCCTTTTCTTTTTCGTACATGTACATAAAATACCTATTTCCCCGGGAAAAGTATCCCACGGGGAAATCCGGAGGGTAAGATGGAGTGGGAAATACAGGGCAGGTTAAATTCGAAGTTGAATTTACTATATCTTGGCACTTGGCAGTGGATAAGGCTTAATGTCATTTGAGGTTAGTCCAAGCCTTTTTTTTCCGAGTTTGCCAATGCCGAGACCGGCCCGAGTAGGTACCTGGTAGTGTGACCAAGTTTTATTTTATGTCCGGTATATCTCGGAAAATAGATTCCATTGTTTTCCCTTTTTTTCAAAATGTGTATACAATAATTGAACTGAGAGCATCATGGGAAGGATCATGCCCCCCCGTCTAGCTTAGGGTATTTGGTATTCGGCATTTCATCCAATCAGCCCTTCCCGACCCAGATTATCCCGCCACTTAACTGCAATTTTCGGCCCTAACCCCGTGGATCTAATCGGTTCTGATTCGGGAGTGGCGAAGACACGGGATCCGTACACGCCGGGACCAAGCCTACCCCGTGGAGTCGGCGTTATCGTCGAGTCACAGTCGACACTTTCGAAATTTGACTAAATTGGTGCCACTAGGGGTGGATAAATACTATCCGCTGTGGAATTCTCCATCCCACAGATGCAGGATTTTAATTTTCTGATGCGGGGTCTCCACGAGAAGGGCTGACCGGAGGATATAAACCCATGGAGAAGCCGGCTGCCCCTCTCTGTTTTTCTCATCCCTCAGAGTGACCCTTTCATATACACTCCAACATGGTCACATTATTCCGAGGAAAGGCGCTGAGCGTAGCGCAGGCGCTGCTCATCGTAGCACCGGCCTTCATTGTGTTCGGTTACAACCAGTCAGGCTTGGGCCCTCTGGCTACATTGCAGAGCTGGGTGAGCGTGTTCCCTGAAATTGACACAATCAACACAGAAGGTGCCCAGCGCGCCCATAACTCTACAGGAAAGGGTACCGTGATCGGATCCTTCCAGCTCGGTGCTCTATTTGGAGCCTTGTCGTGTACATTCCTGGGTGACCGACTCGGTCGCCGCAAGACCATCTTCTTGGGTGCTATCCTTACTATTATTGGCCAATTGCTGCAGACTGCGGCTTACGGCTTGCCACAATTCATTGTCGGCCGTATCATCCTCGGTGTCGGTGTTGGTCAATTGAGTGTTGCCGTTCCCGTCTGGCAGTCCGAGTGCACGTCAGCCAAACATCGTGGACAACACGTTGTCGTGGATGGCATCTGTATCTGCTTGGGTTATGTTCTCTGCAATTGGATTGATTTTGGTCTGAGCAAAGTCGGCGGAGCATTGCAGTGGCGCATTCCGTTGGCCATTTCCTTCTTCTTCTCCCTCGTTGTCGTGCTTTCGGTCTTCTTGCTCCCCGAGTCTCCTCGTTGGCTCGTGCGAGTTGGCCGCATCGAAGAGGCCACGAGCAGTCTCGCTGCCTACAAGGGTCTCTCTGAAGATGATGATGCCGTCCGCACTGAAATCGCTGGTATCGAGACCTCCCTTGAGAGCACAGTTGACAGCACTTCGCTCATGGATATCCTCAACTTCAAAAAGGCCGACGATGAGCGCCTTCTATACCGGTTCTGTTTGTGTGTCGCACTGCAATTCTTCCAGCAGATGTGTGGTGGAAACCTGATCTCGACATACGTGTCAACAATCTTCGAAGAGAACCTCAACATGAGCAGTGATCTCGCTCGCATTCTGTCTTCATGTGCTATGACCTGGAAGTTCCTCTGCAGCTTCATCTCCTTCTTCGCTATCGACCGACTTGGCCGCCGAAAGATCTTTATGATCAGTGGTACTGGTATGTCTGTTTGCATGACGGTCCTCGCCATCACCAACAGCTTCAAAGAAAACACAACTGCATCGATTGTTTCGGCTGTCTTCATCTTCCTTTTCAATTCGTTCTACCCCATCGGTTTCCTCGGTGGTAACTTCCTCTACTGTACCGAAGTTGCTCCTATGCGTCTCCGTGTCGCCATGTCCGCCGTCTCGACCGCGAACCATTGGCTGTGGAACTTTGTGGTTGTCATGATCACTCCTGTCGCACTTGACACCATCGGATACAAGTACTACATTGTGTACGCTGTTATCTCTGCTTGCATTCCTATCTCGGTTTACATCTTCTACCCCGAGACAATGAACCGTAACTTGGAGGCTCTCAACCATGTCTTCCGCGATGCCCAGACTCCATGGGATATTGTCTCCATGGCGCGTCACCTACCTCAGGGTGAGGCTGCTGAGGTGGATATGTACATGCGGTCGGAGGAGAAGCGTGCGATTGAGCAAAAGGAAAATGCTTAAATTATAGATTATATTTGTTAAGACGTTACCAACTGTATATACTATGTCTAACAGTGATGGAATGGATATAAATAGATGAGATCATTAGGTTGAGCCTATGAAGAATCTCAAGCACAAGTTTCATTTATTTCCCTCTTGAGGTATTCTACTGGCTACAATAATTTAGTAAATAAACTATTCCTCCAGCAGAAATCTCAACTCAACTTCTTTGTCATCTATTATTGGAACTCTATATACCATGTCATTGTCATTATACTCCTTCTTCTCCTTGTTTTCCATGATTATCCCTCGGGTTTCTTTATCCGAAGCTATATTTGGATTGTCCATGCCCCGGAGTCATTATTGTTAAATTTTAATCCTTTGTTTTTTATTCTTTGGCTCTATTTCTGGTGAACCTTCATGTTTGATCATAGTGAGGCCAACAATAACTCCCACAAAGACCTAAAGTCCAAAGCTACCTATATAATCCCCCTCTGCATGTCTGTTAGTTTCATTCCAAGATCACTATCCAACAATAAAACAAAAGTCCATTATATTTGACTTTCATTGTTTGAGTTATCCAAAATTTATCAACTCAATACTCAAGAGTATTCGTCACGCGCTGATGTGTCTCCCAAGACGCCGGTGCGATTGCAACGACGACACTGGCCATTCCGATACCCAACCTAACCGCCGACGGGAAAAGGCACCAAAGTGCGCTCAGCGTCAACCACTCCCTAAGAATTTAGGCAGAACCCCGACTCCAGCCAACCCCCAGACCAGCAATGAAGATGAAGAGAGCGGCGATGTCGAGTATGAGCCTATTTCTAGTGACCCATACTCCCTTTCAACCGGAAATCCTCGCACAGACAACCCCGAGGTAAGTGATACTGATTCCAACAAAACTTCATCTAGTGGTGACTTCCATTCCGCCCCACCAAGAAACTCGCATACAGGGATTACTCCTGAGATGAGTGAAGCCAGCCTTAGTGAGTCCCAGTATCATTCACTCCCAGAAGAGCGATCTTTTCCAGCGAGCATGCCTAGTACAGATGAATACGTCGACGAAGGGGGCTATGATGGAGCTGACGAGGGTAGTCTCGATCTGAACCAATTCGACGAAGAAATGTACGATGAATCAATAGAGCCCGAAGAAACCGGGTATTCGGATCAATCATGGTCAGTCAATTCTAGTGATCGGAGACGTCGACGGTCCATTGAGAGTCAAGCCCGCGCCGATGCTGAGTACAGGGGTCTCTTTGGAACCGGGAGTAGTAGCGGCAGCAGCAAACGACAGCGTCTTAAACACTCATCCGACATTTCAAGTGGGAGACAGAGGACTGGCGTCGAACCGACTGTAGAGGATATTACCAGGTACAGGAATATAGGAGCACAATATCAAGCATGGATAGACGACCCGGACGAGCCGAGGTGTCTAGTTCAACCGGCGACACTAACTATAGAAGAGATGGTTGACGAAACGCAGGCATTGCCGTGGACAGTGCATGAATCTTACTATACGGTCGAGCCGATGGCATTAGAAGGTGGGGATGTGGAATCGATGAATATTGCTCGTGGTGGGCCGCGATACCGCTATACACACCTCCGACGAGATCCGGGGCCGAACACGCACGAAGCTAATGAATTTGAACATCGGGTTGCTCGGGGCATTCTTGTTGCAGAGAGAATTTATAAGGAAGATGGTCCTTATTGGAGTGAGGTTGCTCGGGCTCAATATTTGCTTGATTTTAACTTGAAGACTCTGAGACATGTTTTGTTTACTGATATTGGGAATGACGAAACAGCTCCTTATATACGCCATGAACTATACCCTCGATTGGGTGTTATGTGGTCACAGGCAAGAGATGTTGATTGTATGGTATTTAAGCATGGTAGTGCTGAGTATCAGGAGCTCCTTGGTACAAAATTGGGTAAAGGCGTGGCTTGTCTTATCCTTTCATCCTTCCCTCGGGGAACAATGAAGATCACTGAGATTGTTACTTGGTGTAATACGCTCTTACCGCAGATGAGGTTTGTGATTGAACCTGTTATTGCTGCGCCTGTCACTGGGGTTACAGCTGTATGAGCTCTTTTGTTTAATTGTATCTATGGTGTTATTTAATTGGAAATTTTATAAAGATCAAAGATATATACTATTATCCTTTAGATCTCTTCTATAGTAGACCTCACCAATGTAATGCAGTGGTAAAATATTATTCCCAGGTAAAAAAAGAAGGGATATATATTTCCTTGAGTTGTGTCTTCCTACGTGCATTCTAAAAAGGATGTGGTTTCTTAGAGAAATGGTGGCTGAGCGCAGTTAGATATAAAATACAAAGACAAGGAATTTATTAGAATACGTGTATTTTAATTGGAACTGAAATGGGGATAAATATTTGAATATGTAGGGCCGTTTTTAAGGGGTCAAATAAATGCAGGGGAATGTAGGAAATTAGGGAAGGGAAGACGCGTTATGTAGGTTGGCATTTCACGGGAGCCTATATTGTTTGTCTTAGGTGATTTCTAGATTGAGTGATGATAACAAAATTGTCAACTCAATCGATATGCGGCTCAGTGGTTTAGTGGGATAATTCGTCTTTCGGGAGAAATCTCTGGTTTCAAAGTTACCTAATATAGACGAGGTCCCGGGTTCGATTCCCGGCTGAGCCCCTTTTTTTATATGTTTTTCTTACAGTTATAGAACATCGTTAGAAGACTATGGTTCATTTTTACTGCTACATGTATGCAATACTATTTATTGCAAGTGACACCTAGATAATGCGTATCAAGGAGTTGTACAAATATGACATGTTACTTTGGAGAGTTGGACGAACCTTGAAACTTTGTAAATATGACGATATGCAAGCTGAGACAACAATCGATCTACTCAAATATGCCTCCGAAAAATCAACCTCGTCACCCGTGAGTATACCTACTTGTTTGATTTAAGTCACTAAGATTAGGTAGTTTACCGTCCCCGCGGCTGGACCACCCATCTATCAATCCCTGAGATCCGCTGCGAGTAGGAAGCAAATGAATCGCTAGGTCAGACCATTGCCCAATGCTATGGTCTTGGAACAGCAACACCTGTTATTGAGGATAACAGCACGTTCACGATCTTCCAATCTAACAAGTTCTATCTCTTGGAGCGGATCAAGAATGGCGTACATGAATTCGCCTGTCGTGATATACGCGAGATAGCTATTAAGATTTCTGAGTCGTGCTTTAGAGGGCTGCGCCCAGATTCGCCCGATGTCCTCCCAGGGGCTATTTTGCCCTGATTCCTATTTCTTTTGCTTCTTTTTTTTTGTTCTTTCTATTAGCGAGAGAATATACCACACCGCCTTTGCGAATGCTATACAAGAGATCTGCAGACTCGGCTGTACAGAAAATCCGATAACTCAGGGGGCTGGCATCCAGAATGATCGACTTACTACTCCGTACGGTGTATAAGCGAGAATGAACTGACGAAGTGAAATATTCGTCGTTAAATAGTAAAATTCTCGCAAATTCCTTAATCCTATGGTAGAATGAAATTGAAACTGACTTCGTCGGACAATATGCGTCGCGAAAAGATTGCATTGACCTCTCTTTCCCCCTGTAATACCATTGTAGGAATTTTGGATTCTTTCATTCAGCTCCGGATGGAAAATTCCCCGATCAGACCCCTCGCCAGCAAACAAAGAAATCCCATCTGCCAAGGTCACTAGGCCCGGTTAGACAGAAGTAGCGTATCGCGGATGAGGACTTCGTAGTCCAGCAAACGCCAGTTCAACGCCAGACCAACGATATCTAGATCATTACATGCAACTAAGCGATAGCTTAGAGCTACTATACGTGTCTCCTAACAAAATTGGAAGCTTCGATTCAGCGGTGAGAATCATCTACACATCAACGGTCGGATACGATGGCTAGGACGGCTAGGATGACAGGGATCGTTTAGTGCCGGGGGCAGTGTATGGGCTAATTATGCGGGATCATTGCGCCCTGCTCTTTTTTTCTAGAATATTGGAACTGTTCCTCTGCATTTGTCCGGGTTTGGTTGTGCCATAGTTTCAAGGGAGTGCGAAGGGGTACACAACGCGCGAATTCCCGAGAGAAAGAGTATTCACCTGCAAAGTAGACAGGGGAGATGAAGGAGGGGAAAGGAGAATAAAGGACAAGAAAGGACAAGAAAGAAGGATAAGAAAGAAGGATAAAGGAGGGGAAAGGAGGGTAGATTGTAACTGACTACTCCGTACATAGTGATGATCCCAAGGGGGAGTTTGAGTTTAACTACTATTTTAGACTATAGACTACTACTCTTTACTCCAGACTCCAACTAACTAGGAATCCTGGGGTGTAACCCAAGTCCTTGGTAAATTGGCAATGGCATTTTTATCTGCCGAACTACATATAGGGATGCATGTCCCGGCCTTGAATGTTCGAATTTCGACTATCCATCTATTTATCAGTCAATTTATTGACCTCCCTTCATAATGCGCTTCCTGTGGGCATTATCAGCACTGGCTTTCTCGGCCGAAGCCACCAAAACAACAGGATGTCCTCTGTTGGGACCTGCATTCCCAGCACCTACTGCTTTGTCAAAGGATCCCACATTTCTCAGAAAAGCTGGAGAATTGACCTCGAAGCTCAACCAAGCTATCCATAATGGAAGCTTACCTTCCATATCGTTCGCGGCGCAGGTCTTCAGCAGTGAAGAGGAGGATACAGCATTTGGTTTCTACCACACAGATCCTCCAGTGAGAGTTGGATCTGTGGGGGTAAAGGAGGTAGATGAGAACAGCATGTTCCGCATTGGAAGTATATCAAAGCTGTGGACTATGTTTCTCTTCATGACCTTTGAAGGGACACGGTACTTCCACGAGCCCGTTTCGAAATACGTTCCCGAACTGCGAACAAATTACACCGCAAGACAAGCAAAAGATTCAATTAACTATCTAAAATGGAGCGATGTGACTATCGGCGAACTGGCTAGTCACCAAGCGGGCCTTGCAAGAGACTGTATGATGATCATAGCCCGTCCAGTGCACAAAGTGAAAGAATGCTGACCTTGAATTCTAGATGCATTTGGAGATCTCAGCTTTCAGCCGAAACTGATGCAGACCATGGGATTCCCTTCGCTGCCCCAAAAAGAGAAGATGACTTGTGGGAATCAGCATCAGTGTAATAGGAAAGGTAAGCCAATTGTGTCTGCTCACATCATAACACGAGGCATTCGGCTGACGGGAATATTCTCAAGACTTTTTCCATGGCATTCTACGATCAAGTAAGTATGGCGATTCCGCTGAACCTCGAAATACCTCTAACGTGACCCATTAGGCCCCTTGGCTTCGACCTCACACACACCAATCTATTCGAACGCAGGATATCAAATTCTTGGCTACGCATTAGAGTCAATCGCAAAAGCCGACTACAAAGACATATTAATGGACCGTCTTATCAAGCCACTCAACTTGACTCGGTCCTGTCTTCAAGCCCGAGACCCCAGCTTGGCCGTTATTCCCTACAATGAAACAGCCAGTTGGTTTGGCTATGATATTGGCGAAGAAGCTCCGTAAGTGCCGATTAACTGTTTGGAGTATACATAGCTTACACATTTTTAGTGCTGGGGGCATTTTCTCTTCCGCAAAGGATATGGCTACTTTCGGCCGTGCTGTTCTTTCCAGCTCCCTGGTTGACCCTGCCGTGACAAGACGGTGGATGAAGCCATTAACACACACCTCATCCCTGCAACATTCCGTCGGCGCCCCCTGGGAAATTTATACATTTTTGACACCCCGACGGGTCGATCTCTACACCAAAGCCGGCGACATCGGAATGTATTCCAGTATGATGGGTCTTTCACCAGACCACAACACCGGTATCACGGTTTTAGTTGCCGGTAGTGACTCTCACAAGATGACAGCGACGATCTCGGAGATGGTTTCCGACATTATGCTTCCCGCGCTCGACGAAGTCGCTAAAAAGCAAGCTCTCAAACGATTTGGGGGTACATATGCCTTGAACAGAGGTTCTTCTCATTCCTCGATTACCATCACCGCTGATGACGGGGCTGGCTTGGTAGTCTCGGAATGGATCAGCAATTCGGTCGATATGATCGAGACTTTGATGAGTCTGCAAAAAGTGACGGATCGCTCTAAGATAAGCATTCGTCTACAGCCTAGCGGCCTGGAGACCCCAGGAAAGATCTCCTTCTTGGCTGTTATCTATTCTCTTCCTGTGTCGCAAGATGCGGGACCCATTGCCGGATCCTGCTTTTCGTGGATTTTGCTCGAGTCCATGGTTTATGGCAACGTGGGTGTCCCGGAATTTGATTTCACACTTAATCATGATGGGAATGCGACGAGCTTATCCCCTCGGGCGTTGCGTGTTACTCTTCCTAGGGTCTAATGTGCCGACAAGATTTCATGCTTATTGCTCATGTTTTGAATTCGGTGTTAATTCTATTCCTTACTGTACAGAGTTACCCTACATATGTATCAGTGCTGCGATGTCGATTAGCCATGTCTGAATGTTTGAAGACTATAAGTCCATCTAGAAAGAAGAAATAATTGTTACAAATACCATCATTGCTAAGATTTAGAGAGTCTCGTGGGCCTACCAATGGTCTATCTGATACCTGATCTAACGGTTCACCTCAAATATACCAGCCTCGTTCTCCGGCAGTTTCGACCCCTATTAATGGGACTTTATTCAATGGCACAACAGGGCTAGGATTATGAATACTGGCTACCATCTGTGAGTGAAAAATCTCAAGGCTTGATGACAATTCTTGATCTTATACTTTAGGTAAATTGATGACACTTCCAACGCTTAGGCTCAGTAGCTCATTCATTGATATAACTACCTAAGAAAGTGCGGCGGGGAATAACGCAAAGTGCCAATCGATTGAATTGTCCAGATCCAACTCACACTTTGTGACATGGAAAGATAACGACCTTGGCTCCATCAGAATTGCTGTGTCAACACAAAGCACAGGACGGCAGTGAAAACACGAGACGGTATCTTGGGTCTGTCTGGTGGGTGTTTCGATAAACAGACTATCATGGGCTGGCTCTGAAGGACGGCAGAGGAAACACGAGACAGGTATCTTGGGTCTGACTGGTGTCGGGTTGAGATATCGCTCAAAGTGCTCATTGTAATTTTCAGGCGATCGGATTCCTTGCTCGCTTGCTCGCCTTGCGTTCCTGATGGACAACGGCTAGGTACCAAAAATATGGTCAGCCAATACTGTTGGAGATGACCCATAACATGTTCCGCGTGGCGTTCCATCTCAGCATTCGTATTCTTTGAAGCAGGAGGTGCGACAAATCGCTTACCAATATATCCGAGAATTTGTCCCTCCCCTGCGCTGACATGCCCAGTCCGGTTCATTTTGGTAAGAAGAAGGTTTACCGTTTGTCCGTAACCTTCCGACTTCCTCGCTGTACCACACAGTGTAGTCACATTGACTCGGATACTCCAACTTCTGCGCGGCAACAGGAAGCCGAAAGGACACAGATGAGACTCAACTGGTGGCCTTGGATAGCAAGATTCAGACTGACCAACAGTCGGGCTTGCCTCTGGTTCATTGTTTCTGTTCTTGTACATGACAAGAGGTCAGGGGTATTTCATCGTTATATTGCAAAGACAAGCAAGCATCTATAAGAACTGGTTAGAGAAACATGCTTGCTAGAATAATTTGAGCAGACTTACCACAAAGGAAAATAGCAAAAGAAACCGTTCCTTTTGTCATGCATGATCCATGCAATCATCTCTGCAGCTTCTTGCCTTGGCGTCCATTATAGACATCGTCATTCTACCGACGCGTCTGGATGAGGTCAACGACTGTTGCAGCAACATTTATATGGGGTCAGCTGGGATAGGATGGGTAGCACTTGATTGGATCGTGGATTTGAGTGCCGGCAGAATGAGGGAATCTTTAGAGTCGAGACTGTCCAAGGGCTGGAAATGACAAATGAAACCGTTCCGTTCGTCGTGCATGATCCACGCAATCATTTCGGCTCTTTCTTGCATCAGCACTCAATATAGACATCGCTATTCTACCGACGCTTCCGGAATCAACGACTGTTGCAGCAACAGTTATATGGGGTCATTTGGGATAGGATGGGCGGCACCTGATTTGAGACTTGATTTAAGTGCCGGCAGAATGAGGGAATCTTCAGTTTAGACTCTTCAAGGGCTAAGGCATCCACATTGCGGTTAGCAACTTGTCTTGTTATGTATCAATAGTGTCAACGTACCCTTGAAGATGATGCAGGCAAACTCTCGAATTCAGCCATTTTGAAGCCGAGTGGACTAATTTCGCTCAAGTTGGTACTCAAAAGTCCCAAGTCACCCGATTATGCCACTTACTAGTGGGACGAGGGATAAAGGTGGTAATGTCTGGAAAGGACCTCAGAACATTTGTAGGGATTTGGATGAAAGCTTGCAAAGTGATTTGAGAAGGTTGGAGAAGAGAAGTATTTTAGGACGTGAACGAAATGTTTTTGAGTTAAAGCTCCTTCCTCAAATGGTTGAAGTTATTGAGGAAGCCACGACCCACCCGAAACAAAACAAAGTCACGAGACATCAAAGTAGGAATATTGGAATATCTACATGTAGACTAATCGTAATACTTAGCTACCACGCCCCCAATAATAGGCTGATCCCCAATTTCACTATGAGGCACACCTCTGTCAACTCCCTTAGCCACCCTCGCCTTCACCCACTCACCAGCAGTGATACCAGCCGCACTATTATCGGTTGTCTGGTCATATCCTAGACGATACAACACTTCACTCACAACCGGTCGCAGCTCTAGACTATCCTCTGGTCGAACAAAGTATAAAACACCCAGACGGTCTACATTTCTCTGATCCGGCGGTGGTGCAACGACACGATGTATGCTACTCTTAAGGAAGCCGTTGGTAAGGAAATGGAGTGAGTCTGCGAGATTCACCGTGATGCTCCCGGGATACGGCTTAACCCACTTCCACTCGCCCTCCGGGGTGCGAACCTGCAGTGCGGCAACGGGTTGACGGAATAGCAGGGTTAAGCTGCCAAAGTCGGTATGGCCCTTGGACCAGATCCCCGCGGCCTTTTCGTTTTCTTCATCGGTACGCCGGTGGTACTTCATGTACCGTAGGTGGCAGTCGCTTTTCTCATCGTAGCGATGAACCTTTAGGAAATAGTCCTCAGGTAGCTCGAGGATGATGGCAAAGAGCGTGAGAAGCTTGCCAGCAATTTGGTCATGGATATGGCGGGCGAAGCCCTCGATGACAGGACGATTGTGATTTACAATGTCAGGCTGGGGAAGCTCAAGGGCTGGGATAAATTTTGGGATGTTATAGATCTCTGTCTTGTCGTAAACACCCGGACTGGTTTCCTGTGGAATATTAAAGATGATTTCGCGCCATATTATCGATTTTCGACTTACCCGGAGACCCATTGGCTTGTAGCCATTGTAGCCGCCTTTCTCAAGCTCCGCGCGGAACTTAAGTTTCTCCTCTAATGGGAGATTGAAGATCTCCTTGCCAATAGAGAATTGGCGGTCGACATCTTCCTGCGAAAGGCCGAAGTTGGTAATATAAAAGAAACCTAGAGCTAGATAAGTATACAAGAATCGAGATCGCCAGCTGTAATTGTACACTGACCTATATTTTGGATAGCATCAAAAAGTTGTCTGGCTAACTGTTCTTTACCACCAGGTTGGTCAAACAGAGACAGATCCAAGGTGGCGAGGTCCGCCCAGTCCACTACATGCAAGTCACACGTTAGCCGTGTCTCAGCTATCTGCCTCGCTCAAATCCTGGACATTGCACCAGAGAATGAGCAAAGGACGCAAGAAAACCTACGATCAAAAGTAGTCTCTGGGACCTGGTTGTACGTCGGGATATCAGACCCCGTAGGAGTTGGGGCTGGAGGTTGAGTCAACGCTTCCATGGCTTGTGAAAATGGTTGTAATCAAATATGCAAATGGATATAATCACAATAACTTAGGATAAAACAGCTTTATTATGGAGACAATGGGGTAGATTGGGGCTATATATAGTTGAGATGGGGGGGGGGGGAGGGTTTATTAAGATCGCCATAGTCGGTAGTCGGCTGAATGCATGGCCCAGAACTCTGGCTTAGGAGTTTGCACCCCATGATTAGTAGGGCTGTTCATTTCAAATCTGATATAGCAACTAAGAATCCATTCCAATCGGGTAATTTCTAGCTCTATTCCACTAATACCCCGCGAGGTCGATACATGGAGTGCAGGTGGACCTCTTCCAGATCTCATCATGATATCCTCCGTTTGCGTGATCAGGACCAAAACCGTGACTAAATCACGACTTTCGCCACTTTAGATTATTCAACGATATAACATTGGAAGCTCCTGTATAGCCAAAATAAAGGCTTTTTATGATAACACAATGAATCTTAACAACTCGATTTTACTAAGTCCCGCCGCGATAGAATTTGAAAATAACAGATTGATCCCAAACGTATCCGAAGAGGCCAGTTGCCCCTGTAGATCAAAAGCCCATCGACTACTCCATGTAGTATCTATCAACTGGACAATACAGTATGACCTAGTCCGTACCATTTGCAATTCTTATAGGCTATGATACAATTTCTACTCTGTTGGGCTTGGAGCTTGGTTTAAGCTTTTATAATGTTTCTCGGAGGGTTTCCATGCTGATAAAAGAGGGACTTGAATATCTAATAATGACTGCTCGTGTTAAACTGGGACTGTCAACTGAGACCTTTTAACCTTGTACCGCCGAAAGCAACATCTCGACAATGGCGGACAAAGAAATCGCCCATACCTCATCCAAAGACTTGGGTAGCACAACAGCCACTGATATTGCTTTAACCACTGGCAGCAATACCAACCATGATCTTCATTTTGCTAAACGTGGCGAAGCTTCCACAGCAGCCTCATCAAGTCAGGAAACCATCGACGGCTATGACCCGGAGCTTATGAGTGGTAGAACACTGCTCACAACCGAAGAAGAGAAGAAATTACTACGCAAGATCGACTGGCGGTTAATGACAATTTGTTCTCTTATCTTTATGTTCAAGAATCTTGATAGCAACAATGTGTGTATACACAGCCATCCTGACAAGGATACTCGTGTGTTATATCACAACTAACAGCCCGCAGGCATCTAATGCTCGCATAATGAACAAGGGAACGGACCAGAATATTATGACACAGCTTGGAATCACATCTAACGAGTACAATCTCGTGACTGTTCTTTACTATGTAAGGCATTCACCAAGTCCTGAACCAAGTACCGCGGCATATCGCTAATCATGAACGTGCTAGGTGCCATACATTGTGCTAGAAGCGCCCTCAAATTTACTACTCAAGAGATTCTCTCCTTCGAAATGGCAGTCAAGGATCATGATTAGCTGGGGTATCGCTCTCATGTGCAATGCTGCCGTGAAGAATAAAGGCGGTTTATATGCGACACGGTTCTTGCTGGGAGTAGTACGTCTCCGTTCTAATAGGTCTCATGGTTTCAGGATGGAAAGGACTAACACTGCAATAGGCTGAGGCTGGACAGTTTCCAGGTGTCATTCTCCAGATGACATACTGGTATCGCCCGGACGAGATGTCTTTACGACTCCTCTACTTCTGTAAGCTGCACACCATCCGTTTCGAAAAAGTTTGCGCTAGTTCTAACTTTATCAACTCATATAAAGATATTTGCGGAAATGTCTCGGGTATCTTCGGTGGTCTTCTTGCTTATGCGTTTGACACCGTGTCTGGGGCTGGGGGGCTTTCTGGATGGCAATGGTAGCCCAATCCTATGTCCGCTGTTCTTGAATCCTTACTAAAATTATTCTAAGGCTGTTTCTCACAGAGGGTATTGCAACCGTCATTTTTGGAGCTGCGATTTGGTTCCTACTGCCTGACTGTAATATGCCCCTTGTTTTATCCCACAAGTTCCAGTGGCTAATATGAAAGTACGGTGTAGTTCCCGAGACAGCTAACTGGTTGACTGAAAGGGAAAAGAAGTTTATACAAGCCCGACTTCCATCTAATGCTCCTCGTGCAAACGAGAAAAACTTCCAGCTACGTGAAGTTATCGAATCGTTGAAAGACCGAAGGCTATGGCTATTCACGTCAATCTGGGCCACCTTTACTGTTGGAACAAGCGGCGTCACTTTCTATCAATCAACAGTCATTGCCAACCTTGGCTACACGTAAGTCATGCACTTTCCCGCATCCAGAAGCCAACGGATGACCTCAGCCAGCATTGCTAACAGTTTCCTAGGAGCATTGCTCAAGCCCAACTCCTCAATATCCCCATTACAATTTGCGGTCTTCTGTTCATCGCGGCTACAGGAATTACAGCAGACCGTAGTCGGGTACCCCGGCCATTATACCCACTTACTTTCCTTCTCATCATCATAAGCTGTTACGGCGTGTTCGTTGCCTATCCGAGTAATGGTGCAATCTACGCGGTAACGCTGATTGGAAATGCCTTGACCGCTGGATGGTATCCGGTCATGTGGTGAGTTTTATTGTCCTAACCCGATCCAGATATTCATGTACAACTTACACTGCAATGATAGGCCATGGCGTGTACAGACCACCTCTCGGGCTACGGGATCCGCCTTCTCTATCGGATTTGTCAACAGCTATGGCCAAATTGGAGGTGCCATTGGCCCACAATTATTTCAAAGCATGTATGCTCCACACTACACAGTGCCATTTTCCGTGGCCATGGGCCTTGTGGGTATTTGCGCGATCTTGACGGTAGTAACGTGGTGGGTGACTTGGGACACGGAGCGTGACACGAGAAGGTTGAAGCTAGCTAAAATTGCAGCAGAGAGAAGAGGAGAGGCAATTTTGGAAGATGTTGTTGACAATGACTTGAAGAATCATTAGAGAAGAGCTATTGAGAAGGATAGATAGATTGAGACCCTATATACAAGCTCTAGATCATAGACCAAGTCCAACGGTCATCCACACCCTTTAAAAAAGCGCAATGAATAATTTACATGATATATAGCTATAAAAAGTAATATTTGATGATCGTGATGGTAAATATTTATTTACCCCCAAGATTCAATTCCTCCGCTTCATGCAGTTAGTAAAAAAAGGTCCGAGAGTCGAATCACAATGGAGTGATCTAACAGAAAAACCCTCCGACTCCATACATATCCCCCACAATTTGTGGGAACTTCTCTCAGATAGATAATCTTCATATTTGCACAGTTTCTAACCAGGCTGGTATTCATATCATCAGCTTGAAAAATGGACTCCTTCAACACGCAACTGCCAAGAACTTCAAGCGACCCCTACTTCAATTTGGGAACATTGAGTCGCAAAGTCAGTACCAATTCACAAGAAGCCCAGATATGGTTTGATAGGGCACTTGTTTGGACATATTGCTTTAATCATGATGAAGCAATCGCCTGCTACAAGCAGGCAATCCTGCACGACGAGAACTGCGCCATGGCCTATTGGGGAATATCTTTCTGCTCGGGGTCTAATTACAACAAAACATGGGCGCTGTTCGACGAAAGAGATCGAGTCAATGCAATCAAGCAGTGTTATATATTTTCCCAAGAAGCGCTGAAGCGGGAAAACAATGCGTCAGATTGGGAGCAAGCGCTCATCAAGGCTCTTGCAAAACGCTATCCCAACGATGATCCGAGTAGAGATCTTGCTGGATGTAGCCGAGCGTACGCCGATGAAATGAGAGAGGTGTATAAAAAATTCGGTACCGAAGATTTCGACATTATCACTCTCTTCGCCGATGCATTGATGAATTGTGCTCCGCGAAAGTTATACGACGCCTCCACGGGGCTCCCGATAGAATCTTCACCAGTATTCGAAGTAAAAGACCTACTTGATCGGGCGTTGAAGATGCCGAAAGTCGAAGTGCATCCAGGTCCCGCGCACATGTATATCCATCTGATGGAAATGTCCGCGACTCCTGAGGCTGCTCTGCCGGCAGCAGAGATGATCCGCGAAATATTCCCCGATACAGGCCACACCTTCCACATGCCTGCGCATATCGATGTTCTTGTGGGCGATTATCGACGCGCTGTGGAATACAATCTGAAAGCGACCGTTGCAGATGACAAATACTTTGAATTGAATGGCGGCTTGACGTTCTACAGCTACTATCGCCTACACGACTATCACTCCCTCATCTATGCTGCAATGCTTGGTGGAAAATCAAAGGCAGCGTTGTCAGCGACGGATCGAATGGAAGCGACTATCACGGAAGAAATTCTTCGGGTTGAAACACCTGCGCTTGCGAACTGGATGGAATTTTTCAAGGCTGTCAGAGTCCATGTACTCATTCGCTTTGGAATGTGGGAAGAACTCAAAAAACTCGACCCGCTAGAAGACAAGGATCTATATTGTGTGACGAATGTTATGCGACACTATGGAAAGGCCATTGCGTATGCGGCCACCTCTCAGCTTAACGAAGCTGAGAAAGAGCGAGAACTCTTCGAAATCGCTTCCAAGCTCGTTCCTCCAACTCGTCTCGACTTCCCTAACAAAATAACCGACATTCTTAAAGTAGCATCTGCTATGCTAGATGGCGAAATTGGGTATAGAAGAGGTGATTATGAGGAAGCATTCTGCAGATTACGGGAAGCAATTACTCTGGAAGATGAGTTACCTTTCGCTGAGCCATGGGGGTGGATGCTTCCAGCTCGACACGCATATGCAGCCCTTTCATTGGAACAAGACAGAGTTGAGCAAGCTGCACAGGCTTACGCTGAAGATTTGGGGCTCTCCCCAACCCCCAAACGTGCCCATCAACACCCGAATAACGTTTGGGCTTTGCATGGTTACCACGAGTGCCTTCAACTTTTGGGTCGTCATGCGGAGGGAAACATTATCAAGAAACAACTTTCCCTTGCTCTTGTGGAGGCAGATGTTGAAATCACATCTTCATGCTTTTGTCGGCTTGGGAAGTTGCCTTCTTCTAAAGTCAATGGCTGCCACAGTGTCGAGTCGAAGTGTAAGGACTAGAACACTTTGAGTAAATGAACATTATCTCACTGGCTTCTCGTTTATCATACGTAGAAAGACATAACAGGTAACTCGCGCTCACAAGATACGGAATAAATAACCATGCCCGGATTTCATAGTCTTTAGTAACACCGTAAAAGAATATATGTCATAAACACGGGTATCACACAACGGCATCTGCAACTTGCTTGATCATCCCGCGAACTTCATCGACGATACGGAAGCAAGGCATCAACTTCCGCGCTACCGGATCATGGGGACACAGATCGAGCGGGTCATGATCAGCAGCATCCTTCTTTCTCCGACAATAGTCTTCAGAATCAGAGCAAGTTTCATGGCCGACCATGTGACGATTGCGTTGTCGCTGTGCAAACTGATTTCCCAACACCGAAAGCCGTTCGGCATCTGCCTGAAGGCCGTGCACGACGAGATCTCGGAGTTTCTCGCCTTTTATTTGTAAATTCAGCCCTGAAGGCATTCCCCCGGAGTCAAGATAGACAGTACTTGTCTCATTCCTGATGTCAAGCTCAGTACAGTGTTTATTCAGCCAGCGGAGGTATTTTTGGTAGCCAGAAGTTGTTTCGAGCATAAGTTGGCCGATGAGGAGCACATTTTGAACCGTTAGTCGAGGCGGTTTGGACACGTCGTAGCACATAGGACAGGTAAGTAATCTCTCCGTGAGGGATACTCCTGTGCGAAGCATCGGAACGATATCGTGTGATATATTCGCGTGGCTCAATTTCCGCACTAGATCGGAAACCTCCTCGTCGCATTTACAAGATTGGGAGAACGATACAGGAGAGACGTATGCATCCAAGGCTATTGGAGGTATCTCGGGGTCGTACAGTTCGTTCTGACTTGATGTCTGCAATAGCCCAATGGGAAAGGAACAAATATCGCCGTTCTGGAGCATCTCCCACTGGGAGGAATCGAATCCGCAGTTTCCGGACAGATCGTACGGTGATGAATCGAACTCACCGATTCCCATTAGCATATTGACTGATTCATTATGACCAAAAGTCGACTGAGATATGCCAGTCGAGGAGAAATGCGAGGAGGTTGAGGATCCTGTTCGCTCCTCTTCATTCGGCAAGTCGCAGTCTGGTTCCTCTTGTCGGACACGCTTTCTTGGCCTTCCTGGGGCACCTTTTTCTTTGAATTTACAAGTCAATGCTAACCCCCTGCAACGAGAGCAACCGCTCTTTTCACCTGAGCATCTGAGCTTCCGTGACCCTATGTATCATTAGTTAGAGATTTAGGAGAGTAGATAACGGATCGTACGGCATGCTTCGCAGGAGTTTCGCTGTCGGGAATTCATATGAATGTGTTTGATTTAAGGATACCGAGATCGGAAGTTGTTGAGGTGAAGGACGATTGGTCATCCTGCGCTGCCATGGCGTCAACCGAGCTTCGAGCGGGGTACATCAACAACAGCAACAGCAACAGCCTAATTTATATGAATCGTTCCTTAAAAAAGGAATGCATCGTAGGAAAGAATAAATGCTCGAGTATTGCGTGTCCTTCTGAATGTCAAATGTTTGGAGCTGTGGTTTGCGAGTTTCTTCTCCAAAAACCTCCGAGAAAAACCACCCGAGGTTTCGCTTGGCCGTTATTTGAATGATTCTCTCCCCCATTTTAACGAAGATAATTCCAATTCTAGCTGGATAGCAAAATGGTTAAATATATAACCGCCCGCGAGTTGCGTCGGCATTGGGTAAATCACCTTGAAATTGCCCTCCTCGACGTCCGCGAAGAAGGCCCCTATTCCGAGTCCCATCCACTGTTCGCATTGAGTGTGCCAGTCTCGGAGATTGAAAAGAAATTGCCCCCATTGGTCCCTCGATTGTCGGCCCCGATTGTTTTTTACGACGATGGGGAAGGTTATGTAGATCGAGCTGCCGCCCGGATATTAGCCATGGGGTATCAGGATGTTGCAATCCTGGAAGGTGGGCTCTCAGGCTACGCCCTTGTTGGCGAGGTCTATCGCGACGTCAATGTGCCATCCAAGGCATTTGGCGAGCTCGTCGAATCCATCAACCATACCCCATCCTTATCTGCCCGGGATGTCAAGGATGTTCTGGAGAGCGAGAGCGACGTGGCTGTTTTGGATGCCAGACGTTTTGAGGAATATAATACAATGAGCATTCCTCGTGGGCGCAGTTGTCCAGGGGGGGAACTTCTGTATCGCTTTTTTGAGGCTGTACCATCTCCAGAAACCACAGTCGTCGTCAATTGTGCGGGTCGAACGCGGAGTATTATTGGGACCCAAACTTTGATCAACTCTGGAATCCCGAATAAAGTGGTTGCGCTCCGAAACGGGACGATCGGGTGGACACTGGAGGGGTTGGAACTGGAGACTAAAAAGACGGAACGGGTTCCACGGCCTTCGGACGAGGCTTCGAAAAAGGCACAAAAACGTGCTGAATCGTGGGCCAATCACGTCGGTGTCTCTTCCATTGATGGCAATCAGCTCGCTATATTTACTGCAGAGTTGGGAAACCGAACGCTGTACCTGTTAGACGTGAGAGATCCCGAGGAGTACGCCCTCGGACACCTGGCTGGCTTCTCCAATGCCCCTGGTGGTCAGTTGGTACAAGCCACCGATGAATGGGTCGGTGTTCGAGGGGCTCGCATAGTTTTATACGACAAGGACGGTGTGCGAGCGCGCATGGCAGCCAGCTGGCTCTTTCAACTCGGATGGGAGGTGTATGTCTTGGAAGAGCAACCCCGAGTGGCTGATGGACTTCCTTTACCTAAAATCCCTTCGTGGCATTCTTCAAAGGACGGTGCTATCACGATCGATGACCTCCAAAACCTCACAGCAGCGACAATCGTCGATCTCGCCCGCAGTTCATCTTACCGGAAAGGCCATATTCCAGGCGCATGGTTTGCTTCTGGACCCGAACTGGCCCGAGACTTAAGAGCTATCGATGGTGATGGCCCCATCGTGCTGACCTCACCCGATGGTGACGTCGCTGCTATGAATATTGACGATGCACGCAATTCAGTCTCGCGCGAAGTTTATTATTTGGCGGGAGGGACAACAACCTGGGTAGCTGCCGACCATCCCCTCGAGACCGACACGCGGTGGCTGTCGCAGCCAATTGACGTGTATAAGCGGCCGTATGAAGGGACAAGCAACGGTCGCGAGGATATGCAAGGGTATCTCGACTGGGAGTATGGGCTTGTCGCACAACTTGCGAACGATGGGGTGGCAGGGTTTCATGTTGTGCGGGACTCGCGTGGCGGGCAGGGGAAGTTGAATTGATTGGAGGCAAAGACCATTTTGATATTGGATCTCCCAGTCGAAGCTAGCGAACTTGGCAGAAACGATAGTGTCGGACATACGGCATTTTATTTCATAACTGCCGTTCGTAGCTTTTCTCCAACCACAATGTCCATATAATCAATGTAGATTTTATTAACACCAGGAAAGCCCATAAAGCCCATGGCCCAACCCACCCCAACCTACAAATGGATTGGGCTTTGGGTCCGGTCCTTAGGCCCACCGGTGGGTTACAGGCCTAGGGTAGAAGCCATTGGACTTTAGTGGGGCTTAATGGGCCCCAAACAGTATATACATGCTAAGGATTTAGGTGCCAAGTGAAGTTGAACCTCCTTTTTCTATTATTTTAATTACGCTTTGTTTTACCCGCGTCTCTAGGCGTTTTCCTTAAGGTAATATTCTACTATGTATGTATTTAAATGATTCAGAGCTTAAATATTCAACTGAAATTCCCCATTCAATCAACTACTCAGTATTTGACAACACTGCCCACGATTCTTATTTTAAGTTACCACCTACTCGAAATTGTTTAGCTCAGGAATCAATGATAATCCGTAATCTAGCTGTGGTTAGTTTATGGCCTTTAATAAATCCTTTCGGTCATGTCTACAGATGGCATAGTAATGCGGTCCAATATATAGTAAGAGAATAAGCAATTTATAGAGTATGAGGAGTAACCACGGAGAGATGTACGATGTATTGTCATCAAATGCATGTCTTTTTTACTGTGTAAAATGTAATTATTACAGTGGTGACAGAATATATGGCAGAATTGCTGGTCGCACCTAATCAGGAAGGCGATACTAAAAAATGAGGCATTCCCAGGCAGGAGGGGAAGGGTTGTCAGATTAAGACAGGGGGAGTTATTTTACCAATCCCTATATTAATCATTGTGACAAGGTCTTAATTTCCTGTACAAATTAATCTCGATTTTTCCCTAGAGCATCCATCATTACACAAGGGAAAAATATTGAAAGAATAGAGAGATCTACTTTGTTGTACATATAATTGTCAGAATGAAAGAAGAGGCTAACCATAGATATAATGCGTTATGCATTTGCTCCAAAAATATTTAGTACGGCGACAATAAGGTAGGCGGGTAGGGAACCATGGGGACGGGAAACTCCCACTCCCGTCCGGATGCTAACTGTGGTTAGTTTAGTGCATCCATAAATGGTTAGCGCCGTCGATCTTTGGGAAATATCCATGGGTAGGGAATTCCCGACCCTTCCCGGCGGGAAGTGGCCGGCGGGATGGCGTAAGGCGTAACGGTAAAACGCCATCTGGCATTCCTTTGGTAGGGACGAAGAATAGTGGGGCCTATTTTTCTGAGAAACCTAGAGGACTCCGGTTCAAATCCCACTGCTGGCTCGAAACATCTACCAAAAATTGACTGTCCTATCCTGTTCGGAGCGAGAATCTTGTAGTCCTAAGGGATGTCACCCTCTATAGGCTACATCCCTCATCAAAAAAAGGAAGGGCGGGTTTTACCTCAATCAAGCAAAAACCACACATCGGAGACGGGATGGCTTATCCACGTAATCAAAAATAACTGAATGAAGTTGTCTTCTGTGATTGCACTCTATGTACATAATTCCGGAGCTTGGCACATCCTATACCCCATTGGAGATTTGAAGGGGCAAGGTAGACAGGGCCGTAAAGGCTCTGCCTTCGCTCCTTCCGACGTTAAAAATCTACTACTACTACTACTACTACTACTCCCGGCAGGAAGTGGGAATGGGAACGGGAAGAAGGTGCTTATTTCCCTACCCTACCCCACCCAATGTAACTCACTGGCTTGTCCAGCAAGGCTGAATGTAAGGTTAGATTCCGTTGACACCCTTACTTGTTGCGATTGGGTGTGGACAGTGGTATTCTTAACATTGGCTACCTTGGCCGGTGTATGAAAACGTATTGAGTGTATAACTCATGTCAGTAATAGAATGCACATCACTAGTTGGTGTCATGGGCTCGGAATAGTAATTAATGACAAACTGGTATTCCTATCTAAACTATTGTAGCCGTCGATGAGAATATCAAATCTGGAGAGAAAGGACGAGAGATCTATCTACAGGAGAAAAGGGATTTATCCATGTGGTTGGTGTATGGCTACACTAGTGCCATCTTTATTTGCTTGTTCAGACAGCGGCGTTTGTTGATATCAGCCAAAGGATAAGGTGTTGTCAGGAATTGGAATGATACCGTCATTTTACTTGAAAACATGTGTGATCTCTTCACTATACAACTTGCGTAATTGTGATCAACCACCTGGATAGAATGTAAAATACAGACAACTATTGTTTTTAGTCAGAGAGAGAATTTTATCATCATGTTATAACCAGTATTTTCGCCATACACCTGATTTCTATCAGTTAGAGTCTCATTGCTGATAATCGAATTCATAGCTGCGGATCATAGAGGATGATCCATTTATTATATGTGAAGTGCTTCTTGATCTTGTCTGTATACACATATGGTCAATCCGGCTATAGCTTTGTAAAAGAAAACCGACGTAATTCAGGGCACCAAAATACATAGCTCATCCAGAGAGTAACAATTGCTTATGAAAGCCAAGAGAATCTTATCATCATTGATGATGCCCGTCCCCGGATTCAACATGTTTGGTGGCTGGCTGTGTCTGCATTCTGGGCCTTGGTATGAGGTGTGCATGGCTGGCTGACACAAGTAGCCCTAACCGAACTCCATAAGCATCCACCCACACAACCAATCTAACTAAGCTGTTGATCAATAGAACTCTTTATGCCATATTACGTACGAAGTAACTCGGGGTAATACAGCAGCAAGGGTTACTTGAATAAGTAAATTATGCTACCAAATCTGCAATATTCACTCAGGATGGATGGGAACTTAAGCTTACACGACTACTGGCTATATTATGCCTCCATATTCAAGGACACCCTGCATTCCATGATGTTATTCACTTGAGTCATGAGGCACAAACATGCCCGGGGATTCCTTCTGCGGAGGTGATTCAAACATGATTCAAACATGACTATGAGACTATGTGAATCCAATCTAATATGACTCTCACTGCACCTGGTTTAGTGCAGAATCATGCAGGCCTTGCAGCTTAATCCACACCGAATGCAACTCTACTTCTGAATAGCAAGTTTACATCGGAATGGTCATAATATCATGGGGAGTGCTACCAGCTCTATCCTGCGCTGCATTCAGCTATTCTGTTTCCAGGGCTCCTGGGAACTATCCTTTACATCTCATGCTATAAGTACCATGCCAATCCTCAAGCTTTGGATCAATTCCCAGTCACACCGCAAAGTGCAAAAGGACAACAGTTTCCTTTGCACCCTGCTCTAATATATCTTAACCCCTTCTTTTCAAAACCTTTATCCTTCGACTATTTCCCCACAAAATGGGTAACGGCAACCCTAGAGCTCCTGGAGGCCCAGGGGAAATCAGGAACCCACGTACAGGAGGTGATCCAGCCGGCAAAAAAGCATTCGAATTGCTACATGGCTCTTCTGAAGTGGATAAGATTCGTGTGTGGATTGGCAATGGCAAGCCACCAAACCCGAAGGAGCTGATTCTAGCCCTTCAGCTAGTTTACGTTGACCACTCTGAAAGTGAGGTTGTTGGAAAGAAGAATCACGATGATTACATTAGGGAGGAATTCGATTTAAACGCTAAGGAGGTCATTACTGAGATGTCCCTCTACACTGGATGGCGTTTTGACCGTTTCCTGATCAAATCGTTCGACACTGGAACGGGAAACAGCCGAGAATGGAAAGGTGGAGCAAAGGATGGTGGAAACCCACATGAGCAGAAAGTGGGAGAAAAGGTTCTGTTAGGCTTTTGGGGCTACCATGATGATGATGAGATTGTTCAGATTGGATCAATCTTCAGGGGTGATTCTTAGGTATGCGCTCTGGAACATATTGCTGCAGGACTCAACTGACATTTATTGTTGTACTGAACAGGGGGATCTTCAGATTTCTTGTGAAAGGAGTTGAAAAGGAAGGTGCTAGTCTGGCTTGTTGTATTCTATGATTAATATGCCTTGGTTTGGGTTTTTGTCCATATGGTGCGGTTTCCCTATTCCATAATGCAAATGCAGAGGCTGTTGATTCAGTGTTGCTGTTCCTTCCTAAGCTTCGTAGTAATTTGTGACAACACGTTACGGGCTAAGCCCACAGTGCTTAATCACTAGCTGCTTGACAGGAAGGGAGCAAGGGTCCTAGGGTTACCTCTGGGTGACACTCCCCCACCCTTGGGGATTATCCAATTAAGAGAGATAGAGTGCTTCCCTCAGGCAGTACACTTTTTGCTCAATACTAGCAATAATGCTGCCCAAGAAATAAGACGTATGAAGTGAATATTCCGCCTTTTGCAACTTGCGCAGCCCTGATCCGCGGGGAGCCTTTCCCCTACAGCGTGAACCAATAGCGCCTCGGCGGTATATAAGACTTGTGCAATCTGGCTATTAAAAGCCTAACTGATTATAGGCATTCTATGAAGGATAACAGAACAAATGTCACAGTTCAGGCTCTTCTTGACAGATTACCTTGTAATTACCTTGCCCGAACATTCCGGGGAAAAGCGGTGGTCGGGAGTCTTCAACCTAACCACCATGTTTTCACAAGTAATGCCAGTCTAAATATTTGTTGTATCAGCCTATTTGCAATCAACTCCTCTAATCATATTTGGTCGTTTTGGGGTCTTCAACTCTCATCCAATCGATACTCCACCTCTGTCTTCGTAGCTTCTTCACAAGATCCTGCAAGTTCTATTCTACAACATAAAACTCCTGGTTGCTGATATAATATACTATACATGATAATCACAAGAGGTCACCTCCTAGGCTTGGGCTTGTGCATTACCATGTGATATGTAATGCCAGAGGCCTTGTCGCTAGGCATACTGATCGATGAGTGATCAGCCCTTCAACCTTGGAACCATTCAAGTATCCGCTAAATCATTCTTTTCTTCCGTTAATTCTTGGCCAACCTTCGTCTTCGAAAATCTTTGAGTAGAAAGATAAGGGCGAGAACAGTGCCGAATGCTGTCAAACCGACAGAAAACCAGAGAGTACCCCGGTAACCATGAAGCAAGTCTGCCTTGGTGTGTCCACCATTGTTGATCTCAAGTTCAATGGTACCAGCGAAACCAAGACCTAGCGATATACTGTAGACAACAATCGTCATGATCACACTGGATCCCATGCCCTGGTACTGTCGAGGGACTGCGTTTGAGAAGATGATCGTGGCCGCAGGCAACGATGAATCCATTGCAAAGGTGGCGATAATGGTAGCGAAAAAGAAGTAGGTCCAGTATATCGAGTGTACGGGTCGCAAGGCCATGAGAAGGGAAGTGACGAAGTAGCAAAGCATTGCAAACAACATGATGGACGAGGCTGGAACCTTGGTGATTATTTTGCCAACGACCAATGCTGTTCCTATGCCGGTGATGAGGATAGGAGAAAGCCATGCAGCCAGTTGAATGGGAGTTTGGCCACCGATATTGAGGCTTATTCGGATGACGTAGAAAAGCTAGACACATGCTTAGTTTGACTTGATTTGGGTGCCAAGATTAGTACTTACCCAGATGCCAAATGTGGACCAACCCGCTGCTGTACAACCGAAGACGAAGGCGATGTCGGAAGTGAGAACGGCAACGGGTAGGATTGGATAGCGAGCTAGGTGAAGTTCGATGTAAAAGAACGCTGCCAGGAACAAGACACTCAGGATCAGGCATACGTAGACGTAAGGTTCGTCCCACGTAGTGACAAGACTCTGATTCCAGGCGAAGTTGAATAGAACCAGAGCTATCACACCGTTTGTACCTCCCAGAATATCGAGGCGGTCTAGAATCTCGCGAATCGTTTGTCGCTGCTTTTTCTCACCATCGACAGGCATATTTGGGATTGCAACGATAGAGAGAACGAAGAGAAAGGCAACCCCCAAAGCTTGACTCCAGTAGATCCATGGCCACCAAGCTATGGCGAAGAGGGGCCCAAAGAGGAGACCTGCCATCGCACCGACTGGGGCTGATGCAGCAAACCATGCAAACCCCATGTTTCGATTGTGTCCGGAGAAGCATTTTCCCATAATGGCGAGTGCATTAGGCACAGTCAAGGCGGGACCAAGGCCCTGCAGGACACGAGCAAGGATGTAGACGGGGTAGCTGGAATAGGCAGAGACCCCTGCCATCATGCTGGTCAAAGCAAGCCAGCCCATACCGATGATGAAGATTGCCTTATTGCCAAACTCGTCACCCAAACGTCCTCCAATCAAGATAAATGTCCCTAGAGTCAAGCCATAGCCAGATATTGTCCACGAGAGTTTACCAGGGTCGGTGACACTAAAGGAATCTCCGATTATTTCCAGGGTCGTGAGGCTGTTGCATAAGCCCAACTGATTGGTGAACATGGATGAACACACCGTCATGATGAAGATGATCCGCCGAATCAAGGAGTAGCCATCGGCAATGTAGACGTATTCATCTTTCACAGTCTGTGTAGAACCTATACCTGGATCTGGTTGAGTTAGTCAAGTTCAAAAGGCCTCCAGCTCAGGAAATCTTTGAGAGAGACTTACCATCGCCATGCCTTGGTGGAATTTTGGAATCATGCGCAGTTTCCTGCCCTTCTATAGATGACGTAGTGGCCATTTTGAATAGGATTGAATGTCACTTGACTATAGTGGCGAAGAGGAGATTTATGGAGAAAATAGAGATAATTAAATTTAAGATATGAACTAAATAAGGCTAAGCTGTCTTGAAATGCAATGCAGTTTTGATGCTATCTAGATATTTGTCAGAATCCATTTCCGGAGCAACAACACCGACTGTAGTTCGGGGAAAAGTCTCCGGGAAAGTCTCCATTGTTCCGATCCCCGACTTCCTTACATGAACCTGTACAGCTAAGGCTATAGCCGCCACAAATACCATATTTAAGATATTGAATCATCTTAATACCTTATCCAATTTCACTCTCTATATAATGGGTTCATCTAAGTGGTATAAAAAGGTATCTTTTCAGGAGTGATCAATTCATGATTTTCATATACTGAAATACTGAAAATAGAAGGGTTTCTTGGCCTGATCGATTATAGATATTGAAGAGGGAAACGCTCAAGGCTGTATGCTCTGTTATATAGGGTTGATTTACTCGAGATTCCAGTTTGCACCTAAGGTATGTGTCGAACGGACCTCGAAGTACTGAAACCTATCTTGGCCGCCGCTTCAATGAGTGCACTCAGAGTCTAACTCAGTAAATCTCAGAGTCTGGGCTCAACCTTAGTTGCTCAATGTAGTCAGGTGGCAATTTTGTGAGGCTCAGAGCGGAAAAACAGTGGCAATATCGACAGTATGTACCTGACATTGGTATCGATCAACACCCCTATATATATCTTCCCCTCATTTCGTATGTCCTTAGCTCTTCGGCTAGGTCCACCACGTTGACATGCTCATGAGTCAAACCCTGAAGTCCAGCACTCGGATAGTATGTCCCCATATTTGTGCATCAACCCCCTAAGTGCCACGCCACAGGTTTGTGATCCGCCAATAGTAACGTCAAGTGACATGAGTCCTTTCATGAGAATGTTGATTTGGCAGTCCCAGATCCCGTCCGGTACCAAAAGCTGTGCATCATTCTCTAATGAGCCATCACACTTAGAGTGAAGCTGTAGGCCTATCACGCTCTCGATAGCCCGTTGGAGGGCCGTGACAGCCAAACTCGGAGTAACATGATAAGCGGTGAGTGGTACTTCCGCGCCAAGTCCGTTTTGGAGGTTGAAGGCTTCCTCGGTGGGCAATTTAAGTACGCATTCAACTACCTGTGCCACGCTCGATGCTGCGTCGCGCTGGTATTCTCGAATCGCTGGGCCTATTTCTTGTTCGACAGAGGAATCAAGGCCCTGGGTTACCTTTTTGAAAACCTCGGCGAGAAGGAAAATGCCAAGGTTCCAAAACATCACGAGGGAAACTAAGGCATAACCAGTCAGTGAGGCACTAGTAATAGAATTGTGGGAGAAAGGACGAGTGAGCGAATTAGACAACGTGTAGGTGTCTGGCTTACCAAGAGATATCCTAGGACACGTGGACAGGCAATGGAAATTCCTGATGCACTGAAGGATGAAAGGTTGGAATAATTCGCTGAAGCCACGGACAGCAGCCACACTAATGTTTATAGCTTCGATTGTTGACGAGCACCGCTCATGTAGAGTTCCATACGCCTGATTAGCAACGGTTTTGATGTTTATAATCTGCCTCCAGACAATAAATGTTTCCGCGCTGGCTTTCCGACAAATGGGTTGAACATTGATATCCAGCTCTAGAATATTTTGAGTGACTGCCAATGCTGCCACAGCGTCTTTATTTGAGAGGACTATGCGTTTGTAGTTTAGTTCCCATGAGTTTGAAAGTGCCTACGTAAAGAACACTAACCTTTTGTAGTACCCCACATATCTGGAAGTTTGCATTGTCGATCCATCGCTAACGCTGCGCCTGTGTCGCGGATATACGCAGTCCACCGGATGATGTTCAAACATGCTTCAGCAAGAGCGCCGTATGTGGATGATGGACCTAGGTTTGCACAGTATTGCTTGACCAGCCCATCTAAGTAGGATAACTTTTGCAAAGCTGTGTCAAGGAAGTGGTTTGGTACAGGATCCTCCCTGTCGGTTATTTTAGTTGGTGTAACAATCCCGACAAACATGAGTGTTGCCAATACAACTCGGAATGATCGAACATCATGCGCTTCATTGAGAAGTGATCTTGCCCGTGCCCAAGCATCAATGAAAGCGTCCAGGGAAGAATTATCTCCTGTCTCTCCAGTCTTTGAATTCGGAGGAGAGTCACCATAAGCAGATCTCGTTTCAAAAGAAGGGGAACTCGGCAACCATTGCATCGAAAATGCGCGAAGGACTGCAATGAAGGTCTCATCTGATTTCTTTCGCGCAGCCGAGTTCAACCGATTGCCATAGAGGTCGCCCAAATGATCAAGGAACCGAACACTTCCCAGCAAGGAAATTTCATGAGACATTGCTTGTGAGTGACCAGGAAGAGCAAACCGGGGTGCAATGACGGTTGGACCCACGGTTGACCTGGCAGGTGCCGAGCTATCTGAGCTCGCCGAGTCACTGTCCCCCAACCGGTAGCGAATCCCAGTCGCATAGAGATTGCAGTCATAGTCCAAAAACCTGGAGGCACTGGCTGTTGCGATTGCTTCATAGATCCGAGCGAGACGATCACCGAAGATCGTCGCGTCGATTCCAGAATTCAACAGGTAGATCGGACTATTGAATGAAAGGCCAACCGCTGGTCGGTGATTAACTGATTCGAGACTTTGTCCTCCGTGCAAGCGAGTCAGTTGGGAAGTGGCAGCCGTAACTTGATCCTCACGCTGGGTCTCTGGCGCTATGTGTCCAGAAAGAGTCGCATCGAATGATCCAGAAGGCTCGAGGTTGGTTGAAAAGAGGTTGACCCTATCTGTCACGATCTCATCATAATCAATATTCAGCCAAGCTGCTAGAACGTCTTGGTCGGCGATAGAGGCAGCATCGAATCGATTGCTCGGACTTTCAGTGACTTCTTCAATTATTGCATCAAAGTCGTTGGGTTCATTTCGTGGTGTTGACCCACTGGCTCCCCCGTAGTTTCGTCTCTGTCGTTTGCGAGAGAAAGGCCTACTGGACTGGGCTATAGCGAATTCGAATGTACATTGGCGTCTCAGGCGTTTGCAATTCGTGCAGATCACATCAGCACTCACTTCTGGATCTGGTTGCACAACACAGCGTCGCTTGGAACGTCTACATGGATCACAACTTGTGTTTTGGCGCCGTGGTTGATCCACGGGAGATGTTGATACCCTTGGAGATTTGAGGTCTCCCGGCATTCCGTGTCTACATGATACCTACAAGATGAGGTAGCGTCCTAAATTGGGTTATTCCGGACGCGGCTGTATTGCTTTTCCGTTCCGCGCCGCCACTGACACCTTGAATTGTGACTGAAATATGAGGCACCACTCAAATGTTGGAGCTGTACGCCGGCATACCGGAGGATTTATTAATCCTATGTGTGAACCCAACCCAGGCCCATTGATGGGGGCGCATTGGGTCCCCATTAAAGCCCATCGGTATCTAATAAATTGGCCTCTGTAATTTTTTGAACTATCTAAATCAACGCGTTTTTCGCGTTTTTAAACGTGATATAGAAATATAACTAGTAACTAATTCTAAACTATTTAAATGAATAGAATATTACCTTAGGTATAATAGTGAGAAACGGTGCTAAACAGAGGGTTATTAAAAAACCTGTTTGGTGCCTATTGGGCTTTACCGCGGGCCCATAGCCCACCAGTGGGCCCGAGGATAGGGCCAAAGCCCAAGCAATTAGTGGGTTGGGATTTGGGCTTTTATGGGCTTTGCGGAGGTCTACTAGTAACCGGTGGCCCATTTTAGTTAACTGATTGTTAGCAAAGCCGATACAGAAATACAAAGTCTTGCCTAGCTGAACCCGATTGATTGGACCCCTACATAATACGTCCCACGCCCACGTCGAAAATGTATTCAAGGAGAGGAGAATCATCATAGTGTAAACTTAAACATCCAAATATGGTACACTTCTCATGCCCAGCAATATTACCTAAAAAAAACTCTATACATACATAGAGGGATAGGGCATAGTGGAGGATTTCTCATGCCTAGAGTTTCTCCCCGGCTGCCCTCCGAATGCAGTCGACAATGAAGCCCGGGTTGCTCATGAATGGGGAATGGCCCTCCTCGCATTCCTCCACATCGAAGCAACCTTCGCCTTGTGCAATCATCCTCCGTTGGAACGGTTCCCGCAATGCCTGGTCGTTTTTGCAGACAATGTATGTGCTCGGTATTTCACGGTAAGCGGTGTACGTGGCAGGAACAGTCAACGGGCCCACGGGGAATGTACCGAGCAGCTCCACAGCCTTATCAATATCCTTCTGATCGCAGCGGTTATAAAACACGAGGTGGATATGGTCTTTCGGGAGACTAATTGCTCCGTCCTATCGACAGGTTAGTATTGTCGATATAGAAGCAAATACTCGGAGCCCATACCGCTGACACATCTAGTCCACCAAACTTCTCCTCCAATTCCTTGCGCTGACGCTCGAGCTCTTCTTCCTCGGGCGTCTGCGGGACTAACTGGCCGATATGGGTCTGGCCTTCCGGCAACGCCATCGCGCACATGTATACCAGCTTCAGAACCCCGCCTTTCAAACCCTGTACGTCTCGATCCTTCTTTCCCAGACCCTTGGCTGCCTCGGACATGGCAACGCCGCCAAATGAATGTGCGAGCACGACGACGTCCTTCCCAGCATCCAGTTTGTTCATAATCACTTGACGGACAGCTTCCGCATCTTTGTTCCAGCTGGCCAGTGGTGGACTGGAGTCCACTGAAGGCATGGTCACAGCTTCTGCATCGTAGTTGACTTTTGCTAGCTCATTAATAAGGCCTTGGAAGTGTGCAGGTCGGTGCCATGCACCCGGCACAATAACAATTGCAGGATTGTTCATCATGAAGCTGTGTTAAAATAGAAGAGTAATTGAGAGTGGTAATATGAGCTTGAAGTACGATGGAGATGAAGATTTTAAATATCTGGAAATGTAAGGAGCATATATGTAGGTAAACATTTTGAGGGCCCCACATCGGAGCCGCCTCAAAGTGGATCTCTTGGTCGGAGCCGTACTGAATCATTACATGCTGATTGGTCAGATCTCACCAGCTTCATGGATACATATATGTATTATATTACAAAGTAGTTCCATAACCTGCTCTAGAAGTTTTTTCTTTAGACATTCCTTCCGCTTCTTCTTTTTGCTGCCGACCTATAGAACTGGCACGTCTACACAGAATTATTTCTGAGAAGACCACTAAAGAGACCACTGAAAAGACTTCTGAAGGTTCCTATTAAGATATTCCTTTTTGAGGTATTGCTATAAACGTATCATTTATCTATCAGATTTCCTCGTGGGAGTACTATAATCCCACTTTCCTCTTTCTTCCTATTCCTCCTTTGAGTCCTCTCCTCTTTACTTTTACACTTCACTTGGCCAACTTATACGGGCCCAGATTATTTGACACCCAACACATCAACAAATTCAGCTAATACGGACCCTAAAAGGTAAGAGTATCAATCTAACTAACTATAATAAGAGCTAGACTAATAAGAATATATGTCCACAGTAACCCCGGTATCCATTCCAGCCTACCGATTCTAAAGCCAGGCGATCCGATCCCTTAGGCTGGAACTTGGTCAAAGTACACCGAACGTCTTCTTCGGTCCATTGCAAAGGAAGGAGAACATATCAGATCAGTGTTATTGAAGTTCCTGATAGTTATACTGGATTGCTGCCATGCGGCCGCTGAAACACGGCAGTCTAACTCGACAACAAACATTCACCTCGTGGTGGCGCGTGGAGCTCATGAAATTGCGCCCGAACACTCAAATCGCGCTTCGTTTACCCAAAGATTGTTCCGCGCCATGCAAAAGTCCAAGGGCCAAGAGAAGTTCACAACGACTGAGTGGTACTAGTCATGCCGTATGTTCAACACGAGCAGATGATTTGTATTCCTTCTACCCAGACAATGCTCTGAAATTACAAAGCGGGAGGAATGAAGAATCCAACAATGACTCTCGAAGTGGGAGTGTCAGAATCATACCAACAACTTCAAGGAGATTCTCAGTGGGGCGCCAACACTTCTGGTTGGTGCTTCCAATCCCTTGTCAATGTTAAACGGCGACCGGTTTGGAGGGTAGACTTTGAGGTCTGGAGGCATGTACCAAAGCCTCGCTTCGGCCCAAGAACCCGATGTACACTAGGTAGTGTCAATTGAACAATACATGAAAATAGAATGATATCTGAGACTAAAAATACACCACAAGGCCGCATAAGCTGCTCTAGTTAACTAAACAAATTGATGACACATAAGCTGAACAATCTACGGAGTACTTCAGATGGTAACTGAAATGTGGAGCTCAAAGTGATCGACATATGTACGCGAGTTTGCCTACACGCGATGGGCCTAAGGATCCTCCAAGGTCACACAAGTCAAGTGATCGGAGATCAGCGTCTGTGCATGGCATATAGTATGTGCTTATATAGGTACTCGATAATGCATTATTAGTATATTCGATATTGTTTTTACTACAGAGCTTTGGGAGGTAGTCCATTAATACGCTATAATCCAGGTATGCCATGGAAACAGCCGCACTGGAAGCAAAAAAAGAAAAGAAAAGAAAAGAAAAGAAAAGAAAAAGAAATTGCGGGAAAACACGGACAGCATCAGCTCTAGGTAGAGTAGCTGAGTCTATCACATCTTGGCGAGATGCTCAGCTCCACATCTAGAAAGATGGTGATCCACTTCCAAGGAACATATCAAAAGGTATCCACTAACGTGCAGGTGGAACAAAATCTGCTACGATAAACTCTCAATCTTGTCGGTGAGGAAGAGATGTACGGAGTACTCCGTACTAATCTCATAGTTCATCCAATTCTCTGCCCAATCTTTTGGACCAGTCGAATGCTGCCTTTTCACTATTTTCCACCCAGTTCACATTGTAATGGGCCTTGGTGAACCTTCTAGTTCGCATAGCCACGGCGACTTTTCAACTTCAGATGGAATATGATTCTGGTTCTTTTCAGTGCTAAGTAGTATTTCGGAAGAAATTATAGAATAACCTGCATACGTCATAAGTTGACGCCGCACTTTAAATGAGAACATCCAAATCGTCGATAGGAATTAGCCTTTATCATGGTGGAAAATACTGCCTAAGTCTCCATCATTCTGCATAAATTTACTGAACAGGCAAAATGATTGGCCGGCATCTCGTGTTGCAGGGAAGAAAGTTAGAAGGCCAAAACACTACGATTCTAGGCGATACGAAATATATCAGCTAGCAGTTTGTACATAAAGTATACAAAACAACCCATCGCACATCTATCCAGAAGTTATCTCACTTGATAATTGAGATTAGTTCCTTCGTCTTCCATGATGCCCCAAACAGAATCCACCTTGCAACTCTTATCTACTCCTCTATTCCAATCGAAGGAATATGAGCATCCAGGCTATAAAACCCTGGAACGTTCTTACTACCGAGCCAGGTCAATAGCCAGACATCATCGTTAGTCTATACAGCATGAAGTCACTGTATCGGGACTAACAAGATCATAGGGCTCACCATTGACGACATCCTCTCTCTCACCCCGAAGTTCTGGCAATCGCATATGGACCCAATAATCATCCGAGATACTGTGGCTCACGTTCTTTTCTCAATTCAATTTAACCTTGTTGCCGGTACAATTGCCCCTTATGTGATGAAGAGGCCGGATCTGAGACCTGTGATGGAGAAAATTCTGAACTTCGATGTTTCGTACGATAAATCCAGCAATACCAATTTATAGACCATGCTAACATATCATATTACAGTGCTTGCTTCATGCTTAACGAGGTTGGCCATGGCTGTGATGCGAAAAACCTCGAAACCACAGCGACATTGCAGTCCGATGGTAGTTTTATTCTCCACACCCCGACACCCGGAGCAGCAAAGTAGGAAATTCAACGAAAGCAGAAGGGATACTATATTAACATCTATAGATTTATGCCACCCTCAATGCCCATAGCAGGCATTCCTCGAATTGCTGTTGTATTCGCACGTCTCATGGTTGGAGGAGACGATAGAGGGATCCGCCCTTTTATAGTTTCACTTGGAGACGGGAGGAAGATGTGCAAAGGTGTAACATCAACGTGCGTGAGAGAAACAAACGAGATTACTTCAACGACTAAAAACGTTCAGATTACTCCCTCCCATCGCCTGTGGACGGACTCTCGACCACTCCATCACTTCGTTCAACCAAGTCCGCCTCCAACCAACAGCCATGCTAGGCAGTCCCAGAAAGCCTGCCAACATGCGAATTCAATTTTTGATAGCGATTAACCGTCTAGGATTTGGAACATTGGCTCTAAGCTTAGCAACAATCCCTGGCCTGAAATGTGCCGCGCTCATAGTGGGAAAGTACAGTTTCCGTCGAATGATATGTGATGTTCAAGGATCTCCGAAGCCGATTGCCTCCTTCCGTACCCAGCAGCTGCCCATCTTGCATGCCCTGGCAGAGAGTGCGGTTATGGAAGCGTTTGCGAACTGGATCACGGCAGAATTCAGTGATACTTCAGTTGACTTTGCTGTCCGACATGGGTTTGCGGTTATCTTCAAGGGAGCTGTTATGCAACACACCCAGAAAAGCCTTTCAAACCTTCTTGAGCGGTGTGGCGCTCAAGGCGTGTTTGTTCATAATCAACTGGTGGAAATGGAGGTTCGTTGATTTGACAACTGAAAGATCACCCACGAAGTACTGACAGGTCTGTGTAGGCTCAAAACCGATGCAATGGTATCGCAGAAGGGGAAATTCTCGTTCTTTGCATTCGTGAGGTCCCCTAAATCTGAGCATGTACATTTTATACCGCTAACACATTATAGGACTGGCCACGGAAATTCTCCTCGGTCGATACGAAATCCCCAAAGCCATCAATCCAAATTCGTTAATAGCAAAGCATGAGGAAGGCTACATTGCAGAACTATTGAAGCTCCAGGCGGGTATCCATGAAGGCCACAGAAGCGAAGCCTACAACAATCACATGCTCCCTCATTGTCGGCCCATGATCCTAGCGATAGGACATCGCATGGCATACGAGGCTGCGGTCAATGCTGGAGTTGATTCTGATTTGCTTGCTCTATACGAAGCCGGTGTAGTCAAGACCGACTCTAGTTGGTACGTTGAGAATATGGGACTCAAGCGGGCAGATCAATTTGAAATGGAACGCAAGGCAGCCGATGCTCTTGTGCCGCGGATGGGCGAGCTTTTGGACAGCCTGGATACGTTGGATCCTTATCTTGCGGCTCCAATCCTTTCCGCAGAGAGATGGGAGACGTTCGTTGCTGACTGCGAGACTATTGAGGGAGATGCGTCCTTTGAGATTTTCGAGGGGAGAGATGTGCGCCCCAATCTTTGAAGATGAGCTCTGAGTCCTCTAAAAGCGAGATGATAGCGAACAGAAAGAGGGCAACCCCCCAAGGGAGCCAACTGGTAGATATTATTTGACATGCGGCGCCGGCCTATTAGTCACACACCTTCCCTGTATAATCCCCGACTTGGCCGGATCAGGACCGAATTAGCACCGAGATGACATATGCTGCTTTTGCTTATTGCAATTCTCACTCAAGCGTAGGTGTGCAGTGTTGTATTATCATGGTTGGCGGTTGTCTGCAAATGGCCATACTGCTTCCCACTGCCTTCTCTCTTCACTTGTAGTGCATTGAGAATTCAAAAGTTCATGCCGACACTGTTCCAGCCGCACTTTGTAGTGCTCATAATTGTCGTGGTTCACCCAGCCATCCCATCCCCGGTATACGCCGACTTGATCAATGAAATCCTCCATTAGTACAACCCCACTCGCCCACTTTTCCTCGTCCTCCTGTTGCTTTTGTTTGTCCTTCTCGGTAAAAGAAAGTGGACATGGGACGGTCGACCCTACACGAGTTGCCCATTCTTCCTGTAGTTTTATGAGCATGCCTTGAACAATTGGTTCACCGTCACTGAAGAGAGAGCCGGAAAGGCCGGTGATTTGGCCAGCAAGTGAATCTTTGAACCGCAATGCGGCTGCAACCTCGGGGCAGTCCTGCATCATCTGGATATCATAAAGTTTATAGAGAGACTGAGCAGCACGAAGCTTCTTCGCCTCGAGCTGCTCTTCCACGCTGAGCTCATCGAAATTCTCGGGTAGACTGATAGATTGTAGTCCCTCGGGGATGGGCCCATCGAATTCAATCAGGCCTGGATGACGGACTTGAAGAAATAGAGGTGACAGGTTCACAGCCTGCCAATCAATAATAGAAAGAATCTGCGTTGGTTGATCCGGATTCACGAAGATGTTATCCCCGTGCAAGTCGGGGTGCCATAAAGCAGGTTTGGATACTTCTTTGTCTTCTGGTAATAAAAGTCTAGCCACTTTGAGATAATTCCGCAGCGTGTCTTGCTTGCGTTGAGCGGTGGGCTGGTATTGACCAGGCCCAGAAAAAAGGCCTTGCTGACGTGGGAAATGTGTAAAGGTCTGTAGACAGGCAAGTTCACGGCGAACACGATCACACACGTAATCCTCAACGGATGCCCCTATCAGAAAAGAAAAGGTCTGCCAATGAGCCGAGAGAGAGACACTTACAGGGCCCTTGGTGTACGCTTGCATCAACAGCATTTCTCCCATCGTCGAAAAACATTCGATTTGTGGTCGGACCAACCGCAAAATCCAAGCCCATATTGCTCTTTTTAGCTCCAAGGTCAATCATCTGATCTGATTGAACTTCGGAAAGGTCCTTTGCATAATATAGGCTTCCGTACATAGGAAACCGAGTGGATACAAGTGCTTTCTCAAATCCAATGAGTTGTTGAACGATTTCGAATTTGTCAGGACCCGGTATATCATCCCACAGCTTGCCAAGTTCCACTCCCGGGCTCTTCTCCATTATAATATACTCGGCTCCAATCTCTTCAGCAGAGGGGCTCCAAGCGTACACCACGGGGGCTGGAATATTGAGTACATTTCGAACCTAAAAGAAAGGGTTCAGATCATATAGCTTGGCAACATGACAAGCAACCCTCACATAGTCCATGGTCGCGACCTCACTAGCCGTGGTAAAGTATTGAGGTCCAGCATTAGGATTTGGGAGCTTTGCAATGAATTCCTTCCCATCGTTCATGGTAAGAAAAAAGACCTTGTTAAAGTTCCCCTCTGAAAGCTTCTTCACTTCGACGCAGGACATAGACCCTGTCGCCTGGGTCGCGATCTTGACGAGTTTTGAAAGATTGAACTCGACATAGCGGCGAGAAAGCTGTTCCTTCTCATTCCAAAGCCAGCGTCCTGATGTGTAGCGATAAAAGCTATCTTCATCACAGTCTGTTGTGGAGAGGAGATTCCTTGTGTGGTAGTTGTATGCGATCGGGGAACAGAGGTCGAAAACGTGTGGGTCTGGAGGGAGGTCCACCATCGGACCCTATTTATATCAAATTGCGATGAAATACATGACAGAAAGGTTTTAATTTGGTAAGAGTGTAAATAAGAGGTAGGTTGGAGGATCCCATGAATCCTACGTGCGTACATTTCTGTTGAAACGAAGTTCGCATGAGTCGCGCTCAGTGCATATCCTTATCTTCCTTATCACCTGTATCACAAGGATGGATGTATCACATTCACTTCAGCATCCTTTTTTTAGCATAGACATTCGAGTTCAAAAATGGATTGTCTATGAAAATATCCGAACATCCCAATTATCTGATTTAGAAAGGGTATAAGATAGATTTTAAGGCATACGTACTTGATGTCTTAAGCGCCAAATGTTAGACATGATTACTTGAGCTTTCTAATAAAGGTAAATAGCAATTCATAGATGTCAATGATAGATTATAATCTAGCACCCATACATAATTGTATGTGTACATACCTCGGTAGAGGGATGATGTCATTTTGGCCTACTATATCTATGACCCTACCTTAACAGAGTTTATGAATGATGATCAATGAAGATCCAATGCTTGGGCTTGAAGTCTGTAGTTTATGCTTGAAGATCTCCCGCATAAATATACTTATGCAGTGGATATGACTGTGATATTCTACAACATATACGGTTGTCCACCCCATACCTCCCCTCATACCTCTTCTCATACCACTCACATCTCTGCTCACACCTCTCTGAGATTTTGTCAGCCAAGGCCTAGAAAAGGATTCTATATATGTGGCAATCCGAAGAATATTCTATTCTATATAGCCAGATCTAACATAGTAATGGGGGCCAATAGAAGAGAATGTTCTGACGTCAAGTATGGGTGGGGAATGCCAAGCAACAGCAGCAACCCTAGCAGCTCTGGAGATCACAAGCCAATTCTGGCATTTTTTTTTCTATTTGAGATATTCGGTCAAAAGACTAGAGAAGATTGTAAATGTTTAGTGAATATATTATCACTATTTGATACTATTTTATGATAAATCTTCAATCGTTACGATGTCAATAACTATGCATGCGCCACGGCCGCCACCACACCCTTAATCTGAGAGCAATGTAGATCCACTTGTCAACCCACTTTGTAAATCCACTATAAATCAGGTTTCAGTCCGTGGTGTCTCCGAGGTAAAAGTCTGCACATAGCTATACTACTTTGTACATATAACAGAGCGGTCCACAAAAAAATTTCTTCTTCCCACGTTCTTTGCTCCATCCCCCACACGCAAGGATGCCGCCCCCAGAGCAAGACGAAGCTCTACATGTTCACGGAGAAGGGAGACCGTCTGCCGATGGCGCAGATAGTGAATCTAGCGCCCCAGTCGATATTTCCGCCGAGCTTGAATCAAAAGAGAGCAAAGAGAGCGAACGCTCTGACGGGAAGCGCGAGCTCAAGGAAGGAGAGTGCTACGAGATTCTGGGATACTGCTGGCCACGATGGAAGAAATGGACCTATCTATGCGCGGTCGCGTTCGTTCAGGTTTCTATGAACTTTAACACCTCAGTATACCCTGCTGCTGTCAAGAATCTTTCCGAGGCTTTTCACATTAGCGAGCAACATGCTCGTACAGGCCAAATGGCTTACCTGGTTACTTATTCTATTGGTTGTGAACTGTGGGCTCCTTGGTCCGAGGAATTCGGTCGCTGGCCTATCCTCCAGCTCTCCATGTTCCTTATCAACATTTGGCAACTCCCTGCAGCCCTTGCCCCCAACTGGGGTAGTCTTGTTGTAGCTCGTGCATTGGTTAGTTCCTCCAGCTAGCATTCTGATAATCTAGTAAACTAACATAATATAGGGCGGTCTCTCTACTGCTGGTGGTAGTGTCACTCTCGGTCTCATTGCCGATATCTACGAGCCAGAGACGCAACAATTTCCTCTCGCATTCATCGTCTTGTCGTCTTGTCTCGGTACCAGTATTGGTGGTGTGATTGGAGGACCAATTGCGCGATGTAAGCAAACAACTTACCATCCTATACTGGCTCGCAACATATCACTAACTCCGATGTTTAGTCCTTGATTGGCAGTGGTTCTTCTGGATCCAACTCATCTTCGGAGGAGTCACCCAAATCATCATCTTCTTCATGCCCGAGAGTCGTGCGACCATTATCATGGACCGGGAAGCCAAGCGCCGCCGCAAAACCGGAGAAGACCCCAATATCTATGGACCGAACGAGCTCAAGTCCCCCCGTGTCTCCCTCAAGGAAGCCGGAAAGATTTGGGCGCGTCCATTCTACATGCTTCTGCGCGAGCCCATCGTCCTGTGCCTTTCTCTCCTGTCTGGTTTCTCCGATGCTTTGATCTTCACCTTCCTGGAGAGCTTCGCCATCGTGTACAAGCAAGGATGGGGATTCGGCACGCTCGCACAAGCGTGGGCAGTTATTCCGATCAACGCCGCCTACTTCATTGCCTACTTCAGTTACTTCCCGTGGTTCCTTCGTGATCAAAAGCTTCGGCTCAGACACGGTGATGCCGCCATCCCACCCGAGCGTCGTCTTAAGTGGCTTCTATTCCTCGCCCCGCTCGAACCAATTGGTCTGTTCGGTTTCGCATGGACATCCTTCGGCGACTCGAGAAATGTCCACTGGATCGGATCTATGATCTTCTCCGGTTGTGTCGGTATCGCCAACTTTGCCATTTACCTTTCTTCGGTTGATTACATGGTCGCTTCTTATGGTGTCTACTCCGCTTCTGCGACTGGTGGTAACGCTTTCGCGCGTGATCTTCTCGCTGGTATCTCTGCCATGTATGCCACGCCCATGTACACGAATATCGGAAACAAGTGGCATGTTGAATATGCAACCACTATTCTGGCTTGTCTTTCCTGTCTGGTTGTCACTCCTATCTATATCTTCTACTGGAAGGGACCGCAACTTCGTGCGAAGAGTAAGTTCGCATCTACGCTTGCCGCAGACAGAGACAAGAACAATGGTCGTCGTGTTAGCAGGATCAGCGTTGAGCCTTGATCTGGATATGCGAACACATTGTCGAAGCACGTGAAACTGTATATTTTTTTTCTGTTATGTATATATGACTCGTCATGTGTAGATTCGAGATTTTTGATGACCTTGTTATTGACCACGTCATGACTTCTATATAATCTTGGGGGTGGATTTTATTCTGTATCTCATTGCAAGCTGATTAGATATAGACTAAAAGAATTTTACAATTTTTCAATATTTATGTTTCGGGAAGATATGAAAATGTGAGACAACAAACAACAAACGTTGAGGCTATCTGCAGATCGGGTGGGGAGTACACGATGGATACAGCAAAGATATGCACTATGCTATATCCACGCACTTCCTTTAAAATAACCTTTGTATCCCCTTTCTCGTGCATCCGACCTCCCTACACCACCGACAAAAATGATCACAAGCACAATTGAAATAGCCGCGCCGCCTGCCAAAGTGCGCGAGATTGTATGTACTAGCCCTGAGGCCGGAATGCTTGGCAAAACAAGCTGACCCAGCCTTCCCTTAGCTACTGAATTTCTCAGCATACCCGGAATGGCATACAGAATGGCTCAAGGGGATCGAGGTCAAGGACAGCACCAAAACCCCGCAAGAACTTTCCTCAGGAGACAAAATCGAAGTCAACATTGAGAACTTTAAATTCGTTGCTGAAGTCAAGGTGAGAATGACATGTTTTTCCCAAGCATGAAGAAAAAGTAATGCTGAAGATTCTCAACGCCAAAGGAGAACACCGAGAGCTTGTTTTCTTGGCAAGGCCCGCCCGTGTTTACCATTGCTGGATTGCATAAATTCCATATCGAGCCGGCCAATAATGGTGCTTCGACTGTTTTCACACAGACCGAGGATCTGAAAGGCCTTCTTGCCTTCATTATGAGTCCTTCCCTGCTTGGGAAGAAAATGCGTGCCCATTTCGATATTTTCCACAGGGATCTTAAGGCCCGCGCTGAGTTGGCGTGATTTGGAGGGGGCTGGGATTAGTTGCGCACGCACGTTCTGCTGTTTTGCACACGCACTTTTGGTTTGTGTTACGGCCGACGGGTCAAGTTGAATGAAATTGTATTTCATATATATTCCACACTACTGCTGTATGGTGTGACCGATACCGATAGATCTGAGAGTATCGATTGATCCGTGCAATTGAAGATGGTGTCCCAATGAGATCGGAAGAGATCCTCACTCTGTGGTTTCTCCAGCCATAAGACGGCTTTGATGTGGACAAGCGTGTCACTAAAGTCTCCCAGTTGTAGAAAAGCAGCTACATCTTGTGCCCTCTTCATGAACCACCGGTGATGAGCCGTGCCAGCTGAAGCCACCAGTCCGACCGCGGCGAACCAGACGTCAAGTGAGTCATACGCACGTGTTGATGAGAGATACTCGAGGTGTTCCATAAATCGAATGACAATCGTATTCAATATGACTGCATGGGAGTAATATGTTGGCCCCTGGGCGATGAACATATAGAGTATGATTCCGCAGCGGATGGATTCCGTCATTGGTGATAGAGGAGGTATTGTCGTACTTGGGGCGGAGAGAAGGAGTCGGTGTATGACAAAACAGGTAAGGTCGTGAAGTTGTGTGGATGGGAAAGGAGTATTGCGCGCTCGCTGAAAGATGTTGCGCAGACGATTGAAAACATTGCTAACAGCATAGTCTACTTCGGTGTTGATGAGATCAAATAGCTGATCGTCATGCACGGCCGAGTCAAACTGCCATTCCGGGATAGGAGGGATGCCATCTCCGATGCCGAAGTCATCTTGAGTCTCGAATTGAGGATAACCCATGATGAGCATGGATACCCTATGAGACATGTGAGCATCGGCCTTCTGGGTTGTAGTTGTAAAGGGATTGTCTTACCAACTGATCATTCTCGCGGTGAGCGGGCTTGTCTGCCTTACTGCATTGATACCACCTCTCATATCGACCAGCTTTTTCAGGCCATTGACATGCATTTCGCCGACTTTTATATTGCCTTTGCCAAACTAAGTGTGAAAAGTAATCAGGGATCAATTCAAATTGTGAGACAGTAGGGAAAGAGGATGATTGTAGTAACTTACCTCGATGGTTGCCAAGGTGATGACTGAGTTCATAGTCCCATCTTGAACAGCTAGCGACATATATTCAACCTTGCGTCGTAGCAGTGCCACCGAGTCTGCCATGAGAAGTTCGGAGGTTTGAAACCCTTTCTGAGCCTGCAACTCTTCGTCAAGACATGCTGTCTGTAGAGAGACATGAAATAGTGCAGGATCCCCTAGAGCAAGAGGCCACCAGGAGATTAAAAACGGATTTGAAGTCGCATTTAGGTCAAGAGGGTAGTATTGGAATGCGATTTTGTGTAGGACTAAATGGGTAAGCTAGGGTTTCATCGACAATGATTCATTGGAGGCCTACATACAGCCGTAGATCAGACGTTGAACATGTTCTCGAGGAAGTCTAGTCTGCGGATACGAATCAAAAGGATCAAGGGACCCGAATCTGTAGTTAGTTAAAGTGCCGGATCCACCTAGAGGGTTTGTTGATTCCCCGTTCTGCCACCCGGGAGTTGCCGGCGCCGTCGAAGGTTCGTTCACATAGGCGCACTCGACTTTACGCTTGATGCAGCGGGAGCACCGTGGTGTCCGGAGGTCGCAGCTGGACTTTGATCTGGCACATGCAGCGCAGGCTCGGCGGAGAGATTGGCGCATTTTAAAAGAGTATTGCTGGGCATCCACAGGGGGGGATGTGTTCTAGGAATAGCTCAAGCTAGAACCCCACACCGCTTTTGAGGCTACGATGTGAATCGAAGAGTTGGAGCAACGTAAACGTAAGTGACAGAAGGTCGGCACAATATTGAATTTCCCGAGCAATTGTTCCGTTATATGTGGACCTCAGGTTAATGTCCCAAGCCCAAATCAAAAGAGGACTAGTCCCCGCACTACCCCTGCTTGGCATCGGAGTCTAGTCCTAATTGGGAAATATATAGAGTCCGATATCTTGGGCAGTATATCATGCCATTACTAAGGAAACCTCCCTTACCTAGGCATATTCTGGTCATTTCGAGCCATTCTTTTGACTGCCCTTATCACCTACCATCATGGACTCCAACATAGCCTTTGGTATGGCCAACACCTCCGTTGTTCAGAATGAGCTGCCGCAGATCTGGCTTTCCTATCCCCAGTTTCAGAGCTACCTGCTGGGCTCCTTGATGAGCTTCTCAGCCTGGCAGTACGCAGTGACCTTTTTGATTGCCGTATTAGTCTATGATCAAGGTATGCAGATGTCTTTAAGACTATACGAATCTGCTAATGTCATATCTAGTGATGTATATCATACGGAAGGGCTCTATAGCTGGGCCTCCACTCAAGATTCCGCTCATGGGCCCATTTATACAAGCCCTGCACCCCAAATTTGAAGGTTATCTCGCACAGTGGGCGAGTGGACCACTCAGCTGTGTATCTGTCTTCCACAAGTGAGCGTTTATGTCTCATCAAACTCTTATGAAACCAATAAAACTGTCTGAACTAATATAATTACTACAGATTCGTCGTTTTAGCCTCCGACAGAGACATAGCCCACAAAGTGTTTAAGTCGCCTACATACGCCGAGCCATGTATAGTTCCAGTCGCAAAGGATATACTAGGTCACAAAGCATGGGTCTTTCTTCAGGGTAAAGACCACACTGAGTACCGCCGGGGATTGACTCCTCTATTCACCAACAGGGCTATGGCTACTTACTTGCCGGTCCAGGAGAAAGTGTTAGCTGATTATTTCGCCAAGTTTGTCGCCACCAGCAAGGCAAACCAGGGACAGCCAAAGGAGTTCATGACCATGTTTCGCGAGATCAACTGTGCACTTTCATGTCGCACGTTTTTCGGTGATTATATCTCCCAGGCTGCTGTCAAGAAGATTGCGGACGACTTCTACCTTGCTACAGCCGCCCTCGAGTTAGTCAACGTACCACTGTCTATATACATTCCATTTACCAAGCCCTGGCTCGGAAAGCGGACAGCCGACGCTGTTCATGTCGAGTTTGCAAAATGCGCGGCTGCATGCAAAGCAAACATGGCGACTGGCGCAAAACCAACATGCATTGTAGACCATTGGGTGCTCCACATGATGGAATCCAAGCGATACCACGAAAGAATCGCAGCAGGGGAAACAGACGTCGAGAAGCCAAAGAACATGATCCGCGAGTTCACGAATGAGGAAATCGGAGAGACATTGTTCACCTTCCTCTTTGCCTCTCAGGATGCGTCGAGCAGTGCCACGACTTGGCTATTCCAAATCCTCGCCCAGCGGCCCGACGTGCTCGATAAATTGCGCGCGGAAAATCTGGCCGCTCGTGGTGGTGATAAAAATAAGTCCTTTGATCTTCCCATGCTAGAGTCCCTCACCTACACCAACGCAGTCATTAAGGAGCTCCTGCGTCACCGTCCACCTGTTATTATGGTTCCTTATCTTGCGACGAAGGACTTCCCTGTCACTCCCAACTATACTGTCCCCAAGGGCTCTATGATCATACCTTCCTGTTACCCAGCTTTACATGATCCGAATGTTTATCCTAATCCCGATACCTTCGATCCTGAGCGTTGGATCTCTGGGGACGCCGAGTCCAAGACTAAGAATTGGCTAGTGTTCGGCGCGGGAGCACACGATTGCCTCGCAAGAAAATACGTGCCGCTCTCTATGGCTGGTATGATCGGGAAAGCGGCGCTGGAACTGGACTGGAAGCATCATGCCACGGAGAGATCTGAGGAGATCCGAGTTTTTGCTACACTCTTTCCAATGGTTAGTACTATTAACTACATAATCATTCAGCTCCTAATCTTTACTAACTTCTGATACAGGATGGGTGCCCATTAGTGTTTACGGAACGTTCATAGAGCCGTTGTTAGCAGTTGTGGGGATATAGTTGAATTTTTTTCTGTCCTGGACCTTTTGGTGGAATGATTGTGAAGGCGGTTTTAGGCCTTCCCACCTATACGGTCTGACTTCGAGTCATGTTCGTATATTTATCTCTCAAAGTCTGTTATACAAATACATATCTCGAATGCTTCCAAAATATGCGAAAACTTCAACCCTTGACTTGTCATGGTTTCCCTGGCTTTGAAACCATGCGATTGATCTTTTTAACAAGCTCCTGAGTGCCGTAAGGTTTATGGATAATATCATCCATTCCAGCGTCAAACATTTCCTGTTGTTGTTCCTCTCTGACATTCGCTGTCAGTCCCAGAATGGGTACATGTCCTCCACTTTCCTTTTCAATATCACGAATTGCTTTCGTGGCACAGTTGCCATCCATCACAGGCATCTGCTGATCCATGAGAATGCAGTCGAATGGGGTATTTTCATTCGCGTCGACAGCCTCTTTGCCGTTGCTCGCTTCCGATATGTCAAAGCCTAGTGTATTCAACTTGCGCGATATGATTCGTCTGTTGATAATGTTATCCTCGACCAAGAGAATACGCTGACCGTCGCCGGTTTGTTTCTCCTGATCAGGATGAGATGGAGAATTTCGATTCGTCCGTTTGATCTCATAATTCTTGGCCTCTTGGGCTATACTGTGGGTATGCACTGTGTGCTCGTCTTTCGGACCACCTGGCATTGCCTCAGAGAGGCTATCTTCAGGGGGACTTTCCGGGATCTGAGGCTCTTCCGTCGTTTGATTGACACCGCTTATTTTATTTCCCAGTGACTGGATATCAACGCAGAGCGCATCAATTGCAGAAACACCGAAGCTCTCATCTTCTTCGCCGGCTTCGTTGGTTGTTCTGCGCACTTTGAAAAAGAAACCGAAGGTGCTACCGTGAGATTCCTTTGAGCTCACGCCAATCTCACCCCCATGGAGGTGGCAGAGTTTCCTACACACGTTGAGCCCAAGGCCAGAGCCACCGTAGATGCTCTCGGTTCTAGGAGTTGCTTGGTTGAACCGTTCGAAGAGACGTTTCTGGGCTTCCTCGGTGACACCAATACCCGAGTCCTTGACGGCGACCATAATATATGCAATTTCGCCACTTCCCCATTGGGGATTGTCAGTCGCGTCTTGGCGGAGTGCTGCTTCACCTGAATCGAAGAAGACAATATTTGGTGGGTACGAAGGAGGACGGTCGAGCGAAGCACCCACTGAGACTCGGATCGATCGCGGACCCTCCGATTTGGCGGTAAACTTGATAGCATTTGAGAGTAAGTTGACGAGAACCTGACCCATCCGATCCAGATCTGCCATAACCCAATCAATGCCGCATTCGGCATAGGAAACATCGGCTTTGTATTCAAACTGTATCCCCTGCTTTCGGAGTTCGGGTCGGAACATCGCCATCGGCATGGTGAGATGTCGCTGTGGCTGGACTTTTCGCGGCGACAATGGCAGCATCGATGCGTCAAGTTTCGAAAAGGTGAGAACGTCATTGACAATTTTCTTTTGATGTCTGATGCAGAGTCCGATTGTCTCGGCTGCCTGTGAGATATCCATGACTGAGATTTCCCCCGGCTTCTTGTTATAGATTGCCTCTTGAATATCCTCCGTGCAATGTACTATCGCAGATAGAGGATTGCGAATTTCGTGACTAATCATATCGATGAATCGCTCTTGTTGCTGCTTGCGTTCCAGCGCCTCTTCCGCAGCCTGTTTTTGTACGAGCTCTGCCCTTTTTTCCGGTGTAATATCTGCGATTGTACATATGAACACCCCGCCTTCTTCTAATCCAAAGCATTGTACATCCTTATCATCCAGCCGATCCAACGTCATGACACACCAAATTGAGTTCGGGTCACGGGTGTGGTATTCGAGACGTAGGGGTCGTTTGGAGGTTGCGACCTCTCGATACCCAGTAGACACCCTGTGGTAGTCATCTGGATGGACCGAGCGCAACCAACACTCAGAGAAGTCGACACTAGGGCATGGGATGAGTTCCCGAAAGCGGCGATTCACGGAGACAAGTTCATATCGGTGGGTGAGGATGGCGACGCCGTTCGGTAGAATGTCGGCCAGCTGCTGTGCCGAAACATTTTGATTGAAAGTGAAAGTCATCTATTCCTCGGACGCCGCTTCTTCCAAATCAATGGAAGAGATGCCAGACGCTAGGAAGTATATGATGACTGCTTATGTGTTGCTCACAAGAATTCGGGCGCGCATGGCAGATGAGGCTGAGCCGCGATCGTCAATTTTCTGTAAATTCCCCAGGTATTTGACAGCCAATATGTGTTAGCTTATATAACATAGTCAAAAAATGAACGAAGAAATTCGCAAAATGATATATGTTGTATGACGATATAAAATACTGTACGTCATTGTGGGTTCCCCCCCTTCGATCGACTTCCAATCTGGGGTGGAAGTATTTTCCAGGATGGCTGTGATTGGCAAAAAGTGATGTCCACTTGAGGAGGTGACCCTGGATGCTTGGTTCCTCAACCCTGACGTCATTTGGGTGAGGATGAACTTCGGTTAACCGAGTTAGGGCCTCGGATATCAAATTTCACGAGTTCTCCAGGTTGTTGTTTTTGTTTTCTTTTGAGTCTTTGAGGTGCATAATGGCTTCTGCTTTTATGCATACATGGCGAATGATTGTGGGTTGGAAATGTATGTGAAGCATTGATGGATGCATAGTTGCTGGAAGTCAAAGGTTAAACATAGAAAAGTCGTCTGCACAAATTAAGCCTTTTTCCGCCTTTTTTTGCCATCAACCTAGAAACTTGACAAGACATCTATAAAGAATGATATCTGAGAAAATCACTGACAAGACATCACGGTGCCGTTCATGCGGCCGACTATTCTTGTAATACACCATTCTATCAGGTAGACTATCCTCATATTTAACAATACATATTCCTATCTAACTTGACTTCAAGATATCCCATAATTATCTATCCTTAAACGGGCTAGTACGAAGCTCTGTCATTGTGGTTATGTAAAAAATACAGGCTATAATATAGTACTACAAACTACTCAGTAGTGGCGGCGAATTATGTATAAAACAATTGATAAAATGCGAATATTCATGAAGTCCCCTTGCAGAGGCGATGTGTATATATTTACTCACTACACTAAGAATTCTATGTCAAGGGCCGGGACCGTGAATTTTTGTAACATGGTATTCTTGTGCCATGAAAGCTTTCCAGGTTTAGATATTAAAGATAATTGTTACCAATTTTCTCGTCAATGGCTGTGCTGTTGTTGGTCTGAGCTTTTGCTTGACTGGCGATCAGCTTGGCAAAGTAAGGGAGAGTGTTCTTATTGCTCACATTTGGCTTGGCAAAGGTGATCCGAGGGTTAGAGGGCACTTGCTGCTTAGTACTCCAACTCCATAGGTACATACCTCCAGGGCTTAATTCATCTATTATAAAATTAGCAGATTCAGTGAATAGAATACTCTAGCAACAGCTACGGACTGGCCGCAGTTCATCTTTCACTGGAGAGCTGTATGGAATACGGGATACGGAATACGCAAACTGGTAAAGGACAATTAGGTACATTTAAAAATTTCAACAGAGGAGACCCGTCCCCACTTAGGTAGGATTAAAGATCTAGAAGATGTCCTGTGAGTGGTGAACGTGGGATGAGTTGTCGGGAAAGCAAAAATCAGCGTGGCAAATCTCAAATTTTGACCAGAAAGGAAAGAAACAAAGAGTAGAAGTATAACATACCCCATAAAGCAAAGGTAGGATTAGAGCTGGGTTTTAGGGGGCTTAAATGGCTCTTTTATCCGATTCTATCTTCAGATAATACCAAGTAATCTCTCGAAGTCAGAAGTTGGTGCGCCGAGCCCTATCGGGATGCCGTCCACGGGTGGGTCTTAGTGCTCGGCCCGATAACGTGTGCCGCTAAGTTTTTGTTAAAAAAAATTGAAAGATTTAAAGTCGATAGCCATTTTCGAGCCACTGATAGATATATTCGCTCTAAAAACTCTGAGAAATATGGCCACAGTGAATATGGATTGCGTTATCAGAGCCACAGTTTAATCACGGTAATGCTTACAGTATCTCCCATGTGCGAATTAAAGGGCCAGTGATTGTCCCTCTCCACTCCTCGTGGGTTCCTCGTGGGTCGCCATCTCAAACAGGTAACCCGAAAGAACCTTAGAACATGTTCCAGTCTACGATCATGCTCGAAAAGGTAATCCGAAAGGCTTCACTCCACTTTTTAAACTGGATCGATTGAAGAGTTTGATTTTTTCTATAGTAAATCCTATGTTTAGTATAAAAAGTAGGTGCCAGAACTGCCCTGGCCATCTGTTTCCATTCTTATTCTATTTTCACAAGCAAAATGGGCATTGTCGACTATTTCAGTCGACCGGGTGGTCGTCAGGCACATGGTGGAGATGAAACACCCACCATAGAAGCCCCCAAAGTAGTGGAGCCTACTGTCATCTCTAGTCCGGAGTCTTCTGGCGCTGTTACACCTGCCCACATGCTCCCATCCCCAGCTGGTAGTGAAGATCCTCTTATTTTTGAGAAGATCCCGCATCAGTTTGGCCGCCTGGGTTCTTGGAAAGGGTCTTTGATCTTGCTGGTGACCTCTGGCTCTCAGTTTCTCGACAATGTTTTCATGACAAGTGCCAACATTGCTCTATCATCAATCCAGAAAGATTTCAACGTGTCTAGTACAGACTTGCAATGGATGATTTCTGCATACACCTTGTCATTCGGTGGCTTCCTTTTGCTAGCCGGTGCTTTGTCTGATCGGTATGAAATTTCCTCCCATTGTTTCTACACTTGACACGATACTAACCTATGCAGCTATGGACGAAAGAAGATTCTCTGTCTGGGTCTTGCTTGGCTTTCTGTGTGGACCATGGCCGTTGGATTTGGGCAGTCATTTATTCAACTTACGGTGTTCCGTGGCATTCAAGGTATTGGAGCTGCACTAACTGTGCCATCTGCTATTGGAATTATTAGCTCCTACTTCAGTGGTGTTGATCGCACCCGCGCTCTGTCAATCTATGGAGCATCGGGGACCCTGGGATTCTGTACCGGTCTCATCTTTGGTGGCTTCCTAACCTCCTCACTGGGCTGGAGATATATCTTCTATCTGATTGTCATCATTACTGGGTCTTTGGGTATCTTGGGCTTTATCGTTCTCCCAAGCGACGTTCCTTCTGAAAAGAAGCACGAGAGAATGGACTACATTGGCGCCGTGATGTCTACAGCTGGTTTGATCCTTCTTCAATTCGTCCTATCAAGTGGTGGAACTTACGGCTGGGACCAGCCGTTGATTCTTGTGCTGCTGATCGTGGCGGTTGGTCTTCTCGTTGGATTCGCAATCTTTGAGAAATATGTCACCAACCCAATCATGCCACTTTCTTTGTGGAAGATTCGCAATTTCGCCGGTCTATGGCTGATTGGTTTCAGTAAGTTGTCTGTTTCTGAAACTTGTGCTTAGGGAAATACTAATTATGAATAGCTGGCTATGGCACCTACCAAAACGTCATTTTTTATATCGTCCTTGTGGCACAGGAAGTGGACAAGCTTTCAGCTGGCGACACGGCCCTTCGATTCTTGCCTATGGGGGCTATAGGCTTCATTGTTTCCCTTGGAACAGGAAAGCTTCTCGAATTTATGAATGGAAAGCACCTCCTCATTGCTGGACTCGTTCTGGCCGTGGTAGCCCCCGTCTCGAGTGCATTGACTTCCAATCCTGAAGCAGGGTTGTATGTATCACCTTTTTCTTTTGAACGAACTTACACTAACTGTCACAGTTGGCTTAATGTGCTTCCCACATCCCTTATCAGTATCTCATCCGTGTCTTTTATTTTCGTCACGACAAGCACTGTGGTACTCACAAGTGTACCGGTCGAAGTCAAGAGTCTTGCTGGCGGAATGGTGAGTTTTTCCTTTCTGTATTTCAACCTTCATATGCTAACACTCTGAACCAGCTCAACACTGCATTCCAAATCGGATCTGGTGTTGCATTGGCTATCTCAGCCGCTGTTACCGATGCTGTCGACATCCAGCAAGGACACAGTCTCGCAGAGCAATACGCTACTGGTCTCTGGTGTTCTGTCGGGTTAGCCGGGCTTGGGCTGATCATCGGCCTGTTTGCGGTTCGGCACAAAGGCATTGGACCTAAAGATAGACTGAGTGGCCCAGTTGCTATCTAACTCTGTGTTCCGGCTTCTTTTCGGGGGTTTTCCTATTCATTGATAGATAGACTTTTTTGTTTTTTTTTTTTTTTTCCTTTGAATTTCATCTTTAATGAAAGGTTTTGCGTTATTATAATGAAGGAATGAGGATAGACTTACTAGACTGTTTTTGGGGCTCCCTGTATCACATGGCATGTGGGTCCCTCCCTGCTGCATTAGGCAGGAGTATGTAAATTAGACTCCACCTGTATTTTGTAGTTTCTTCTTCGTTCTTAACACAACTCTCGTGATAATACAATTTCCACATATTGTATTTCATCAAGATTGATCTATTTCCATCGAGTAGATTCATTCATTCTTACCATATACTGCCCAGGTGACCTCGGGCCCAGGGCCCCGGGGAATATGTCTGATTATGGAACGTTTTGGCGACTCCACCTGCAGCCCTGGAGGGCTCGCTTGTGAAATACGTTGGCGCCTTTTTACACCGCTCTATCCAGTCTTTTATATTACAGCCTCTCAAACAGACCTATTTAAGTAAGCGGTATAAAGTGGCCAAAAAATGGGTACTTAGGTTGGCCCAATACTTTGGGAGGTCCCACTGTACTAAGGGCACTAGTATATTTTCTGCCGGCAAATATCCATCTTCAAACATCTTCATCAATATTACAATACCGACCCCTGGGATATACCCGCACTGGACCAAGCAAGTGATTATATAAAGTGACGCAAATAGGGTGACTAACTTTCTGTTGGCAGAAATGATTAGGTTGGCCACGTAAGATGGGATCGCATATTGACCCCCTAGCGTCTATCCCGCTGCGTAGATCGCACACCAGGGTAGTTCTCAGTCTAACCCCGCTTTGGGTTAAAATGTAGAAAGTGGTGCCATTGTCCATTTCGCATTGCAATGTTGTATACTATTGCAGTTCAGGTTTGATCGTACATTCCTTGAAGTAGCATCATCGCCATGGATGAAACCATGAAGCAATCCAAGCACGAGGGAACAGAGAACACCAAAACTCGTGACCCTCTGAGCACATCTCAATCTACTGTTAGTGACGGTAGAAAGGTCCTCATCATCGGCGCTGGTAAGCCTTCCTCCTTTTTCCAACCTAGATTGTGACACTGGACACTCCTCATTGATAATGAATGTGGATATACCTAGGCTCGACGGGTCTTGCGCTGGCCCATGGATTGAAAAAGGTTGGAGGACCGTAATTATATTGATTCTGCGTCACTAACAACAGAGAAATTTAGGCCGGGATCCCTTTTCTACTTTTCGAAAAAGAGGAAGAGCCCAATCGCAAACGAAACTGGAGTATAGGACTACACTGGGGCTATGAGTCGTTGCAATACCTTGTGCCCGCAGACATTTTGGCTGGACTCGAGCAGGCGCAGGTCGACCCGCACATCCCCATCACGGATAATTCTCCACTCCCCATGATCAACGGTGAGAGTGGAGCTCTTATCGCCGAGCTAGAGTCTTCCAAAGTGTATCGCCTCCGCCGAGATAAATTCCGGGCAATGTTACTCCAAGGCCTCAACGTGCAGTGGGGGAAACGCCTCTCAGGTATTACTCACTCCCCTGATGGCAATCATGTCACTGCAAGGTTCGCAGATGACACAGAAGTTACTGGTAGTCTGCTGATTGCCACCGATGGTCCACACTCGACCACACGTACAGCGCTGGTTGGGGAAGAAGCTGCCAAAGTGACGCCCATTGATTTCGCCTCGACCATGTGCTACACCCAGCATACGCGTGAGCATGCTCTTTTCCTACGTGTTCATCCCCACCATCCATTGTACCAAGTGGGCCCTCATCCCGAGGGTTATTTTGCCTGGTTGAGCCTCCATGATGGAGACGATATCAACCATCCGGAAAACTGGACCTTCTTCCATTATATCTCCTTCCCAGAACCGCGAAATCATGTCAATAAGCGAACGATGCGGGAACATGCTGAGCACCAGAAGGAGTTGGCCCGTCGGTTTGTCGACCCCTGGCGCAGTATCTTTGAGTGGATGGACCCCGATAATGAGGTGTGGTATGCCAAGCTTCGAAACTGGGACCCAAGTCTGCCGGAGCATCAGTGGGATAATCTCCAGGGTCGAGTAACTCTGGCAGGTGATGCTGCTCATCCGATGACTTTTCAGCGTGGGCAGGGGCTTAACCACGCTATGAAGGACGCTTACTCCGCATGTAAGGCAATCGAGTCATTCTGGAACCAGGGTGACTTCACCATTGAGGAACGTGCTGCCGCCATACAGATGTATGAGAAAGAGATGATAATGCGGACAGGTGAGGAAGTTCGTATGAGCGAGGAAACCACTGTGAAGATGCACAATTGGGCCACTGTTATGCAAAGTCCCTTGGTGAAAAAAGGGCTCAAGACCAAGTAGATACAATAGAGCGCCCAGCCCCCAGGACTAAAATTACCCGTCCAAACATGCTTTGAAGATGCCTAGGCTACCCTTATAAGAATATAGGTAATTAGATAGTCAGCACCGGGGTATACCTCTTTGACACATGTAGGAATTAAAGTAAAGACTTTTGAAATAGGCTGCCCTTCGTGGTAGGGCTCACGATTGGAAGCCTTACGGATATGGCAACGAAGGCCCCACATCATCCGCTTTTGGACGAGCTCCCGAGGTACGATGCATCCATGGCTGTTCCCGGCACTCGAGGAATGTAGAGAAAAACATTTATCATGACTTTTCTGCGTCGCAAGTTGACTTGAACTTCAAACCTTCTGAGGTGGTGTGAATAACCACGCTGCTCATCATGATTGCCAAGAAAAGTTTCCTGCAAATAGCCACGGCGGCCCTTACTACTTATGTCCTTTGCACAGTACTTATCAAAAACTTCGGAGACAAACCATGGTCCATGTCGCCTCCAGATATGTCTCGGAAATACATGAGCGATAGTGCCTTTGAACATATCCAGAACCGCACTCTTGGGGTGAGAATTTACCTACTGCCTGATAGAATTGATTGCTGACACTATATCCATTTTCAGTTTGAGCATATCTACGCAATCAGTATGAAAGAGCGGACCGATAAGCGCGATTTCCTCACACTGGCAGCCTCGGTATCGGGATTCAATGTGGAATGGCTCGATGGAGTGCGGCCTGATGATCTTGCCCCCAAGGCCATGCCTGATGTACGATTTCCAGCTCAATAAACCCCAGACTATCTTCTCATACCTTTCTAGGGACTGGACCCCTCACTCGTCAAACCCACTGTTGTGGCATGTTGGCGTGCACATATGAATGCATTGGTCAAGTACAGCCACCTCTCATTCTCATTTTCTGGAGGCTATGCTGACGATTGGGCTGAAAAACAACAGTGTGATAAGCAATGACTATTCGACTGCTTTGATTTTGGAAGATGACGCAGACTGGGACGTAAATCTCAAGTCCCAACTGCAGGAATTTGCGCGCGGACTGCACACTTTGAAAGGAACAAAACATGTATCCAAGGAAGCTCCTTATGGAACAGATTGGGATCTTCTTTGGATCGGCGGATGTGCCTCGGGCCCGAACGCCAACGAAACAAGCTTCTACGCTATCCCGATGGACCCCACAGTTTCAAGAGCCCACCACCGAGCCACTTGGGGCGGACCAACCGAAAAGTGGAAGCAACAATATCCAGAATTGGCCGAGGACTCGACGCGATTTATCTACCGGGCTGAAATGGGCTGCTGTATGTTTGGATACGCAGTTACCACCAGGGGCGCTAGGAACATCCTTTCCGCTCTTTCTATCGATCGTTTGGATCAGGCGGTAGACAATGCCCTAAGTGACTTGTGTGGAGGCCTCAAGGGGCGTCGCAAGATTGAATGCTGGGCCCCCTTTCCCAACTTGATTGGCACATATAGAAAGGCCGGCTCGGCTTCTCGGGATTCGGATATCGAGAAGAACAATGCGGGTGAATTCCACGAAGAGCAAGCCTGGAATATGGTATACAGTACCAGGCGGAATATAAAGCAATTGGTTGCTGGTGAGGAAACTGTTTACTCACAATGGAAGGACGAAGATGTCCCGTGGTCGAGTAAAGCGATTAATCACAAGGAGTTTGTTTATCCTGCTGGATATCTTGTCAATTAACCTTACCTCGATTTCCAAGTGTTAGCTTTATGAAATAATTATATATTGACATCGGGATACTACCTTGTTAGAGCTGAATAGTAAGTCTATCAACTTGTATCTTTCTTGATTTACCAAATTATTTCAAATCTCCTTGCTCCCCAAAGGAGTTGCAGGAGTATAGTTTCAATTTGTAAAAACGAAGAGGCTACGGTACCATATAAACAAATTGTAACCCAATTGTACAGTATCATTCCATATGGAATTCCTGATCCCTTGGCATTTATGTACTGCCGAACATTAACTTTCGGGCCTATATGCTCTATAGAGCTATCTCATACGGTAGAGGTTAGAATATCTCCACATTGTAGTCTCTTAGGGTCGGCCCGGTCGGGTTTACATCGGAATATTGTTTTGCTCGGGTAAGATGTTCGTGTGTATCATATTTCTTTCAAGCCCAAGTCGACTAACAAGGGCTTCATGAGTGGTCTCTAACAGCCTTCATGAGTGATCTCTAACATCCTTTCTTTTCATTTTCATTGCAGCTCCCAGACTCACCTGCCAATAACTTATCGATGGTGTAACCTATCAAGCATTCAGCGCATTGAGTTCGAGTTGCCTAGACCCTCATATGGGAGGATCGTTCCCCTTGCGTCGGCTCTTGGGTACCATTTACTCCAGATTCTGCGGAGGTTCAACAATTCTAGCAATCTGTTGACCAATTCCTCATTTCTTTCTCCTGTTACTCTCCCTTTTGTGCATTCTTGAGCCCTATCACAAGGACATTTCCAAATTTGTCTTTCTCTTCCCCTTCAAACATTGTTGGCCTGGCCACTGGAAGCCCTTCGATCTAGAGCGAGCCGAGAAGAATGATTCCAATGAGTCCAATAGCCTTGCATGTTCTCTTCTGGGGCATGTGCCTCAAACATCCTACTTGGGCCCGGTGGCGATGAGAAGATAATGCACAATAGAATGGAATGCCTAGAGAGTGAGTCCAATGAGCCGATATACCCGGGTTTCCACTGTCCACTGTTTCTTTAAATCTCGGGGATTTCATCCAGTTGACAGTGGCTGATCAGTCTAATTTGCACAGAAAATTTCGTCGATCCTGTTGATCAGTGTCGATCCCTGCCCTGCCGATCCATTATAATTATATCTCCCACCCAGCCCTACACATGCCACGCTTCCTCGGCCTTCGGGGCAATAGCCTCAATATCGCCGCCATTTTGGGCGTGCTCATGCCCGGAATTCTCACAGTTGGCTACAATGCATCACTACTCGGCGGTGTCTTGACGCAGAAGAACTTTGAAGAACAATTCCCTGAAATCAACATTGCCGCTGCCAATGATAAACCACATGCGTCAATGGTCCAGGGTCTTGTTGTGGCCTCTTACACAATAGGGGGCTTCTTCGGAACACTCTCCTGTATATGGCTAGGCGACAGATTTGGCCGCCGACGCACAATAATGGCAGGATCAGTCGTTCAAGTCCTCGGAGCTATTTTAATGGCTAGTGCAGGCACCCTCGTCCAACTCATCACCTCTCGGGTCGTTCTCGGTGTAGGCACTGGTGTTCTACTGGCCACCATTCCTCTTTGGCAATCTGAGACATCGCCTGCAGACAAGCGTGGTGCTCACGTCGGCATGAAAGGAGTATTTAGTGGCTTCGGGTGTGCCCTTGGCCTTTTTGTCGACTTTGGAATGTCGTTCACCAAAGGCAGCGTCGCCTGGAGATTTCCTTTCGCTTTCGTGGTGCTGCTTTCTGTCGCTGTTTTAGTGTTCATCTACATGTTACCAGAGTCCCCCCGGTGGCTTATCCGACAAGGCCGACTCTCTGAGGCCAGTGAAGTCTTGGCAGCTCTCGGGGATACAAGCGTTGATGATGAATCTGTGGGAGCAAAAATCAAGGACGTCCAAACATCACTGGACTTATTTGAGGAAAAGTCACTCGGGCAAATATTCCACATGGGACCCCAAAGAACTTTCCACCGAGCTATGATTGCTGCTTTGGCAATGTTGTTCTTACAACTCACTGGATCTACGGTCACCACATTCTACAGTACGTATCGCGAACCATTGTTGCATCCCCTATTTACACATTGTACTTACTTACTGTGCGCGCTTCTAGCAACCGCAATATTTGAAAAGAATCTTGGGCTCGGTAATTCAACATCCACGGTCCTAGGGGCAGTTTACCAGCTAGTAGGTCCCCTTGGCGGAGCCTTTTGCGTTCTCAAGGTCGACGGTCTTGGTCGCCGTGTCTTGCTTCTAGGCAGTGCGATCGGAAATGCCGTCTGTCTAGCTTTAGTAGCTGGCCTTGGAACCCAAACGGACAACCCACTCGCAATGCGCGGGGCTGTTTTCTTCATTTTCCTATTTCATTTCAGTTACATCATCGGGTTTGGCGCAATACCATATCTATACGCCACGGAGATTGCGCCTTTGCATCTACGTACGACTATCAACAGCTTCAGCATCAGCATATCCTGGGCCATCAGCATCATCCTCACCAGTGTCACACCCATTGCATTCAACAGTATGGGCCAGACATACTTTGTCATTTTTGCCGGCTTCAATGCAATGATGGTACCTGCAATATATTACCTATTTCCGGAGACCGCTGGGCGCAGTCTTGAGGAAATGGACAAGATATTTGCTCTTTCACATGGTGTCTTGGATGCTGTCAAAGTCGCTCGGCTTCTTCAACGCGGACAAGCAATTGATCAGTCGCTTGAGAAAGATCTTGACCCAAACTTCAAGTGTCCTGAGCTTCAGCTTCGCGAGGTGTATTCGTCTTGATCCTCTTCTAAATTTTGGGGGTATACAATTGCAATGGATAGAGTATGAACGTTCCGTTGGGATAAATATATGATTTTGATCCAGAAAATAAGACCAGTCTCAATATGGTATCAGTCCAACCGAAGATTTTCTGAATATCCCGGGGCCCACTAGGATTTTGGGCTTGCCCTCCGACCTTCTGGCACTCTACTTTTGAACATGGGGGCATCACGCATAAGATACCTTGGTAAATAACCACCTAGACAGTGAGAGTTATCAATCAAGCTCGATGATTCTCTTGTGGAGATGGAGGCTTTATTTCGCTTAGGTATTTGAGATAGTTCTTGTTATACGGTCACGAACTCATGTCTTGGCGATAACCTCAAATGTGGGTCAGACCGGGAAGTGGATCTAGGGTCCGAGAGAAGAGCTGCAAGTGAAAAGGCTTATAACCTCTTGCGAGGCAGATACGGGGAAAAAAAGGAGAAAGGACAGGACGGAGAGAATCTGTTTGATCTATCTCCATTTCTGCCTCGGTAATCTGACATCCAACATTTACTCTCCACCACCACAAAGATCATTCGTTCCTGTACCCACATCTAGGGATCTTCAACATCAAAACCCGCCCCATATCCAGTTCTCCAAACCCATTCAGACATCCATGAAACTTCAAGTCCCTCATTTACGAAAACATGTCTTCAAAAACTCAAGTTCAGGAAACAAGTCGGCATTTGGATCTCGAGGCTGCGATCGAGGCCCTTGATATACACAAACTTGACGCGACACAGCTCAAGAAGTTCAACATCCCCCTCTGCGGTATGACTCTCGATCAAAATTCAAAGCTGAAGCCTCACTTCTTCGCGGCAAGACCCAATATCCCGCAACCCAACGATGAGATACTCGATGACGTCTGTTCGTCACACCCTTCTTTTACAGACATGTTTTCCCTTGCACACCACGCCTATATCTGCTGGGACTCCTATGCCTTTCACGACGTAGATTTCCTCGATAGCGCGCCTTGGCATTGGAAGGAGTAAGTCCACCGCTTTTTAGAGCTCTATCACGCTGTCGATTCATCTAATGCTAGTTGATAGCGCTGGCAACTATTCCCCTTAGAAAAGAGCTGTATCAGTATGACTCTCCCGAATTTGGCGCCTTTACGACAACAGATATTGCAGGAAGCAAATTTACGCATTTTAAAGCAGCCATATACAACGATTTGGAGGCGGACGACGAAACCTATTTCCGTGGGGAGCTCTTGATCATCCTTCGCCTGATGTTGGGCCAACTAAGAAAGATACGCTTACTTTGCCACTATAAAGCTCCGGTAATTCTCTCTAACCCCTTCTTCCCCTCTTTTCTTTCCTGTCCCTCGATTATCATCACATACGAGACAACACACTGCTTTTCTCCCGTTGTATCTACCTCGTAAGAATTTTTTGGAGTAACTAATTGGTCGTTATATAGGTTTTACTTATATCATTAGCGGGCAACCATGCACGTTTATTGGAGTTCTATTTCGATGATGAATCGGTATCCCTCATCGTGCGCTCCGGTCTATACGAATTATCCGACCGGATATCGACATCGAAAGTGTTCAAGACACTCGCCGAGTATTATCTCAGCGATCCAGCAGGAAATACGGCAGAAGCCGTGGTCTCTGAACAATGAACATCATAAAGCAACATGTGACGGATAGGATTAAACAGCATTGTGCAACTTCTATGAGAAGGGATAGCACAGAGAGTTTAATCCTGAGTCCTAGGTTCCTAGCGAATGGGGTATTGAGAAGAAGTTTCCATCGCTTGAAGATATGTTCTTTGGTAATATGCTTTGAATTGAATAAATGTTGATATGTTTCCGTGGTGACTATAATCCATTCACCCCCATCAGTTCAGTCTATATCTTTAAGATGTGGGACATCAACTGCGCTCTCTCAATTTCAGACCTGCCTGGCACTCCTTGGGCTTTTTCGAGAATCCTTCGTGTGATTCCATCATCGGCTGGTACAGCAAAAACTCATATCTATGAAACAAAGTTCCAATAATCAGCTGCAACTCCATAATGGCAACATTCTGTCCGACGCATGCCCGCGGGCCATATGAGAATGGGTTGAAAGCAGTTTTCTGCCGAGCAGACAGGTTCAGCCAACGGTCAGGCTTGAATTCTTCGACGTCATCTCCCCAAATATCCTTCATATGATGGATCGTGTACGAGGGCACTGAAAGTACTGTTCCAGGGGGGAAGTGGAAGCCATCAAAGTCAACACCCGGGCTATTATCAGCAACTAGGCGTGGCAGACCAATAGCCGATGTAGAATGAAGCCTCATTGCTTCATCAATACATCTTCGCAGGTATGGGAGATCTTTGACTTGAGAATATGACGCGATCCTTGCTTCGGGCTCAATTGCCTGGTCTAGCTCCTCTTGCAGTCGAGAGACTATTGTGCCCGGCGCGCTGCGCTCTCCATGCAGGATCCAATAAAATATCCCACAGGCCGTGTTGGATATTGTGTCAGATCCAGCGATAAGTTGCGTCAGAGCCTCTGCTATGAGCTCATCCCGCTCCATCGGCCTTCCATTGGCATCCTTTGCTTGTAGCAAGCGCGAAAGAATATCATTTCGGGAGTCAATCATTCCCTTCTCCGCAGCATCCAGTCGTGACGAGACAGCAGCCACAGCAATTCCTGTCAGGTTCTCCACGGCCGCTACCCCCTTGGTGAAAAATGGATCGGGAAGGTACCGAGCCCATGGGCGGAGTGCTGGAAGCAGGCCCAATGTCGAAGATACCTCGCCTCGTCTATTTAACACATCGACTGCCGGGGTATATGAAATGGGTCCTCCAGTCACGAGCTGCGTCTCAGTCTCATCTTTGCCCTTGTTTACCATGCCGAATGGTGAACCAAATGCCAGATCTCCGATTATGTCAAAGGCAAGATAGCTGAACCAGGGCATTGCATTGTATCGAGCAAATTCCTTCGTCTTTTGTTGTGGCTGAGAAGCTGCGATCCGGTCCAGTTGGCGTGTCCATCGTTTTAGGTTTTCTGCCATTAGCGGCTCAAACGCAGCGACTGATTTGGGAGAGAAGGCATGGGATATAATCTTCCGCTTGCGGGTGTGCTCGGCGCGGTCGCGAACATTGAACATCCCCGGGGTTCGCGCCACAAATGCCTCATAATAGTGGCTAGACAACTTTCTTCAACACTGATAATCTCAACCTGCAAGGAATATGACTTACTCCTTGAGGAAGCCATTTCCATGCCCATAAACAACATTCAATGCCCGTTCGTCGGCGATGGACACATGGTTGAAACCAATGCGGACGACTTTGCCGTATTTTCGATGCGCCGCGTCGACTGCCGCATATTTCTGGCCATGTTTGGCACTTAGACCGACCCATATGTTGCTGAATTTAGCTACAAAAGGACCCGGTACTCGACGTAAGTGCCCATATGATACTAAATAGGGGTATATGTAGTAGAAGATGAACCACACGGGGATGGCCACAGCCATAGCCCATGGCGAGAGCAAAAAGGATAAAATAGCCATTTGATAAATCAATCGTGGTTGAGAAAACTTGTGAACTAAATATTCATACATTATTGTTTTCTCTTTTAAATGAAATCTGTTGCACTCATTTCACATGTGCATTGTCCATCTGACGGAGTACAAGAAACGCTGTCGGAGACGAGAGACCGATATGCAGAATCGATGCATAATGACCAATGAGCTTGCAGACGATTGACTCCGCAATATTTCAATCACAAGGAAATGCACTTAATTCAAGTTTAATCCATTGGTCGTGGATGTTCTCGATTGCTGATGGAGGTGGCCATAACGTCATTTTTGCTTGTCGATCTCCACTCTCACAGACCTCTATCAAAAGTACCTCCCAACAACTTCTCTGTAGGGAATGGTTTCTTGGTAGGTATGGCTTTCTGGGCCACTAGAGAACGACCAAGTGTTTCCGCGCTGCATATTGATTGCCTCACAATGTTACCTAGACGGCTCTTCTCAATAATCGCGGCTGATCACTTGCAGGCCTCCATAGGATCTCTCGTTCACAAAGCTATGTAAATAAACCTACGCCAGCTTCCTGAATGTCTCTCGGGAATATCTTTGTTGTAGACCGAAATCCGTAGGAGGATATTTGGAGGATATGAATTACAATTATTGCAGTGACTGTGGAGTCTTCTACTATGGGCGTACGGGTCTAATCAAGTTGGCTTATTCGCCTCGTGATCATGCCACGCTCGTCGAGGACGCCACGTACTGCCCGTCAGCAAGGAGTGGACACCACTTCTAGAATTGTTGGTGGGCGATCCTTCCGATAACTCCAAGATTGAAAAATATACCACAAAGGCTCGTTTGGCTGCGCTCTTAGCAGATTGGCAAAAATCTCTTCTTTCATCAGCCAGGTGTAGGCATGTGTTTCCGATGACGAGTCTTAGGATAAGATTTCGGCCGCAGCCTTCCATGTTACTCTCGTGAACCCATCGTTTGAAAATTCCTTCTTTTTGAGATTCGGTCTTCTCAGCAGGTTCTCTGTGTAACCTGTGAACGGGAAACTTCCGGGGTAGGAGGAGTTGCTCCGGGATTAAATACCAGGTATGACAGGGCCAATTGTGTGACTCTTTGTGTTTTATTGCCTGTCTTATTTGACCCTCACTCCCCTGAATGAAAGTGGCTATATATAAGTTGATGGGAATTTAAGCTAGCGGTTGTCGTTGGCGACATTTCTTAGGCTTCAGACTGGTGATAAACCGCTATTCCTGTTTTGGGATAGCGTGGTTTTCTCATTCGGGAAGGTCAGATTACATAACCACGCGGGGCCGGGACCCGGGGGCCGGGGCACGTCCCGCCCTACAGGGCTTCGTCTACACAATGTGCTCCTCGATTCCTTGTACAATTATTGGACCTGCATTATTGCCGAGATACCACTGTGCACATCAGATATCAATATTTAAAGCACCTTCTCATCCAATATACCAAGCCAGAGAACATGGCTATATATCCGATCACCCATTTCGAGATTTCGAGAAGACAGCTCCCTAAACAGAGAAACTGGAGACAAAAAATTCCCGAACAAATGGATACCATGTATGACGAATATAGAACTCGGTATCATCTGAATTGAAACTACCTACCCCATAAACGACCTGGAAAACAAGAGATGTCCTTCAAGAGCTGAATTTACACGCGACAATTACGTACGACCTTCGGAAGTTGGGGAGGTTAGTACCTCGAAAATTTCGTTAGCAGTCTTGGAAGATCAGGTGCTTACCCAGGATAAGCCTAGCGGATGTCATTGTCTCATTGTTCCTACGGCTTATCCCGACACGGCCTACTTTTACCTGCAGAATACAGTTCGACTAAATCTAGCGCCAGAATTCTTGCGAATCAACAGTCTCTCCTCATGCCCCAATCAATATGATTGATACATATCGTTTTAGAAGACTCCACTGCACTCCACATCTCGACAGGCAATATACCCTTCATAAGGGTAGACTGTCATGTTGCTGAGGGGGGTTACTCCACTCTGCAGGTCCGACCATCGGGAGATTTTGACACTTTGATCTTATCTGATCCGCCTTTCTTCTTCGTTATGATTTCTTCTTCTTTTCTCTTATTTTACATTTGTAGGGCTGCATTTACATATATACCAATCTGGTACTCAGTCCAACAAATCAGCAATAAACTACCCACGATATCTCGGCACAATGGCTAGCGAAGGTCTCCCCAAGGATCTTTCCGACCCTGAGATCCAAGGAATTTTAGATGGAAATTCTCGATTCCGCCGTTTGGGTTGGAAACGACTCACTGTCATTTCAATAGTCGAGGCGATCGCCCTGGGGAGTCTCGGTTTACCATCTGCATTCGCCGCTCTCGGAATGGTCGCAGGCGTGATCCTCACCATTGGACTTGGCTTCGTTGCAATCTACGCGGGCTACAACATCGGTGAAGTCAAACTGCGGTATCCACAAGTTGGTCATTACGCAGATGTTGGCCACCTTCTGCTAGGGAGCTTGGGATCAAAACTCTTCGTGGGCAGCTTTGTTGCTCTTCTTGTCTTCGTGATCGGCTCACACTGCTTGACTGGCGCAATTGCATTCCAGAATATCACCCAAAGCAGTTCGTGCTCGATTATCTTTAGCGTCGTATCTGCTGCAATTCTGATGTTGCTCGCTATTCCTCCGTCATTTGCTGAAATTGCGATACTGGGCTACATTGACTTCGCGTCAATTCTCTTGGCTATCGGTGTTACGATGATCGCAACTGGTATTCAAAGCTCGAATGGTGACTTTGCTGCGGATCACTCGCCGTGGTCTGCTTGGCCGAAGCCAGGTCTCACTTTCTCCGCCGCTATCGTAGCCACCAATAATATCGTTTTCGCATATTCCTTTGCTGGATGTCTGCCGTCATTCATGGAAGATATGCATACCCCCGAGGATTATGTTAAGACGCTATGGTGGCTAGGAGGTATCCAAATTGTCATCTACACCCTGACAGGGTCAATCATCTATGCCTTTGTCGGGCAGGGGGTACAATCGCCTGCTTTGTTGTCCGCTGGCCCCGTTATCTCAAGGGTTGTCTTCGGCATAGCGCTTCCAGTTATCTTCATTTCTGGGTCTATCAATACAACAGTGGTCTGTCGATATATCCACGGAAAGATATACCGGGACTCAGTCGTTCGCTTCGTCAACACCGCGAAGGGCTGGACCACATGGCTTGGTCTTGTGTCTGTTGTTACCATCTTAGCTTGGATCATTGCTGAAGCAATCCCCATATTTTCCGAGTTACTCTCTATCATTTCTTCCTTGTTCGTGTCTGGTCTGTCTTTCTATATCCCACCAATCATGTGGTATGTGCTTTTGAAAGAGGGCGAATGGTATGAAAAGCACAATTTGAAGCCTGCAATTTTGAATGGTGTGGTATTCCTGGTCGGCATGATCATTTTTGGATGTGGTACTTATGCTAGCATCGCTGAACTGGTAAGCCCTTTTCCCTTCCGCCTTCTGGGAAGTATTGCTAACTATATCTTCCATAGGTTGATAAATTTGAATCGGGTTCAGTAAGTAAGCCATTTACTTGTGCTTGAAATCTCTCAACAATGTGGTGATATCTATCTTCTGTCTTCCCGGTAACTACGGTCTCTTGGGAGTCAGCTATATAAAAATCCATGTTGCAAACAACCATGTCGTCCACTTCCATATAACTCCAGCGATCTCTTTTTCATTATTTTCTTTTAATAGCGCGATCTACTACATTAAGAAGAGGGGCTATAGATAGAGGTGGCTCAGTTTAACAGCACTTGGAATCGACAAAGAAGAATGCGTTATAGATTATCGTGAGCAGCAACATATGTACGTATATATAGTGTCAGGCTTTGAGGTGCGCTCAAAGTTGTATTGGGGCCCGTTCCCTTTTTCGGTTATTAGATTTGCAGGGAAGAGGTAATTGTTTTTGCACGGCGTCATAGAAGGATAGTTTAGATGATTCAGAAAATAGCATATAACATAACACTAAAGAACTGCAATAATATGTAGTAAGGTTGGTTGATGCATACCTCGCTTACCTTTTTCACTTACTTTCCTCATTGCTCCTCTTGATCCTCCTCGATCGATTCTACAGCCCATTGATTCCCCTCGAAGAATGTTTGCATGGCAGCAGTATTATTGCCCATAAACCCCTGGTCGTTAAACATTGTAGGATCTAAGAGCGCTTGCAAAGCGGCGTCCTCGTCATCCCCCATCAGAAGATCTTGCCAGGCGGTATCTGAGGAAGCAGCAGGGTCAGCAGCGGGTGGAGTGACGGTTTTCCTTCTTCTTTGAGCCGCGGGGGAACCTTCCTCAGTCTCATTACCTGCTTCCCCTGCCTCCGCTTCTGCTGTTCTCTTTCGCTTTGTGTTGTGTCTGATATTCTCATATCGGGCCATCTGTTCCATTCGACTGTTAGAAGTGACTAGATTGCCACTCAATAGTCCAGCGGGGCGGGCTAATGATGGCTGTGCGGTAGATAAGGCGCCTCCTATAGAAGAGAAGAAAGATGTTAGTATGCGGTATATCAATAATCGAACTTGGAAAGGAGAGCTTACCTTTCACGTTACCGCCTCGAATGATAATCGTCAAATTGGGTCTGGGTAATGGTGAGCGACTTATTCTATAGGGATCAGGGGAAGGATTTCGAAGCCTAGGCCAATGTTCACGGATAGTTCGCAAAAGTGTAGATGCTAGGTTTAAGCCAGTCAATCGCGATTCACCAGCCTGTGGGTTAGCAAGCAGCGTATGATCAATTTGGTCCAGGGAGAGATGGTGTATCCAGACTGTGTCCCCATCTGCCATATATCCTTCTTGGATGAGGTTTCGTTTGAACAATTCAAATCTTATGTTGGCGATGTTGATCCAGTCACCATCGGGGCATACATCATACGGGTTTCCTTTATCTGTTAGAAAGTCACTCAGTCTAATTGCAATGGGCATGTCTGGGTGGTTTGCTTGGATGATCTGGACGTCACCGTTTGGCACGATGAAGGGCCGGTGATATTGGAATATCTGTTGGCTTTCAGCTGGGTTTGCTAGCATTAGTGGTGAGTTTCGTGCTGGCTGTGTCGGCTGTGTCGGCTGTTTTGCTATTTGTTGCCCTTGTGTTTGTTGTGCTGGCTGTGTCGGCTGTTTGGCTATCTGCTGCTGCCCTTGCAATTGTTGTCCCTGTGCCTGGACAGAGGCCTTTGCTCTTTGATCTGCTTGTTGCTGAGTCTCTGGCTGCTGTGCTCGATATACCGATAGCAGCTCATCCTGAAGATTATTGATGTATTTGTAAAGCGCACCACAGAGAAGGTCATCATCTATTACGTGATTCCTAACAGCCAGTGGCAACGTCGGTAGTCGCTCGCGCCATTCATTCAAGATTATTTTGGGAACAGCGCTCGAGCGGAAAAAGTTGCCAGGAGCGATACCTCTTCTCCTAGCCTCATCGGCTATGATATTATAGAAGAGTTGTGCTGAATTGCGGAGAGCACGTTGGTCATCGACTCTGTCTGCTATACCAAGACATCTGAACACGTACCTTGGGTTGAACATGTGCGGCCACTCCTTGAGCGTCGGCGGTTGTGTCATGTTAGCTTTGGGAAATGATATATCTGAATGGTTGGAAGGCTGGATGTCTGAGAAAATTAAGGGTCTTGAGATGGATTTATCCACCATTTAGTACTCGAAGGGCTCTTTGTGGAGATGAATGACGATACATTGTTGTCTCGATTGTTAGTATCTGAAAGAGACAAAGGAACACACAGAATGGGTATTCACTAAATTAGAATCAAAGAATAGGCTCTATGAAAGCGAGGTTTCCAGGCTCTACATTATTATTAGACAAATGAAACCTTTGGGCACTTAGTGTGATGTCTACGGTGAGCTGTGAGGTATAGTGGCGGGCCTGGCTTGCCAATGTCATTGTGGCCATCGCCACCTCATTGTAAAGATGGCAACATTTGATCATATCCAAGTCTAGACTACAGACATTTTCAAGATTACGCAATAACAAAATTGAATAGAAAAAAATCAGATGGCGTTGGTGGATATTTGCGTTAACTCCAGAATATGAACAGAAAATAGATATGAACCTCCCAAGGCGACCAATCGCCAGCAGAACCCATAGAAGAAATGCCAATTGCACGCATATCCTTCTTATTTTCATTCATTTTTTAATTTGTTTTCATGTCAAAGCAGTCTTACGAAGAGACGTAAGCCTGGCCAGCCTGGTTGAGAGTGTTGCCAGTGAGCAAGTAGTTCTCAGCACACATGAAGTAAGAGTAGCGAGTGACACCAGGCTGGGAATCCAACCAAGGGATAACCTCGCTGAGGAAAGCAGCCGTGTTGGCTGTGTTGGAAGAGCCACCGATATCAGCGTTGAGAGCAAACTCGGTGATCCAGACCTCGGACAGGCCGTGCTTGGAAGCAGTGTCGACGGCGTTGGTGACGAAGGTCTTGAAATTGTCGGCATCATCGCCGTACCAGTGGACGGCCAGACCGGAGATACCACAGCCGCTGCAGCTACCGATGAAAGACTCGAACCAGTCAAGGCCGAATCCAGCTTGAGTGGAGGAGGTAACAGCGGGTGAGATCAGCTTGGCCTTGCCGGACCACGGGGTGATGTAGGTCATGTAGTAGTTGGCAGCATCCGAGGGGCTCATGTTAGCCTGGGAAGGCATGTCAGGCTCGTTGAATCCCAGAATGTAGGTGCTGCCGCTGGATAGAGCGGTCTCGATGGCGGTCACCCAGCCGCCAAACATCTTAGGGCCCCAAAGCATGGGGACGAACTCGACGTTCTGGGGGAGGAGGCCAGACAGGGATCCGGCCCAGTTGTAGGCCCATGAGATGCTGCCACCACTGGTCAAAGCAGACACGGTAGTGACATCGTTGTAGGCGGCACCACGCTTGCTGGATGTATCGCGCTTAGCTTGCAGGGGGGCGGCGATAGCTGATGTGGCAACAAGGCCAGCAGTGAAAAGCTTGGTGAAAGAGACCATTTTGAAGTCGAAGAATTGATAATTCAAAGGGATAGACTTGTAAGAAAGAAAGGAGGGAAAAAGAGAGAAACCTGTTCTCGACCTTGTACAAATGAATGTAGATTTGAAGGAAAGTGAGGCTCAGACCGTGCACGGCACAGGACTAGAAGACCAGAAAATAAAGGAAAGATAGGTGAATAGAGAAAAAGAAGAAAGATTGAGGGAGGCGGAGGTTTTAAATCCCCCATGCATCAGTGTGTCAAACCTACCAGACTAACCATCTGGCTGGGAAGATAACCCATTTTTTCCTCGGGTGGAGTGCAGATAGGCAGCGGTTATTGGAGTTTGCATACTTAGGAGGTGGTTCTACATCATAATGTTGCCCTTTGACCAGATTAAATGCTCAATTAAAAAATCCCTATTGGCGAGGGAAGAGCAGGGATGGATCTCAATGGACTAGGCCGCTGACAGGAATTTGGAACCAAAAGTGATTGGCTTGAACCGAGCGTCTTTTCTTACATTTTCTTACATTTTTATAATGAAATTTACCCTCCAAGGCGCTAATTAACATTAATTCTTTCAGTTCTTCGGTATTAAAGAAGTTTCCATCTGGTCCAACTCCACAGCCAAGATGTAAAGACAACTCCACAATAGCCTGGAACATAATGGGGAATTGTTACATTATTCCATTTGATATTGACAAGCGAAATACACGCCTTGAAACTTTGTTCCTGGTGCCTGTAACATTGTCTATGTCAATAATTGGTTTACCCCTGACAGATTACGAATGGTATGCAATGAGAAACGTGGGAATTTATTTTAAATTCCAAGAATTGACAGAAATTGACGGGGATTGATAACGTACCACGGATATTATTGCATCATCCAATGGTTTACCATGCAGTGCGCCGCGCGGTTCCCTGGCTCCCGGTCAGGGGAACGGCTATGATAGGTGTACCTTAGATACATCGTCATCTTGATTTATGGGTGGCCAATCATGTTACTGTTTTATTGAACATAACCATAGGAACGAGATGAAAACACCAACATTGGACTACATTTTAATTTAAATTGAAACTCCAGACTTTGGATTGTGTGAGATTCAAAGAATTTCTAATTTGAATAGATCAGATTCAAAGAGAATGCTATTCGGATCCATCATACAGGCGTCAACTGAAACTGACCTAATGTGACACACCGACTAGGAAGGCGCCACCACAATGCATCTATGGATCAAATCGGCCACTCATAGTGACACCAATCTTCGATCGACACCCAAGTTTCACCTCCAGCATAAGACCTAGACCATTTCCCCCTTTCACCGGTATCCCGGTGGGCTTCCTTACTTCTGGATCGACTGGGGGCGTTCTAGGGCTAGAAGGAAGAGGGGGCGTCTGAAACTAAACCCTCTTCAGCCCCCCCCCCACCCCTGTTGGCCGATCGGTTGCCGAAAAACGGCCAGGACAAGCCTTGCCGGACTACACGCCGGTGTTTTATCCCAATACATACTCCGTGTTTGAATTGGGTGCCCCATTCGAATTTTTATTCCCCGTTCTCTAGGGCATATCCCAATATTTTTTTCTAGTCTTGCTTTGTGTGAACTCTTGTGGAGTAGTGATTTGCTAATTGTAGTGTCTCCCTTAGGATAATAGCTGGCGATCAATGCTTTTATTCCCGCGTTCTCCCATAGGCGATTAGGGCATACTCGGTACACAAGTACGGAGTATACATACCCTGATGGCACATGCCAATGCATATTCTGATTTTTAAACATACATTATCCGGCCCTGTGGTACTCACTCTACGGGTTCATTTTTTAATGTCGTAGGACTAATAAAGTTGCCACTGACGAGAATGCAAGGTCGCCATGAGATCAGACTTCAGTCACCAGCCGCCTCTGCAGCCAACGATCCCGGACATAATTCCGAGGCATATGCATCTCTACTCCAAGGAGTTCCTTTCATCTGAAACGGACTAAATTCCACCGATCCTCCCGTCAACGTGGATCAAGGCTCGAAACCTGCCATTCACGATCATACTTTCCCGAACTATTAATTCCCGCATTTCCCTCATAATAATTTCTCCGATGGAAAAAAAAAAAGTCAAAATCACAAGTTCTGGCCGCGTCGTCAACTATTGTGGCTTGCAATAGACTCGCTTCTGGCCCAGGTTTCCACTTTCCTATTAGCGCTTTGCCCACGTCATCCTACTGTACTGGGCCTGGAGGTTTGCTGACTTTTATACATTGTACATAGTTATCCACAATCCTAGAATTGAATAATCAGGATACAGGAGGTTCTTCGTTCAATACTTACCAATCTCGTTCTGGCCTTTGCTCCCTTGCCCAAACTGTCGCAAGATTCTTACCAGTTTCGACTAGTCCCAAAACTCAGCAATCAGGCAGCTTAGCTATCAAAGGCCATTTTTAGATTGTGACGCGTGGTCTTGAACATCAGGCACTCATGGCACTGGGCATATACCGGAGACATCGGAAGAGTCTATATGGTACCCGATACGAAGATGTCTTCAAACGAATGTGGCTCAAGGAAAAGGACGAGTTGATGCATGGCCGAGGTTGATGTTCCTAGGACATGCCATATCACTATACCTCCGGTTTCTTAGATACGGAGAAGAGGACGCAAGTTACCTTGGTTTGATCATTAATGGCGCCAACCATATCATTATTGCTGATGCTAATATTACTACTGACACGTCATCCCGTTAATTTCGCACTCGGGTGCCTCTGCATCGACAGTCTTACACGAATCTCCTCGCTGTAGGCATCAGGATCCTGATTGTGGCCATTTTAACATATACAGCGGTATCCATAGCCTTGCCTGCAGCCCTCATGGCTGCCTGGCCACGATTCCTTATTTCGGCGCGCATGTTAGGCATCATCAAGAGCATACACTCGGCCTCCCAATGCATTACTGTTTGTTATACTAGTTTTGCTTAAGGGATGCTAAACAGGTACTCGATAATGCAGGTAGATGTAAGGATTTGCAGCATACGGACATCTATACTGCTTTATGAATCAATACATCGCAAAGTGACAAGTACTCAAGAAAATGCAAGAATATCAACCTTGGGATTATAAGATCATCGTCGAAGTTGAAGTGGTCAAGATCGCTTTGGAGTAAAACCTGATGAAATCTTTTGCAACTGTCACATTTCTGCTAACCAAAAGCTCACACCCTTATTTTGAGGTATAAATTTGAACATCTACAATTACTACTTTTCGAAGTCCCTAAATGCTACAGTTGGTGTCAGAAGTGTATCCTCAACATGTCCACCCATTAAATATCTATCAATCCATTAAATTATCCAGCAAGTTAAATCATCATATTTACACAAAACCTATAGTCCACTTTATATAAATACAATACCACATCGAGTAACTCATCTATACTCCTATCCAATCACAAGTACTGCCCATAATCACACCAAATAAAGCAGGCGGTGAACACCGATGATGTAAATTATCCCAGCTTTCCCGCATCATCAGAACAGCTTCCCCAACCTTGGAACCTTCAATTACTATATTCTTCTTCCACAGCCTCCAATTCAATTACCCTAGAACAATGCTCTCTCGCACAGCCCCTCGAGCTCTGCTCGCCTCCGTGCGCCCATCTATCCGCACAACTACACCCACCACTTCAACTCTCCTCCCGCTGGCCTGCGCCATTCGCCCCAGCTCCGCCTCACAGTTCACTCGCTCATTCCAGTCCTCCCCGGCAATCCGCAAAGGCATTCACCCGGAATCAGCAAACCCCCCAGCTCCGAACCCACAGCCTGGTTCTGTTGCCGGAGCCGCCTCTCATGTCACTGAGCCCTCGCCGTTGACGTCCGAGGAGTACTACGAGTACTCGGAGCATTATTTCAACGTGCTACAGAGCCACCTAGAGAAGGCGCAGGAGGAGGGGTCGGATGTTGAGGCTGAGTACAGTGTATGTTTTCAAGTTTCTTTCCTATATATTATCATTTGTCTTCCTCTTCCTTTTTCATATTCTTCTTGGTCTACAAAAGGACTTTCGGCTGTCATAGCACATAAATATAACAATTTATTAACCTGCTGTTTGTTTTCCTCTAGGCTGGTGTTCTGAACATCTCCGTTCCCGCAATCGGCACCTATGTACTCAACAAGCAACCACCCAACAAGCAGATCTGGCTCAGCTCGCCCATCTCCGGGCCGAAGCGGTACGACTGGATTGTCGAGGGCGATTATATGCATGAGAAGCAGGATTCGCGGCCTTTCGTTAGCGGGCAATGGATCTACCTGCGTGACGGGTCTAATCTGACTGAGTTGTTGAACTCCGAGTTGACTTTGAGTTTGCCCAAGGATATCTACAGCGAGATTGTTGAGTAAATTTGGGTCGTCTTGCTGGGCTATCGATTACCTAGAAAGAAGAGGGTTCTTCCCATTCCGGTTTTTATTTGGGATGTTTGTTACATACTGTAGTCTAGTGCCTATTTTATGATGCGGTTGCATTGAAATCTTTCACGTGCGTAATGTTACTATAGGTGAGCCAATGATTTGGGGACATAATCGTGGGTATCAATTGAGGTAAATGCACTAGGTGGGTATAGTGTGATTGTATGTGACGGGAACGCAATGTGAAAAAAAAAGGAAAAGTCATCTCATCGCCGATTGAACGAATGTACCAAACTGTCGTTCCTCTTTTCTTGAATGAACGCGGCACAGATTTGCATGGCCAAAATACAATCTCAGTAAAAGGAATGAAGCGGTGTCTTGCCCAGCCAAATGATTATGTCCAGGACGAAACTCACACTAGAGACAAAATCGACGGGACCCGAGCCAATATTGAACATGTGAAGCGAGGTACGCCAGGCCCCTCGGTGAGAATCACCGAGGCCAATAGCCCCCAAAGGAACCGAGTCACTCGGTATGGCAAATGCGTATAGACGACAATCGCATGGAGCACACTCGCGCGATACGGTGTTCAGGTGAGGTCCAGTGGATCAAAGCCGCCAGACTCAGCGACACGCATTATTCAGTCCCGCACAGCCGCGGCTGGCAGTAGAATGGCAAAATATCCAATCCCTCGAGTCACTTGTACCACTTGCGCCAGGAAGAGACTGGGCGCAAGCCGACGTCCAAAAATCAGCATGGACCTTCTCTTCGGGCTGTGATCGACTCGATCCTTTCGAGGGTATTTTGCAAGATCTCATTTATCCGCTCAAGCCTGAACAGCCACCCCGCTTGTACTCTGCGCATCGGCTTTAGGAAGATCGGCCTGTAGATACCCCGCAGGGCGTATAATTAGCCAACTGGACATATAAAGTGACATATGCCTATCTGTATGATATGGAACATACCACGTCAAAGATAACCCGGATCATCAGACTGCAACTCGGACACACGGCGATCTCTTCACCGTCGCGCAAATCGTCGATTGCAATCTCGAAACGATCGCCACATGGGCAGGGATATGTGTAGATCTGGATATTTGGGTCGAAGGTCATGTCCTCGATCTCGATCTCATCGTAGATGTTCAGTCCTTCGTCGGCCATTTTGAATAATGATCGGAATGTACAAAAAGAAATGTGGCGAATGAGTAGTAGATCTTGTAGCCTTGACTCTTTCGGGCAAAAAAAGTTTGGCGCAGTCATGTGATGCGCGGGGTTAAGACAGGGACATCCCCGGATTTAAGACACGTGAACTATAATGAACTTGTATATATCCAGTACGTTCTGGTTCTGATTCGGAGTTTTGATTCACCAATATTATACGGCATATGCCATTTTCGGTCATGCTTTTCAAATATGTCTCGAGGACATCATACACTGTATCAATGCGACAGCGACCTCGGCGCTGTGGAGGTCAGCCATTCGGTGTGTCCGCTACGGTTACTATATAAAGCAGACTTATGTAATTTACCTTGGGGTCTCTGAGGAACCTTGTGGTGAAGCTGATGTGTCATAGACTCTCTCTCTCCCACATAGCCGTCAAGGGGCTACTACGCGTCTACTGATCTACAGGTCTAACACTGCACGCATACGTTGATATCGTATCCTAATTTAAGTATGTCCTACCCAAGGTATGGAGTTGTAGCTCATGTCTCCAACCGTGCAATTTCCATCTTTACTTCTTCAACTTCTCTCGCCAAAACCCCATACCGACGAGCAATATCCTCAAAAGTGCCTTCATCAGGAGGAATATCGGTAGCCGGATCAGACATCTCCACATCGCCATAAGCTCTCAGCTCTTGAACAGTCATCTTCCGGCGGTGCTGCAAGCGTTCCTTCGTCTGCCTCAGATGCTGCCTATACCGAGCAAGAGCAGCAAGTGTTTCCGGTGTATAGAGCGTAGCCGCAATTTCCAGTTTCGTAACCCTATCCAAATCGTTAGCCTGAATCCACTCAGAAAAATACAACAAGTCTTGAAATTGAAATCGGCAAGAGGAAAACATACTCTAATTTCCCCTCCACGCCCTGCGCAACAACAGCCAAATGCTCCGCCTTGGCTTTCGTCGCGCGCGCCAGAGCCCCGTGCTTCGCCCGCTCCAGAATTACAACAGTGCGCTCCAGGACTCGCGCCCGCGCGGCAACAACCTCCGCCGCCGCCGTAGCAGCCATCTTCCGCCGAGCGACTGGCAGCTCGGACAGCTGTGCGTGGCGCAGCGCGCGTACCCGCGCCTGCAACTGCGAAGAGAGCGTTGGTACTGGTGCCATCGAGGTACGAACTCGGCGGTCTCGCGCTCGGGCGCGTGCGTTATGGTTCGAGTGCTGTGGGGCGGGGGTGTCTGCGTTGGCGGCGGCTGGGTCTGTGTTTACGGTTGATAGAGCGCGCAGATCTTGAATTGCAGATGATAGGGCTTTTGAGAAAGGCAAGATGAAAGCTGGGATGTTGGTATAGAAGGCTTCGATGTCGGGTGCTAAGAGGGTGAGTGCTTCGTCTGGTTTCTTGGGGTCGGTTTCTGGCTTTGGTATGATGGATTCGATTGCGCTGGATGGTGTCTCGAGATAGAGGGTTATTATAGCAAGATTATCATGGCACTGGAGTTGGTACATTCGTTAGGGACGTGGTTCTTCTATTGATAGGTTGATAGCCTCGTGTCGGGTGTTGTACTGACCTCCGCGGGTAGGTTGCTGTCTGGGACGAAGGCCAATTGCCGGAGCATTTGCTCCTTGATTCGCTTTTTAGCATTTTGAGTCTGGCATTGCTTCAGCTCCTAGTGATATAGTGTCAGTGCTCTGTTCGTGCCTAGGTCCATTTGGTATGTGCTGCGTAATGACTACTTACTTCCACCACCGCTGTGCGGGCTGGGCTTGCACTTTGAGCACGCGTTGAAGCATCTGGATTGAGGATGGAGGTTGTTAGATTCTCATATAGTCGCTTGAATTGAGGGTTATGCTCAAGAATTGAGGGGTCGCAGGGAGGAATCATGTTGATGTTACAAAGAAACTGGGGAAGTTCACCGCCGAAGAAGTCCCGACGCACGGCCCATAATAGGGAAAGAGTTGGCAATGATACTTCGTCGTCCAAACTACACAATCTGATAACTTGGATGGATGTCTTACTATTAGATAGATATCTTACTATTACAAGTACATATTCATTTTGCATTTCCACGTTTCTTTCGTAATCATACAAGTTGAAGCTAAAGCTTCGGTTCACCTCTTCCATCCGCAACGTCGGAGAAAATAGAGCAACCTCGTCCACCTATCCTGGCTGTGAAACGAAACGGGAAAAAAAAGTGTACACTCAGGCATAGGGGAAGGGAAATTGAGAGAGTCAAGTAAATGAAATCCTGTTCGGCCAATCTTAAGCGTAAGGTTCATCAGTGGCAGAAACCTTGCCGGTGCAGGGGTACTAGAAACCAAAATATGTACAGACGTTGCCGGCGGGGGTTGCATATTGGATTCAATGTTGCAAGTAGCCCGCCAGAATCCAGAGGTGTGACTGAAAAGGCAAAATAGGGCGAGAAATTGTTCAGAAAGGGACTGAGGGGAAACGACGCTTGGAACGCAAGTCAGAGTAAAGAGCCATCCCGTACGGGGGAAAAAAAGGCGGGATTTGAATCAGAAGAGTATTTTCTTTACTCCTCCTCGCTCTCTTCCTCAGACGAATCAGACTCGTCGTCGCTGCTTTCGTTGTGTTCAACCGAGGCTACTGGGTCGGGAGAGTGAGGACCACCCTGGAAACGCGAAAGGTTGCTCTGGAGCATGTTGATCTGAGCTTCCTGCTCGAACTTGCTCATTGGCTTGTTCTTCTTCGGTTTCGGGGGTGCCACATTGGTGGCAGGGAGATCGTCTTCATCTTCATCATCCATAAGATTCGGTACGTGCTTCTTCACGAAGTTAAGCAGCTTCAACAAAACATCGTTAGGGAGCTCGTCGATGTCCAACTCAATTTCGGCTTCATCAGTACCCTGTGTAATATATGTTAGAATCGGCTGGCGTGAAAAGACTTGTGAAGAAAAGATTTACCTTGAGTTGAGGAACATTGTTCTGGATGATCTGGAGCGCTTGCTGCATCCTCTTATCAGGAAGACTACTAATACCGTTCGAGATGATCTGCTTCTCGTTGTAGGTAATGGCGCGGGTCTTTCCAAGTTGACTCTTGCTCTTCTTGTCTCTCTTTCCAGAGCTGATTTTCTTGGAATCCTTCTTGGCAAGCTTGGTCTTGCCAACCTTCTTAGAGGAAGGAGGTGTCTTCTTTTTCTTGTTGGTGATAGCCTCGACCTGACGGGACATCTCAGCAATTTGCTTCTGAAGCATCGTGAGTTTCTCGTCATCTTCTTCGCTCTCCTCTGCATCCTCGTCACTATCTTCGTCAGAAGAATCAGTGTTCTGCTCCGGATGTGGCTCATGCGCTTCGAGGTAGTCCGACTTCTGTGCCCACTTCGTGTTGAAGATTTCTTCTGCTCGCTCGCCACAGACGTAAGTAGGGTCACCAGGGATATTGAAGCGGTAGCAATTCTTAAAAATGAGGCGGACATCGTTCTCGAACTCCTTGGCATTTTCGTACTGCCCCGCCTTAAGTTTGTTTTGAACTGTCGACAGATCCATCGGCTTCTTGACCACGCTGTGGTATGTGGGAATATTCAAAGCAACGGGATCCACGGGATAGTAGAAAGGCATCACCCAGCTGTAGTGCTTTTGCTTGTGGAGCTCATCCAAAACTTCCTGGCAGAATCGCAATTCCCATTGGAACTTCTTCTTCTTTGGCTTGGTAGAGTACGGGAGATCACGCTTCGGGGGATGAATGGACCGTTTGGGGCGGCCATCGGGGTTGGAAGAATCGCGGCGGATGACGGGGAGACCTTCGGGGCCCAACGCAAAAGTCTGAGACTGGGGAGAGGCAGCTTTGGGCTGGCTTGGGAGAGAGGTCCGGTGCTCCCGGCGAGCAGCAGACGTCTTCTCGGTCTGCTTCTTTGGTTTCCGCTCTTCAACCTCGTCGGGCTTTGGGAGGTTAGTCATCTGCTTCTCGAATGTCGCCTTCAGCTTGATCCCCTCTTGGGTGACCAGGTGGTCTGCGCCATTAAAAATGGTTGTATTGTTGACCATCAGTGCAAAGTCATCTGCGACTTCCTGGGGGGAAGAATATTGGTTGTTCTTAAGCTTCCTCTCCATAGTTCCCAAGTCCATGGGGTGAGTGATAATAGTGTGGTATTGCGGAATGTTCAACTTGACCGCATCCACTGGTTCCTTGTAGAAACGCGCATCGTGCATGCGCTTGAGGCTTGAAAGGCACTTTGATATGAACTTGTGTTGCATTTTAGTGAGGCCCGGTGCGCCACTAGTGCGATTTGGACCAGGTGTTGGAGCAGCCGAGTTGTTGAATCCCGGTTTCTGGAAGTTGACGACTGAACCGTCGCCCTCGACCTTGGTGCGCTTGGGAGCTGGTTCTTCACTGAGGTCAGCATCCCGTTGGCGGGACATCTTGGAAGGAGATAGCGGGGCCTCAGATGCGTCCTTCATCTCCTGGTCAGCGGGCTGTGGCGCGGGGAGAGCAACTGGTGCAGAGGCCGGGGTAGGATGATGGGGCAGGTCAGTCTTCACGGCCGTCGAAATGTCTTGGTTGGTATCGATGGCCATTGGCTCAGGTGTGTCGCTGGGGCCATCTACGGATGCAGGAACTGTGGGAGCTTGAGTCACGGCCTGCGGGGCGGACGGAATAGCACTTTCAGCCGGAGCATGTGCTGCAGCAGGAGCGGTAGATTCCTGGGCCTGTGAAGGACTGATCTTTCCTTCTGTCGGCTGTGCCTCCGCTGGTGGAGCGGATTCCGTAGCAGATGGTGTCTTGTTTTGGGTTTCTTGGGGGTTCTGATTATCGGGGGACTTGGGCGGTGAGGTAGCAACGGTGGTGCCATTGGTGTTCGAAGGCGCGATGGGAGTGTGGCCATTCAGCGTAGGGGATTTAACCTCGGCATCCGCGGGACCATCACTTTTTTGATTCACTGCGACATTTTCCGCGCTACATACCAGTCAGATCAAGGACATAGCAGATAATAAAGCTAATGTACTTACCTGGTGGGTGGGTAGTCAGGCGCAGAAGGACCAGTAGGCGATGGAGGCAATTGAGGCTTGTCCTCCTTCGTGACAGGAGGAACCTCGGGAGGCGGAGTCGCCATTGGGGTCGCGTTGGATAAGCAAAAATACAGGGTAGGGAAGGGTGAGAGAGTTGAAGATGTGAGAGTTATAGGAAGGTGTTCTGGAAGCTAGTGATCAACTGAAAACACCCGTGGGCTCTCGCCGCGAAACAATCTCGAGTCAACAAACACTAGCGACAAGCTAGGGCACGTAGTGTGGACTCAGTTGATGAGGCTTGATATCAAACGTGTCGCGAAGAAAACGCGGACGGGGAGGCGGGAGTGAGGTCAGAGATGATCGGGAGATAGGAAGAGTGGAGAATGCGATCGGAGACCAGGTATTTATACTGCCAAGGCGGTATAAAAGCTTTCACGTGATTTAGTAGAATTTGAAGCCAAGGTCTAGATGACTTGGTAAAGAAGATATTGGAGCTAAGAAGTTCCCGTGTGGTGCCTGAGGCAAAATCAGGATAAAAGGGAATTATGAAAATAAAATAAAAAAATAAAAAAAAATAAAAAAAGAATTTGGGATGAAGGCGGTTAAAAGGAGAAATAAGAACCGTGACGCGAAGACGCGTTTGTTATGGGTTTCTTATAAAGGCGGTCAGGAGAATAAAAATAGGAGAAACCAGGACGGAAGCAGAAAAATGGTCGGGAGGGGATGCCAGAATCCTTAAGTACAAACGGCCGCCTTGCACTCTCCTGTTACCCAGTTCCACCAGCCACACTAGTCCTAATTCTCTTACCTTTCTTACCCCTTGATTGGTTCTATACCCCTGGAATCTTTTTTCTTCTTCTCTTTTCTTTTCATAACTTTGGCTCTTTTCCTTCTTAATTGAAAATTTTACTATCCTTCTTTTTGTCTTTGTGTCTTTTACGTTCTTCTCGGCTTTTGCTCTAGTTTTATAAAGTCGTCCAAGTGGACTCGTATTTCTGATGACTCAAAGCCCTAGGGTTCTGGCTATATCCGGGTTAGTCCGTGATGGGTCTGAGTCACGTCACCACTCGACTGTTCACGTGACTATAACGATGAGTACACGTATTGTACTTGATAAGAAAGAACATCACCTTTCAATGCTTTATATAGACATTCGACGCAAGGAACATTATATATAGAATCTTGAAACATTCATAAATTATAGTGTAGCCTAGTACATGGTTCCCCGCTAATCTTTAAATTTTTCCAATCGGCACTTTGCATTTACTGGGCAGCTACACCTCGATCCTTACAGGTTAGGTAAATATACGCATGTCACATGATCCGGGAGTTGGTACATTTAATCTCGAATATCTGCCCAATGGGAGTCCGTATGCTTCGAAGTATACGATATATAATTTTTAGTGCTACACGTTTTAGATGGCTTGGGTTAATCTGTAATGTACAGAGTAACAACCTTAGAAGGGCTCTGATATTGCTACTGTTCTGCCTCCAATATATATTGAATTTAGTTTGGGTCACACAATGAACTTAAAATTCTTTATATTGGCTTTGAAAATAAATATTGGGGATGTCTGCAGAAATGTATGTTGAAGTGGTCTATGAACGTTATTATATATTTTCACTCAAACCTTGGATGGGATGTTCAAATGAAAACATCGAAGTGACCAAAATGAGATTGGCAATAAAAACCCCACAGCTAACAAAACCCCCCAGTAGATCTCACAAAATACAGACTAATCCAACCGACCAAAACGAATCCAAGTTGGCAGAGTTGCCCCAGGGTCTATGTTGTACTCTTTAACATTGAAGTATCCCAAGGTCACGGGATGATATGATTAGATAAGAGCCTTTAACAGCCTAGTCCCTTTTAGGACTAGACCGTCAAGGCTCTACAGAACATTTTTTTTCCTGTCCGGATCAACGAAACCACCAGCCTAAACCCCCATTTGTTTCCTTAGGGGCGGAAAAAAAATAGAGTCTCATCGGAATATTTGCTGTCTTTATTTCAGCCTGCTCTATTGATATTTATCAGCATACTACCGCACCCTCGACTGCAAGCAAAAAAAAAAGACCAGAAAAAAGTTACAGCCAAGATGGGAAAGAAGACGACTCGCCCATCCACTAAGGTCGCTTCGGCCGCCGCATCGCCGGCGTCGGGCATGACATATGCGGGCAGCAAGTCGTCCATTCTGCGCGCTGCATTCTCCCCGTCAGAGTACCAATTGGCCCTGTTTGCGTCCGTTATCCAAGGTCTCGATGGCCAGCACATTCGCATTCACGACACACAGACAGGACGACTCCAGTGCGAGCATGCTCTGGGGCCGAAGGAAACAGTAACCTCTTTGGACTGGGGATACTACGGTGGCTCGGGCAAGGGTCGTGACCAGTCGAAAAAGAAGCGCAAGCGCGGATCCGATGTCAATGGGGCTGACGGCCTGGACCAGGGTGATATCGTGGTTGCATTCGGCACAAACACATCGGATATCCGCATGTACTCGCCATCCGAAGATAAGGTCGTCGGCACCTTGAGCGGTGCGCATGACAAGGGGATCAAGGACTTCAAGTTCACGGCTGATCGGCCCCAGGAGGCTTGGAGTATCGGTGGTGACAATAAGCTTGTACAGTGGGACCTGCGCACAGGGCAAAGCACCAAGTAAGTTTGCATATTTACAGGGCTATACCGAAGCTCCCGACTAATCATACCTCTAGGACAATCCACCTCCCCGCATCCTCAGTCTTCACTGCTCTCTCCCGCCCCGTTCCCTCGAACCCTCCTCTTATCTGCGCTTCCCAGACCCCGTACTTAATAGATACCGAGAAGACCGACGAGCCGGTTCAGTTCCCTGCCATGCGCAACCCTATCCACACCGTCATTTCGTCCTCTTCTGAGTCTGCTGGTGTGGGTGCATTCCTTGCATCCGATGGTGACCGCTTCGTCAACGTCTTTGATGCCGCGACCCAGAAGCTTGTTCGCAACCTTGTCGCCGACCAGGAGGTCTCATCTATCACACTGCAAACCGATGGCGTTGCCGCCCCGGAGAAGCAAGTGCTTGCTGCCATCACCGCAGATGGTAGCATCGAACTATTCACGAAGCCATTTGTTCAGCCCCAAAGTGCGCCCTCCGCAAGTGCCAAGGCCAGCCGGAAACAGATGACCCAAAAGGCAAACGCAACCCTCAAGATTACCAACACCGAGTCCTCGAGCACCTGCGTTCCCGTCGCGGCCGTCTCATTCCAGGGCCCTACCCTCGTGGTTGCATACACCGAGGGTGGTGTCATCCCCGTCTTTGAGCGTGTCAAGTTCCTCGACGAGAACACCGATGAGCTCTCATTCACCGGAATCAAGACTGTTGTGAAGACCAAGTCTGGTTCAGCACTTTCTTCCGTCACAACGAATGGAGTTAAGAGCACAGGCGAGACCCGTGTTGACGAATCTCGCATGAATGTCGAGCAGGGAAATCTGGTCGATGAGGATGTAGAGATGGAGGATTCACGCGAAGATGCATCTGACTCTGGCAGCGAGGAGGACTCAGATAATGAGAAGAAGCCCAAGGTTTCCAACGAGAAGAAGACAAAGCCCACCAAGCAAGTCGCAGTGAACGAGGACGTTGAGATGCAAAACGCATCCGACTCCGAGCAGGAAGAGGAAGAAGAAGAGGGCGCCGAGCCCTCATTCGGAGAACTCATGCGCGCAGGCCAGGAAGTCGATGTCGAGGCCGAGCTTGACGATGACGTCCTCCTGGGCGCACTGGTTCCCGGCAAGCCCCAGGCCGCAGTGCAACAGATCCCTACCGGTGTTTCTCTTGCTACTGTCCTCACACAGTCCCTCAAGACCAACGACAATGGCATGCTCGAGTCTTGTTTCCACACCGGTGACACCTCCATCATCCGCACAACCATCCAGCGTCTCGACTCCTCCCTTGCCGCGACTCTGCTTCAAAAACTCGCTGAGCGTCTCGCCTCCCGCCCTGGTCGTTACGGCCACCTTCTCGTCTGGGTGCAGTGGACCTGCGTTGCCCACGGTGGTGCGCTGGCTGGCCACCCCGATCTCTTGAAGCGTATGACTTCCCTCTACAAGGTCATGGATCAGCGCTCCGCTACTCTGCCATCCCTCCTGCTCCTCAAGGGCAAGCTTGATATGCTCGATGCCCAATTGGGACTGCGGCAATCAATCCGCGGTGGCGATGAGGGTATGGACAGCGAGGACGAGGATAATGTTATCTACGTCGAAGGCCAGGATGATCTCGAGGACAGTGAGACCGAGGCTAAGACACCGCGGAAGTCAATACGCGATCAGGCGTACGATGAGGATGAGTCAATGATGAACGGCGTCGATGAGTCTGAAGATGATGAGCATGATGGAAGTGACGATGAGGATGATGAAGAAGAGCCCATTTTGGATATCGAGGCTGCCGAGTCTGTCGGTTCTTCCGATGCCGAGGAATCTTTGGAGGAGAATGAGGATGAGGATGACGACGAGGACAGTGATGGCTCGATGGTTGACTTCATTGCCGACACAGAAGACGACGAGTCTGATGATGCCGCCGAGGTTCAGCCCCCGCCGAAGAAGAGCAAGTCTTCTGCTTCTGTCGGTAAGAAGAGCAAGGGCGGGAGAAAATAAGTGTCTCTCTTTTTGAGTTGTACGAATTAGAGATGGGAGAAGGGGGTTACGGTCTATAAAAGAACATATTTTTTTCCCCGTTGCATCCGATGGGTCTGCATTTCATTTTTTTTCATTGTTTTATCTTTTGCTTTCGATATCTTGTGCCTCTACCGAGCGCCTCTTGCGTCTCCATCAATGTCTATTGAACTCTACCTTGGGTATCTTGATATCTCTCCTGTACAGAGTAGTACTTCATTCCTCAGTAGCTATGGCAATGCAGCCCTATCACTAAATCTTGCTATTTATACCAGCAACTCCTCCCCCTGACAGGGACCGTCATGTAGGACCCGATGACTCGGCACCCCTTTCTCGAGGGGGATCACCACAGATGTCGTTCGGTCCCGCGAGGGATAGGTAGTGAAGTGACCCAATGCACTGACATCAGCGGTGTCGAGAGCTAGTATGACTCCATTTCTGCCACCTTCAATCCAGGCCTCGGTCGTCGAGTCAGGAAGCGTGATATGCGCTAAGCCGGAGAGAAAGACCACCCATCTAGTTATAAGTGCGAAATCAGCTAAGGATTGTTGACTCTAGAATGAAACGAAAGTGTGTACGGAGTAGAAACAACTCATTCAGACTAATTTTAAAATAACAAAAGACATGCATGGAAGTATATAAAACATTAGGAAAATATCACTCACTGCAAAGCAGGCGCGTTATGTCTACCCCCATCAAACCCAGCTGGCAACACTGTAAATGACGCGTTCCCGCCGATATTCCCCAAATCCAGTGCGGCGCTTCCGGTCTGCCCGGGTGTAAGGGAAGTTTCAAATCCCGAATGGAGAGCCCAGCACTCTAGGGTGGAGCGATTGTGCCGGGCGCCGAGCACGGTTATGTTAAGGGTGGAGCCGAGAGAGGGATCGGAGGCGAGGACTGCCGGGAGGATGAATTGGATAAGGGTTTGAAGGCGCATTTTGAGGAAATGTGACAGAAAAAAAAAATGATATACCTAGATCTGAGATTCTGGATAGCTGAAGAGAAGAGTGTGATCTCAGGCGTATAAAAGGGCACTAATGCAGAGATCAATGTATTGCATATTACTACATGTACACTTGGAATGTGATACTCTATTTGCCGAAAAGCCGGGCTTACATCTGTAGAATATCTTGAGTCTGCTTTTTCAACTATTTCAAGGATATGTATACATGTTTACATGTATACAAGCTTCGATATGCATTCCGTTGTATCAAAAGAGGGCACTTGGTGAACAACAAAATACTTCAATTCGCCAGAGCAAAGAATGAGAAACCCACCTAACCATGTTCTTTCTTTGCAGCATTAAACCAATAAAAATATAAATGCGTAATGATAGAGTACCCAGACCCAAGAAGACAAAGAATACTAACGAATGACTTCACCTCCAGACTTCTCAATACCCTCGAGGCCTTCGAGAATGTCGCTTCCGCCGAAGAGACCATAAGCAGAGCTGGTGCTTGTCCTTCTTCCAGTCCAGACCTCATGGAACTTTACAGTTTGATCACTAGACGCGACAATAATGCATCCCTCCTCCTTTGTACGCGTGCACCATATTCCACCTTCTTTCTCCTTGGGAGTAAACATTCGAGCACCGACCTTGCGGCCGCGGGTCGGAACTCCTTGTTCCGGAGACCGAGTCTGACTTGATGAGGATGAAGGGGAAGACGACTGACTGTCCAGTCTATCAGAGTGTACACCCGAGAAACGAGGGACTTTCCCTGGATATCGCACTGCCCACAGGGCTCTTCCGCAGTCGAAGTTATTTATTCGAGTTTCGGGGCCATCCCAGGTCGTTCCATAGGGCCCCCAGGGGATAACGGCAACCTGTGCGCAGCTGGGCCAAGCAAAAACGGCGATTCGAAATGGGTGATCTGGCTGTGCATAACCGAAAGTAGCGGCGATCTCACGTCGAGTTTCGCTCCAAATAAGACTGGTCACCTGCGCGAAGACATTGATGGTTGCAAGACAGACTCCGCTCCGGGTATGATAAAAGTGTATAGCTCTGTCATTGGTACCTCCCCCTGTCGCGAGCAGGGACGCCTGCCATGGCGCAAATGCAATTGCTTTGACCGCAGCGGAGTGCACCAAACGGTACTTCTGACGGTCGTATGGGACCAGAATCGTTCGTCCACCACCGGAAATTAGCGTGCCTGCGTGATTTAAGGGTGCGGCGGCGGCCGGAGGCTTAATAGGAGCAGCAATCCATGATGGAAGAGCAGGTCGCCTAAGAAACAGTCGTCTTGTTGCGGTACCAAGAGCAAGGTATGGAAATACACCGAGGCTGAAGCTGCTAGGGGAATCTGGGGGTGTAATGGATCCGACCGTATAGTTCGAATGTTGTGGTGGAACAATCTCCGCCAGTTCGAAAAGAAGGCAGACGTTATCATTACCGCCAGTGGCAAGGTATCTCCCGTCGGGCGACCAGGCCAGTCCGCAGATTTGTTGAGTGTGTGCACAGATCTTGGCAAGAAGCGTCATGGACCCGTTCCATTTCCACTTGGCTTGGTCTTCTTTGTCAGACCACTCAACGGAATAGTACCAGACATTTCCAAATTCATCACCAACAACAAGCTCTTCCACGTTGACTTTCACATGCATGAACCGTTCTGAAAATCGCTGTGATGGCTTCGGCTTGAATGCCACGCATGTAAGCGTACTGGGATGACTGATCTCAAACCGGGGTTGCTTCTCGAATGTGCTCCATAGAGATAACTGACCAGATCGACGAGCCACTGCAAGAATGCTTCGTTCACCATCCTCAGAAGAAAACGACAGGGAGGTCACATAATTTGAGGAGTGCAAATCTGGAAAGGGAGGATAATCCACCCCATGGCCTTCAGACCAGAGATATACTTGATGGCCCAGGCCCACAGCCAGTATCCCAGATGTTGTTGAGTATGCAAGAGTGCTGCAGTAAAAATCGTCCCGAAGGAAGGGAGCATCTAGGATTCGAAAAGGCTTTGGTGGAACAATCTCTTTTCTGCCAGGAGACCTGGACCCTGTGAGGCAATCTGAGTTAGTTGATGCCCCGAAGAAGGCTGTGGATACCGCCAGTCTCACAATTTCCAAAAGTTTAATTGATTTTTATATATGCTTTATCTGTAGATGGTAAATATATTCCAAAGGTAGGCTCAGGGGGAGGGTGGCCGTTACAAACTACAGTTGCACTTACAACGCTCCTTTTCAACTTTCTTCCAAGCACTGTCTTTCCATTCAAATGGGGAGAGGCGCTCGAAGTCTGGAGATGCTGGATTGAGGGGAGCATCCAGATACCGTAGGGAAGTACCCAGTTGTCTAGTGGTCGGGTCAATTCCCAAAGCAAGGGCAAGCCTCGATTCATGAATTTCTTGTTCACTGTACTTGGGTTCCTTGGGCAAGAACCGAGCCACGAAAATCGGGGCAGTTGATGATCCATTGGTCGAAGTGGTCGGCGTTTCATCAGGAGCCGCAATAAGGGAACTACTGAGAACTGCAGACGACCCACCCACGTTCCAGATCCCACCGGAACTGACCTGTCTCAAAGATTCATGTGCAACATTATTGCCTATGATACTCGGTTCGGTGACTAGACGAGGCCGTTGATGTGGGATCCGTTGAAGCCGAGTTGGTTGCTGGTATCCACTGGTAGCGTAAGTCCTACGTACATTTGAGGGTAGAAAAGGATCATCTCCAGGCGGAAGTCGTCGAAGCAGTCTCTCTTGAGGCGAAAGACGCTGCGGATGCTTGGCCACACGGAATGTTGTTGATGTTGGTTCCACGAAGTCTCGCTTTGGGATGAATCTATCAGGCGAGAGTGGACTCCGGAAAGGGCTTCTTGCTACTGTTGCATTTCCAGAATTTCTCACCCTGCTGCGACCTCTTTTGGGTGACGAGACCCGATTTTCTTTGAAACGAGGGACGGGTGTTAGAACAGATTGGGCCTTGGGCTTCCTCGGCAATGATTGAGAAGTAGGGGTTTCAAAGAATGGCAAATTGATGGTTGCAAATTCAGTCAATTGAACAGGTCCACTGTCCTTGGAAGACTCGGATCGGGAGTGTTTGTGACTGCTTGAAGAGGTTTCCTCGAAGGAGTGACGTTGCATATCTACCATTGTTCTGGATGTAGGTGGATAAGCTGTATATGTAATTGTCTAGAGCTAAGAAAAGGAATGTATAAGGAGGCCTCTCTTCCAAGGCATAGCGACAAGAGGAGAAAGGTGAAGCAAAGACAAGTCTCCCCCAAAGTAGAAAGAGTGATCACGTGAAGCTATACAAACGATCCCAAGGAAGGAATACCGGAGATTACATAAGGTACCCCACCGCCTCATGCACCAATGAGATAATTCTAGCCTCTGATCAACACGAAGCAACCTAGGTAACACCTTTGCTTCTTATTGTCAAAGAGTGAAAATGCCCAGTGTGAGATTAACTCCTAATGGCTGTACCGTTCTGGGCTGACGATTACAATAGCATGGTGTGCCAAGGTACAAACCAGTTGAGAAGTCCGCCGAGGCACGACAGCAAGAGCTGCAGAAGATAGAAGATTACAAGGATCTCGAGCGTTTGGTATCCAAAAAGGTTGGCCATCCTATAGATCTACCCTGTAAACAGAATTTGACACAAAGACAGGTGGCTGAGCATGAGTACACAATCGAGACCTTGAAGAAGATCTCGGAGCTGCTGTCTAGCAATCCAGAATACTACACAGCCTGGAACTACCGCCGGCAGGTACTGCAGTATCAATTCTCCCAAGCAGGAGGCTCGGATGATGAGACTGTCCATTCAATCACACAGTTAATCATGGATGATTTACATTTCCTCATTCCCCTGTTACGGAGCTTCCCTAAGTGCTATTGGATCTGGAACTATCGTTTATGGCTGTTGGATGAGGCTCGCCGTCTACTATCCCTTCCAGAAGCTCGGAAAATCTGGCAGCAAGAACTTGCCCTGGTGGGTAAGATGTTGACTCTCGATAGCCGGAATTTCCACGGGTGGGGTTATCGACGCTTCGTGGTTGAGACCTTGAAGGAACTTGGCACTGCTGAAGAAGCAACAAGTATGACCCAGAAGGAATTTGAATATGCGACCAAGATGATTGGCGCCAATCTCTCTAACTTCTCCGCGTGGCATTACCGGACAAAGCTTATTCAATCCCTTTTGGATGAGACATCTGCCAGCGATGACGATCGGAGAAGAATGTTGGATGATGGTTGGTCTAAGCTGTCTTATCAAGTCTGCCTTATGCTAATGGTGATTTTCTTTTTCCAGAACTATCTCTCATTCATCAAGCCTTTATTGATCCTTATGATCAGTCACTTTGGTTCTATCACCAAAATTTGATGAGTGTGTTTGACCCGTCGATGGCCAAACGGACTATGGCTCCCAATTTGAGCTCATCCGACCGGCTGGAGTACATTAGAAATGAGATTGAAGAGATCCAGGAGATGTTGGATGGGGCCGAAGACTGCAAATATATCTACCAGGCATTAATTGAGTGCACCCTTCTTGCATCAAAGGTGGAAGGCAGCTTGTCTTCCGAGGATCGGGAACAGATTCTGAGCTGGCTCTCAGAATTGAAGAAGCTGGATCCATTGCGACGAGAAAGATGGCTCGATTTTGAGAAGACTTTGTGAAAATAGTTACATACCTATATGGACTATTTGTTTACCCCTTTGCCCATTATGTAGCGCCACCACACGCCGAATTCCTCAAACAGGGAAATGCCAATAAGACATTCTTATAATAGCATATTAAACATAATATACATAGAAAAGGAATTATAATGGTCATACATGTCGGATTATGCAAATGCATTCTCAACGCCTCCAACCTGTTCCGCCCTGAGGCGCCAATCAGCGGCGAGTGTACCTGGCCATCTCAATTGAAACTCGCCAAATTCCTTCGATTCCTTTCTCATTCCATATTCTTTTTTTCCCCTTTTCGCGAATTCCACTCCCTTGGGATTTTTGACCTGCTCTCTTGAGCCTCTGCTTTTTATCCTATGGAGTGTCCTTTCTGATTGTTGTGAGGTCATCTAACATCTATGGCCGACATGTCTACGCCTACGAAACACAGTACTGAATACGAAGTGGTAAGTGCATGTGATTCAGACCTAGATCTTTCCAAAACCCCATATTGTCTTGACACAAGCTTATTGCTATCCGAATAGGAGTCGTTTGACGACGCCCTTGAAACCGCCCCAATCCAGGAGAACAACAACCTCAACGTCACCATCCCTAAATCCAGTTCTACCCGATCGTTGACCGACAGTCCTCCAATTGGCTCACATATGTCTCCAGAATCGACGGAGAAACCTCCGTTCCCTTCTGAATCGCAGGACGAGAAGAAGGCCGAGCTCCCTGAGGAGCAGGATGAGGATGGCGAGGGACTCGATGGACGGAATGACAAGAAAACGAAGAAGGACGAAGGAATGGATACGAACGACGAGAATCACTATGACACCAACAAAGTGAACACCGCGACCGATGAGCCCACCCAGGGTGAGAAGCCGGAGCAAGGGCACGAGGTTACACAGACAGAGGGAGAGAAGAACGAAGAACATCACGATCGGAGCCCACTGCAGAAGTCGCCTCTACTCACATCTCACCGTTTATCAACATCCTCATCGCTCGATGAGGTGAACCTGATGAATAGCAAGGAAGACGAGCCGACAGACAAGGCACAGAGCCCACGGGACAAAACAGAACCGCCTCCATTGCCCCCTAAGGACGATGCTGCCACTCCGACAAGCGCAGGTCTCATGGGCCTGTCGGGTAGCCTTCCCTCAGTCCCATGGGCGGCTCCTCCTGTGAACAAGAACCCACCTAACCCGCCACCAGCCCCTGCTCGAAAGCCCAGTGGCCCCTTTGCGTGGTTCTCTCGAAGCTCAACATCCAACGCGAAGGACATCAAATCCCCAACCAACTCTGCCAGCCGACGAAACACTGCCACCTCCGTATCGACCCTTGCCAGCAACCTAGACCAGATCGCTCGTGATGGCGACGACCTCTCGAGCATCGGCTCAAAGAAGCCGAGACGCAATAGCCTGAAGGATCAGTTCAAGATGCTGCGCCTGCGAGAGGAGAGCCATGCGCTAGAGGTCGATCAAACGAGCGTGCGATCCGGCCAGGCCAGTATCAGCCAGTCTGGAGCTAGTCCCCCTATCATCCCAGAGGAAGGAGAGGAGGGTATCTTGGCAGCAGGAGTCACATCACCTTCGGCGACCGTCGCTCCTGGGAGAACGGGCTCCGTAGCTGATGCTTCCACACCGGTGGACTGGGAGATGTGGCAGCACCTTGTGAACAACGGACCTCAGGCCTTGGCAAGCTCAGAGGAACTGAATGCCGCCATCAAGCGAGGTATTCCTCAGACGATCCGAGGAGTGATTTGGCAGATCTTGGCGGACTGCCAAACTGCTGATATGGAGGACACATACCGAGAACTTGTGGCGCGTGGCACAGCACAAGAAAAAGATGGACGAACAGTAAATGGCACCGAAACTACGTCGTCGCGCTCTTCAGTTCACTCCCACCAATCAGGTTCCGGATCACGGTCTAGCAGCGCTGCCCCTAGTCCGTCTTATGAAGGAGAGACAGATAAGCTGTGCAAGGAACATGTCTCCAATGACGCCGACCGTGCGAAGAAAGCAAAGACAGACGCCATTGCGCTGCAAAAATTGGAGAAGGTCATCAGGCGAGACCTGGGTGCTCGCACTAGCTATGCAAAATATTTTGTTTCCCAGGGCAGCCAAGAAGGCCTCTTCGGGCTGTGTAAGGCATACGCCTTGTACGATCCGGGAGTTGGTTATGCGCAAGGCATGAACTTTATTGCTATGCCATTGCTGTTCAACGTGAGTATACGCCCAACTAAGCTGACTGAGCCCGTAGGCTAACGTTTTACGCAGATGGACGAAGTCGATGCTTTCACCATGATGGTAAAGCTGATGAATAAGTACTCTCTACGCGATATGTTTATTCAGGATATGCCTGGGCTTCACCGTAGCCTCTACCAATTCGAGCGACTTCTAGAGGATCTCGAGCCCGCTCTCTACTGCCATCTCCGGCGCCGTGGAGTTCCTCCCCAGCTCTACGCCACCCAATGGTTCTTGACTCTGTTTGCCTACCGTTTCCCGCTGCAACTGGTGCTTCGCATCTACGACCTGATCTTCGAGGAGGGGCTAGAGACCACCATCCTCAAATTCGGCGTTGCGATTATGCGACGGAATGCAGCTGCGCTGCTTGAAATGAAAGACATGAGCGTGCTTACTACTTTTTTGAAAGAGCGTTTGTTTGACGCCTACATCGACAAGCAGCCATCTACTTCGTCAATCCTTGAGTCTGGCTTCTTCGGAAGCTCCGGTGCCTCCGATAAGGAGATCTACCGATCCGATATTATGGTGCAGGACGCCTGCGCCATTCCTCTCACGTCCGAGATGCTTGCCACATACACCACCGAGTGGGAGGAAAAGACCCGAACAGAGAAAGAACGCGAAGCCGAGCTGGAACACTTGCGGCACACTGTAAGCACGCAGGGCGCACGTGTCCGGCTTCTCGAGGAACGTGCCGAAGCATCAGACAAGGAGCATGTGCAATTAGCGTCTGAGCTGGTGCACGTAAAGGTCGATAATGAAGAGCTGCGTGACATAAACGACGCGCTGCAGCTTCAGGTTGCCGAACTCAAGAACGTGGTCGACAAGCAGCCCGCCGAAGTGGAAGAGAAGCTCCGTAAAGAAATGGAACGGATCATGACGCGGAATATGGAGGTGCAAAACGAGAACCGTGCGATGGAAGAATCAATGTCCGAGATGGAGAAGGAATTGGTCGCCACCAAAATGAAGTGGGCAGAGGTAAGATATTTCCTTCGATATTCGTGGGAGGCCAAAGCTAACGAACTGAAAACAGATTTCTGAGAACCATGAGACTCTCCGCCAGAAATGGAGCGACCTTCGTCGTGCCCTCGACTGAATCACGTTCCTTCTATCACAACTCCTCTCCACCCCTGATAACAATATCCAGCTCTGTATATTTGGAATGCACAGATGAGATAGCGAGGATCTGTGATCACGTCTCTATGCGCATTTGCACCATGCCTCTGGGCTGACTCATTTGCTTTTCCTCTTGCCGTTGCTTTCCCCCGTTTTGAGCCAATGTTATGATATGCGCCTTTTATGACCCCTTGGTATTTCCCTGTTCAAGCTCTCAGCATGCCATTTTTGGAAGGCATCGGTGTTTTACCTGTTGAATTATCTTTGCTTTAGTGTGTATGTCTATCTCCGATCCTCGGGCAGGCCGTACTAGACGTATGCAAATGTACATCATGGACTTTTCTTTTATCTGCATGTATCAGTCCTACATCTTAGCTCTCTATATTAATACATGCACAAATCCAATCTCTCCAATTCTCAAATCTATAGAATATTCTCAAAGTAACTCGTCAACACCTCCTCCTTAACAGGCCCGGCAACAGACTTGAGAAGCTTATGCGCCTCACATTCGCTATCATAGTATTTCATATCCTCCATCGAAGCAAAAGTAGTCTTGACAGACAAGTTGTATCCCTTATTGCGAGGATCAGGGAACGAAGCGCCAACAGCAGCTGCGAGGATGTAGGGTTTGCCGTCCTAGAATACCCGTTAATAACCGTCTTCCGAACCATTCCCTCTCCGTAGTACAACATTGTACAAGCCAACACGGATTGGAAAGGGCTGTGTAAGAGACAATCTCACCTTTGTAGCAGTCTTCGCAAGAACCTTGTACTGTTCCAGTACGCGGTCACGATCCGCCTCGTTGGGGATCTTGAAGAGGGTGATTCGCTCAATTGGGGCCATTGTTTCTTTGAGTGTGTTTCTTTGGTGTGATGTGAAATCAGGATCGGGGTTCTCGGGGGATTTATATAGGTTTATATAGACTTATACGGCCCCTTATAGTTACGGCCCCCGTCTATGGCGGGGTTCATGGTTAATAATCTTAAAATGATCCTGATACTTCCGGATGGCAGTGTCGGAGTTGATTTCAAATGAGGGATTTTTTTTTTCAAATGGGCTAATACTGATGTTGACCTTTGTTTTCTAGTTCTATACTTGTTATATCTAACTATATCTGTGTCTTCAATTGAGGGTTACTTTGTGAATGGGCGGAACGGCGGTGCCTGGATAGCGCACGATTTCCGCACGGGTATTTGGTGTGCGGAATGGGATATTGAAGGATACTCGTATTTACACCGAAGAATTAATTAGGAATTATGAGATTCATTAGAGTCAGTCATTTCATGCTCTATGAATTACAAATTCCCACGTAGAGCCTGTTCCCTCTCAAAAGCCTCGAACAAACTCTTGAAATTCCCAGCCCCAAACCCATCAAACGAATTCCGCTGTATGACCTCTATAAACACCGTTGGCCTATCCCCGACATGTTTGGAGAAGATCTGAAGCAGGTATCCACGCTCGTCGAAATCAACCAAGATATTCAACCGTTCGAGCATGTCAACATCGGCCCCAAGTGTCCAGGACACTTGTGTCAGCCGCTTCCGCAGATCCGCGTAGTATGTAGCGGGTACACTGAGGAATTGGACACCGCGCGCGTGAAGCCCAGTTACGGCAGCGATGATGTCGTGCGTGCGGAAGGCTATGTGCTGTACTCCGGCGCCGTGGTAGTAGTCGACGAATCTAGGAGGGTTAGAAGGACTGATATGTGAGTGTACCGGGGCGAGTTACGTACTCTTCAATTTGTGATTTCTTCTTGCCAGTGGCGGGCTCGTTCATAGGCATTTTGATAGTTTCATTTGGTGAAGCGATGACAATTGATCGCATCGCCGAGTACTCGCTGCACATATCTTTGTCGTCCACCGTCCAGTAGCGATGGAAATCGAGGCATTCCTCGTAACTAAAGCGCAGTTGTTAGAGAGACGATTCCAACAACATTGATTATACTCACTATTTGACAATAGTGTCCACTCCTCCCCAAGATTGATTCCCGACACAGTGGTCAATCTCGAGAATGTTGATGGGTGGCAGAAGCTGTGTGATCGGATCTTCACTATCGAGCACTCGATACCCAGGCAAAAAGGGAGCATCTGCCGAATACTTCTCACGATTCACCAGAGAATGTACGGTATCCCCGTACGTCCCTATAGTCGCCGAGACGATCCATCCATGTCCTTCAGCAGTAGATGTCCGCGGCTCAGTGATGGCGCGAGCACCGTTCCCTACAGCTCGTGTCCACACATCTTGTATATCGCCCGCAATCCGGAACGCGACATCCTTCACACCGTCGCCGTGTGTGGTCAAGTGTTTATGGATCTCGGCCAGCGTCGACCGCTCATGATCAGGAGCCTGGCGCAATATATTGTCTTCTGAGCCTTCGATCGGCGGACCGCAGACTGGCCCCGTGAGAACAAATGTAGCGCCGCTGTTGGCCACAACATAGCTCACAATATAGGGTGATCCGGTTTCTGGGCCGCGGTATGCAATGGGGCGGAAGCCCATGCGAGTGGTCCAGTACGAAGCGGCTTGTTTGGGGTTGCCGACATACCAATGGATATGATCGAAGCCGACATATTCGGGTCCCATCTTTGCGGGAAAGATATCTTCATTTTTTGTGATCGTCATGGTTGTTGATGGTGGATGCGCTGGTATCGGTGCAGGTTTGGACCGAAAAGCATATCATCCGTCCGGCAGCCGTCGCTGCCGGTATAAATTGTATTCAAATTATTTATGAATGATTTCGAAGACAGCTGGGCCAGGGTTGAGGGGGAAAATAGAATGGCTGGTGAAGGGATCCCTGTCCAAATGCGTCACATTCCAAGCCCGCATCTCCGGATCAATAGAGCGCGGGGGATGGGGCTATCTAGATAACCTTACATGAGGCAATACTGAAGTCATCCATGCAAAATGATTCCATATCCTTCCTGGATATTCTGCTGTCTGTGCCACCTGCTGGCCTTCTGGTAAAACAGAGCTTTGTCCTTTGGTGAACCTTGGTAGGTTCGAATTCAGGCCTGTATACCCAACAGAAGCTCAATTGAGGTGTTTGCACAACCAAGAACATCAAATGTAGCGAGAAAGCCGCTGTTCTCCGTAGCAAAGCGCGAGGCGATGTTCAGGGGCTGGCCATGCGTGTCATAACCTCCGATCCAGTCCTGCGGCTCCAGTATATGTTGTACATAATAGATACCAACCCCAGATCCCATCTCGCGAGTTCATCCAATTCCAAAAGAAAACCAACCCTCCAACTCGGACCAATCAAACATTAGTCACGGGCTCCGGTCGACTCTTGAAGAAGATCTTGTAGCGCACAATATCCACCACCTCCAGTTCCTCACCCTCCGACTCCTGGCGTTTCTGTAGCACAGCAATTGGGCGCGGCAGCTTCTTGACCTCCCCAGTCATTCGCTGATACCGGCCGACATACATGTATGCGCGCTTCATCCATTTTGTGTCGTCTGGGTTGTGGACCGAGTAATCTGGGAACATGAGTTTTCCGATCGGAGTTTCGAATGTAGAAGCTGGATTTTCCGTAGAGGTAGAGTAGTCTATGTCATCCTCTTCGTTCCCTGAGGGAATATTGATTGTTCCCTGAAGCTCGAGAAGGGCTAGGCCCGAGGGTGTTTGAAGGAGGGTTGGGAGGGGATTATTCGGTGTTAACGTAGTTGCAGTGGCTTTTGCCTGACTTGAGCAGTGTGGCTGTAGCTTTATGGAGGGCATGATGTTCAATGGAGTTGAAGGAGGAAAACGCGAAAGCGGCACGCGTTTGGTTATTTCCCCACACTTCTTATCGCGAGAAATTGGAATTAGCGAACGAATATTGTTATAATTTGTAGAATTGATGGAACTAAAAAGGTACATTGTTTTTGATACATTCATTCTCAATAGTCCATTATGTTCTGCCTTATACAGTGTAGGGCTAACAATGTAGATTTGCTACATTGGACCTAAGGGCTGGTCAACATGAGTTTTGGCGTAGAGGCATTTTGCCAAGGATATGGTCCAGATTTGGACTTTCATAGAAATGTAATGGATGGCATTTCCAGAACAATTTTCGGTTCGCAAAGAGCAGCTACTGGCTTGGTTGACCTTGCAGTATAGCCCTGGAGAAAGTGCCGACACCACAGAAACAACGCGTTGAAGATTAGAGCGTAGAGCTCAATACCTGCGCAAGCTGCCAGACAACTTTTTAAAGCTGGAAATCAGGGTTTAGACTTAAAGGCGCCCGTGACATTTTGCCTTCTGTCTGCATTCAACAGGTCAGCTAAAAGCTTTCAATTATCAGAATCAACCACGTACCAATAGTTCAGGGGTAGTTACTCGACACTTGCATGGTAAGGGGAACAATGCATGAGCCAGAACCATACCTCTCAAGAAGTGCTCTTATAACAAACATCTTCGAGGTTCTGCAGGCCCTTGATTGCCTCACCAGCCACATCTTCAGCAGTCCCAGCGGGACCCTGTAATTTTCCGTAACGGAGATCGCTCATATCACCCACAGTCGTATTGAGTTGAGCCAAAATCTTTGCAGCCTCTTGATCGATACCAGCAATTTCATGTTCAATATTAGCGCTGGCCGCCTCCATTTCAGCCAGGAGACTAGCCACCGAGTGATAGTCTCCTGGTAGGGTAGGTGGCTGGCCGAACAGATGAAGATCCATGTCCATCTCGCGCTGCTCAGAATTGGAGGCTTCGACTCCAGTGGCTTGAATGGCTTTTCGGAGCTCTGCTCTCTGTTTTTCACCTTGCTTAATCTCATTGTCGATGCTTTCATTGACTCGGTCCATGTCCTGTTCTCTGACCTGCTGCAGCTCCCGATACAAAGTCCTGATGTGTGGATGGGTTCTCAAGCGCTTTGGGAAGAGCTCTGTGAACTTCTGCAGTGACATGACTGTTGGCAGTGAGGCTGGAGAAAGCAGGAAATTGCTTAAGATTGACTCTTCTGAGGGGGCCATGATGGGTGTGTAGTGTGTAGTGTGTAGTATAGGGAGTACAATGTTTTCGATTGTTCCGTTTGACGCGAACCAAATTTGATAATATTCACGTGAACAAAAAACAATATGAAGAATTGGAATGAATAGAATTGGAATTGATGAATAGTGTAGAAAATAGATGAATAGATGAATAGATGAATAGTTGTATAAATATGAATGGAAATAAGATGCCGCCTAATTCTTTCCAAGGGGCCACTCATATCTTCGCTTGATTTCCTCCTTCTCCTTTGCACTCCACATCTACATCTCGACATCTCCAGTACTTCACCCTCTTTTTTCTCTCTAAAAGCTTCATATTTTCTATGAATATCCCTGAGCTGGTCTCTCTGATCTAATATTGTGGATTCCGTCTACCTTGATCAAATTTGCTATTATCAAAAACGTCGTGTACTGCCTTTGTGCATCTTTCTCTCCTGTCTTTGCTGAAGACTGCATCTATTTGCAGTATTACAGTCTATCGGAGTCGTTGAAGCCTTCTAAGCTTCTTCTGATCGTTGTGGCTGTTACCGCCTGTATCACTCCCACCGGGCTTTTTCCCGTGAAGACAGGAAACATCTTCCAGACTCTACACCTTTGAGCTTGAAGGTCTGCAATCCGCCATACCAACTTCAAATACGCACATCTTCTACCATTCTCCGACAAAAATGGCTCCTATTTCTATGTATAGCAAGGATGAGAAGGTCCTTTGCTTCCACCATGAGATCCTTTACGATGCCAAGATCCTGGATGTTCGCCATAAGGATTCAAATGACAAGAAGAGCCCCTTTGAATACCAAGTCCACTATAAGGGCTGGAAGAATACGTAAGTCTGGCTTGTTCCATTTCCCTGTTTACACCCTGGCTGTGGCGTTGAGATTGTTATTGTCCCCTCCAAAGTTTGCCGGGCCATTACGGAAGACTTGAACTTGATCTATGCACTCTATGTTATGAAAAAAAATGCCTCTTGCTTTTTACCGTGCATGTTTCTACAAAAATATCCATATTCAAGACCAATTTTATGGAACATTTTGCTAACATTTGAACAGCTGGGATGACTGGGTCCTGGAGGATCGTCTTCGCAAGCACACAGAAGACAACCGTGAGTTGGCTAACAATCTGCGTCGCGAAGCTGAAGCTTCATTCCGTCTGAAGAACACCAAAGTCACTGCTAAGAAGCGTGCCGGTTCCGACCGTGACTCTGTGCGGGACAGCGAGGAGCGCGGCGCCTCCGTGCCCGGCCGTGGCACAAAGCGAGCGCGCGATAGTGAAATCGAAAAGGTATTCAATTACCACATCAAACTCCTAATTTTGATATGGAACCCTCAAACCCAAGAAAAATACAGAGTAATTATAATTTTTGACACGCATACTAACAAATCGCACAGGAGGAGAGCTTCCACATGCGCCCCTCAGTCCGCATCCTCATGCCAGACAATTTGAAGTCCCTGCTCGTCGATGACTGGGAACAGGTAACCAAGAATCAGTGCGTTGTCTCTCTACCAGCAAAGTACCCAGTCCGCCAAATCTTGCAAGATTGGCACGAGGAAGAACTTCCAAAGCGGTCCGGCTCATCAGCAGACGAGGACGTGCTGGAGGAAGTCGTTGCCGGGATCCAGGAGTACTTCGATAAGTGTCTGGACAAGATTCTTCTCTACCGCCATGAGCGCCCCCAGTACCGTGGGCTGCGTAAGAAGTTCGAGGCCGCCACCGGGGAGCTGGCTGATAAGGGCCCCATCGACGTCTACGGAGCGGAGCACCTGATCCGCTTGTTCAGTATGTAATCCCGTCTCGCTTCACCTCACTACTGGTTCACCTGTGAGGGCTGAGAATTGTGCTAATAATTTCATTTATATAGGCACCATGCCTGAGTTGATTGCTCAGACTAACATGGATATGCAGGCTACGAACCGCCTGCGCGAGGAGATCTCGAAGCTGTCTATGTGGCTGAGCAAGAACTCTGAGAAGTACTTCGCAACCAGCTACCTTCCGGCGGAGAGCACTCACTGAGTGCGGCAAGTTCTTTGGGGGTAGGGTAATGGGGGTGGGGGAGGGTTCTGTCTCTTTTTTGCTTGTTTGTGTTGGGTGAGGATAGCCATCCAACAGCAACTTGCTTTTTTTTTTTTTAAATTTAGATTCAAGAAGCGCGGGCCTGGAATACAAAATACATTGTCTAGCTATGGTTCAATCTCCAAGAAGATGTAGAATATTCTAGGTTCTCGTGGGATTGCAAAGCCACAATCTGTACTGGCAGTAGAGATCAATCCCTGATTACTTGGTTATCATGGACGTAAGGCAACAATAGGTTAACACCGAGAAGGAGAAAATGTGAATTCTCAACTGGACATCCCAATAGAAAACTCAATGATATCACCTCTACTACCTAGTGATCCACCCCCACAGCACCACAAACATATTGAATCCAGATCAAGATCCAACCAAGATACATAAGAAAATGTAAAAAAATGGAAGAAAACACCCCAAAGCACGACACCTAAGCAACCAGTTGCCTAGCATCATCAACAGCACACCGCGCCGCACGCTTCAACTCACTCTTCCACTCCGCTTCACGCCATTTAGTCCAAGCGCTCAAGCCCTCAGGCGGCTGAATACTCAGCGTATCATAGCCCTGCTTAATGATACGGTGCACCTCGCGCGGAGAGAGGTTCTTCTTCTTGATGGACGGCAACGCCACCGGCGCAGGCTCATCTGCTTTAGGACTAGCAGCAGCAGCAGCAGCGGCGGCGGCGGCGGCGGCGTCCGCGCCCTCCGAATGGAAGAGGAGGGTGTAGAAGTGAGTAGACACGGATTGAAGGGTGTCGATGGCGGCTGAATGCAGTTCATTTTGGGAGGTTGGGTCATTTGCTTTGGAGGCTGAGGCACCCACTGCGGTATTGGAGCGGGACAATGCATATGCATCGCGGAATTTGGAGATAATGGGGCCTGTTTCAACGAGCTTGTAGAAAAGGTCGTCGTAGGAAGCTGGATCTGGGAGGAAGGTGTCACCGCCTGAGACGCAGAATGCGATTAGGTCTGCGAGGGAGGTTGTGAGGGTTTGGATCTTGGGGTTGCTGGTTAGATCGGAGGCGTATGTTGTTAGGAAGCGCATGAGGGAGAGCAGAGTCCGCCAGAGCTCGGACCAGTGGTAGGTGAGGCGGATCTTGTTCTTTGAGAGGTAGGTTAGGAGACGGAGAGTGATTGCGATTGTGTGGCTGGGGAAATTGTTAGTTAGGTTAATTGATACCATGGATGTCTGTTTCATACCTGTAGATGTTGACGTCAAGGCGTCTGCGAAGGTTATGCGTAATAGTATCGATGGCGATATCAAAGATGACGGTTGCGAGGACCCGGTCTCCGCTGACTAGGGGAAGGTAGGGCTGTTTCTGTCGACAGATGCGGACCTTTCGCTTGTTATCTTCGCTGCAAATGTGCTTGCAGATGGTCGGGTCTTCCACCAGAATGCGAAGTGTGAACAGGTTTAGTTCGGCATAGTGCCCGACCCGCGGAGACCGATATGCATGTTGGAGAAGATAGGAGGACAATGAGAGGAAGCTCGAGAAGGGAGATTCTTCATCTTTGCTCTCTGGTTCCAAATGAACCAGGTGATAGCCAAAGAGTTTGTTGGCATTTGTGAAGTCGTATGTGGCCATTAGGACAGCGGCTTCTTGTGCTGGGCTGCCAAGTTATAAGTTTCGAATCAATGGATTATCGGCGCAGAGAACTTACAGATCAGCGAACAGGGCCTTTGCTTCTTCTGCCGAAGGAGGGTTCACTTTATCCCTGGCGCCAGGAGCGAGCACTCGTAGTCCAAAGAAAATCAATGTGTTGGTCAAGCTCCAGCCTTCTGGGATATCATCCTGGACAGCAATGTAGCCGTTTCGCAGGCGATTGCAGGCCAGACCGACACCCTTGGCAACTTTTTTAATATTTGACTCATTCACAAAATCATCAAGACGAAGCTGGTAGGGATTTTGGAATTCAAACTTGTTGTAGTTGGCCAATAACCCCAAAAGAAGAAATGGATCGAACACTTGTAGCGGGGTATCAGAGTCAGAAACATACTGTTAACAACTGTCAGTTATTTTCATAAATGGAAGCGATATTAGTGAATAAAACCTTCATAAGTGATGGGAAAAGATCCCTGTGTGTAAGGTAGGACACCAGGCTAGTTTTGTATGCGCCGCTGGTCATGGCAATGGCCGTCTTGATAGCCTTGAGCCGCACATCGACTAAAAAAATCATCAACTGCCATGATCTCAGTTAAGAGCAGAACATACGAAGACTTACAGCTACTGCCATTGCGAATGATTCTGTCCAAGACGGCCACGAAGTCGGCAATAACATGGTCCACTTCGTCGAGTCCTGCAAGAACAGTGATGACATCAGAGCTTGGATTTGTATATTTCTTGCTTAGAATGCTCGTCAAGAAAACAGTTAATGTCTGCGCAACGAGGTTAGAGAATATGCACTAGACATTGATCACGGAGTTCTTACATCTAGTGCATAAGAAGCCGACGGGGCGACCCCGGCTGCTGCTTCACGAATGGCACGGACAAAGAAACGCCGAGTTTGGATCTAAAGATTACATCAGCTGTTTTGGTTTATTTTTTTGGGATGCGATCTGTATTATAGCTTACCTGTAGACCAATTGTCTCGTCTGGGCTCAACTGGTCTAGGATAGCATGCAGTTGGCTCCGGTCTGGAGGTAGCAAAAAGAGTTCTCTCCAAAAGCCCTCGGAGGGGTCAGCATCATCTGCTGTCTATTAGAAGTATGTTAGCAATATCACACAAAGCCATGTTTTCTGTCCGTACTTTGAAAAGATTCTCATATAGCTGGACAATCTTAGGTTTGAATGACTCGGGTCTACTCTGCTGGGTGAGGGGTGAGGCTTCCATGATATTAGACAGGATGATCTGCGACGGTCAGATCGCCAGCATTGGAACCCAAAGAGTAAGGTTAATTTAAAGTCGAGTTGATTCAATTACTTTGAGGTTCATGAAAAAGGGACACCAGCCACTTTGTCAGCCGATCCAGCCACATGTCCTTTTACACTTATTTGTTTACACAGGAATTTTTGTTTCAAAAAGATGAACAATGTTCAATATATTTATATATTGAACTAGTAGATCTATACAATTCATTTACATTTTGATACTATTCCCCGCCACTTAACTGCATTTGGAGAGTGACATCCTTCATGAGGGGTGAGGTTTCTCCGAAGAACGGAATTCTCCTGAGCTGACTCAGCCTCCGAGAAACGCCCGTCAATGGTCATTGAAATCAGATTAGGTCTGGGTTGTGATTATTTTATCTAGGTAATTTGACTAAATGGGGCAAATATCAATCAGCTGGTCTCTCTTAGCCCCTTTAATTACGAAATAAGGCCAAAGAGCCTCCCGAGGCCGAGGAATGGCGCCACTGTAAACTGCTATGTGTAGAAATCCCTTGATGCTGATTGGTTAGATCTGCGTCATGCAACTGCATTACATAATACACATCCGGGGCCACGGGGATTCCTCAAAACAGTCAGAGATTCTTCTTCTCAACTTTATTAATCCTCCATTCAACCATCTTTCTTGCACAAAATCCTATGAGGCAATAGCAATTTTTCGTCAAGTCTCACTTCAATTTTACTCTGATTACTCTTCGACCATGAGTTTCTGTACCGCCATGCAACGTCCTGTGACATCATCCGCCACGCTGCTCCGATGGGCAAAGCCCTCGGCAGTCTGTCTGCGTACTTTCTCATCATATGGAAACGCTCACCTATCTTCCAAGCGGGATATGCAAACCGCAACCGCCTACCGTCCTCATTCATTCCCATCCTCTTTCCCGCCTCCCCGAAGCACCGGCGGCGCCGACACTTCTATCTCAGCTGAATTCCCTCCTTCCGACATGAAATCCTACCAGAGCACATCACAAGGCACATTGTCCAATGTGAGCCTACGGGAAGGCGAAGCGCAAAAGTCGAAGCCAACTTCCACTTCTCCGGCCGCCTCTAAGACTTCCCCGAAGCCTCGTCGACCACTTCGGGCAAGAAAGGCAGCTATGAAATTGTCTCCAGTAGCCACCGAACAGCTTCGGAAATTGATGGCGCAGCCCGAGCCGAAGTTCATTCGAGTGGGTGTCAAGAACCGTGGCTGCTCTGGCCTCGCCTATCACCTGGAGTACGTGGAGAAGCCAGGAAAATTTGATGAGGTAGTCGAGCAGGATGGCGTGAAGGTCTTGATCGACAGCAAGGCCCTGTTCAGTATTATCGGCAGTGAAATGGACTGGCAAGAGGATAAGTTGAGCAGACGATTTGTTTTCCGCAACCCCAACATCAGTATGTAGTCCCTACAAAAATTGCAATATCTTATTAGGTTCGGTTTACTGACTCATGATTACAGAGGAAGAATGTGGCTGCGGTGAATCTTTCATGGTTTAAGCACACAGCTTAAGCATTCCTTTTTATGTGTTTCTTATATGGGACCTCTCGGCGTCTTTTTTCTCGGTGCATCGGACGGCGTTTTCAAAGGGGGTTTTGGGATTCCACGACTACCCTTTTGTTTGAGTACATACGCTTGATATCCAGTTGATACCTTTTACACATTTTTCCTTCTTTCGGCATTTTTCTACTGGTCACTATGTACTCCTGTGGGTTACGGGCCATGTCAAGAGACAGGCTAGAGGCTCAGCCAATGAACAGTTTTTTTTCCCTTTCTTCTTCTGCAGAGAGATGATTTCGGGCTCTTGCAAGATCAACCGTGTGATATCTTTTTTTATAGATTAGTCCAAAGGGCATTGATGACATGTGACATACCTCCAAAAAATCACAAATCCTTACCATAAATACTGCTTTCTCGATGACATATCTTTCTTCCTTTATACAGCATTCTCAAGGCTACATAAAAGTGTTAAAATACATGTAGTTATGTACACTTAGTGTCTAGGCCATGTCACCTGACGGGATATGGTCCCAGGCCCCGGAATGGGGTAAGCGCATCTCCAACTTGAAACCACCAGCTATTGCTTGTACAGAGCCCTCAATTCGTTCCGCATGAAAGCACAATATTAATTTCTACCTAAAACATGGCCTCACCTTCCCTCTCTCCATACGCAGTAGGCGAATCAGACACCGACCCGCTCCTCATCACCGTCCGCTTCTCCGCCTCAATCCCCGACCTCCAACTAGACGTCCCAGACCCCGGGATCATAACAGGCGCAGGCCTAAAGCAATTAATCCGAGCTGAACTCCCCAAACCCCTATCATCCAATCGACTACGCCTCATCTACGCCGGCCGCGGTCTTGAAGACACGGCGGCATTAACAGCCTCACTAAAGCTCCCGTCATCACCAAGCCGGAGCCCTCGCCCCGCACCAGACCAAGCCGAGACCCCAGGCGAAAATGGCAAGGGCAAGCAGCCGGTACACGATACCCGCCCACGTCTCTATATCCACTGTTCGATTGGTGACATCTCACTCTCAAAACACGACCTAGACAACGAAGCAAGCGTAGCATCAACAGTCCTCCTACAGCAGAAGCAGCAGCAAGCCAAAGCGGACAAGAAATCCCCCGCCAAAGATGCTTCATCTCTACCCCCAACATCTGCGCAACTGCGCCCCGTCTCCCAAACCCGGCCCCAGTCAACGACTACCACACCGGCACCCCGCGGCTTCGACCGCCTCCTCTCGGCGGGATTCACGGCCAGTGAGGTTGCCGCTCTACGCTCCCAGTTTCTGGCCGTGCAATCTGTTTCCCGGACGCCGGATACTATGCCTACTGGTGACCAGCTGCGGGATCTTGAGGATCGGTGGATGGATGAGGGGTCGACGGCGGCGCAGGTGCAGGGTGGCCTTGGTGAGGGTCTTGGGGATGATGAGGGCGGGATTGGACCTGGGTCGCGCGGGGCGATGGACGATATGCTTTGGGGAGCTGTTATGGGGTTCTTTTGGCCTATTGGTTGTGCGATGTGGTTGCGCAGAGAGGAGGGGGTTTGGAGTTGGAGACAGGGGGTTGCTGTTTGCGTGGGTGTTATCGTTAATGCTTCTTTTGGAGCGATGAGGATTATGAACTGAGCGTGTTGAGATATATGTGTTCCTTTATTTGGTTATTTGGCGTTATGAGATACCCCCAATTGAAGCTATTTGATCCTTTTCGATAAAGACTTGGGACTTATTCGGGCTGTTAACCGTCGTATTAGAGACCGGGATTGCTTGGACCGGATAATTGGGTCTAGCTATATCAAGACTCGCCGGATGCTATCATACATAATGGCAAAAAACGTGTGCGAGGAAAGGATGGCCTTGCTAGTGTAGACGTAAGAGCAGAAAAGGACATGAAAGATGAGACCGCATATACAAACGCCAGCGTGAAATCAAAGCGCTAATGGAACTTGCTGAAAATAACTGCGAAAATCAAAAGAACCAGAACTGTAATGATAGCAATGGTGATTATCCGATTGGTAGCCATCCTAAACAGCGAGGAGAGGTCAGTAATCACATCTAGATCAAAACCAGAACGAGACAAAGGGGAGTCAGTACCTACGGGCCATGCCCCTCAAAGTCTTGATACTAGTATCAACGTAACCCTCACTCTGCTGCAAGTTATTCCGAGCATTCGAGATCTGCTCCCTCTGCTCATACAGAGTGCCGAGTGTGCCGCGAGCAATATCCTCCGTCTCCAGCGCCATGCGCTGGCTCTGCTGCAGCCGCGCTGAGCTGCGCTCTAGCCGGTCCGTACCGGAAAGCAACTGCTGTCTTTGTTCGAGGTGCTCATCCTGCGGCTCGTCGGTGTATCGGTCGCCGAAGAGCGCTTGCCGGTCATCCGAGAAGGACTTAAGCTTGCGCTTGACCTCGTCGATATCGGTTGAGTAGTTGCGGAAGCGGATGTTGACTTTTGACCGGGTTGCTGAGGGGATGTTCTGCTTCTCCATGCGCATTTGATCGAGCTAGATGCGGGTTGACTGGGTTAGTTTTCTTGTTCTTATGGTTGTTCGTCATTCTCGCATTGTGGCGCATGATAACGAGTCGAGGGGCTCAGTGAACTCACTAGTTCTGTTGCTTCTTCGAGGACATGTGTTGCGTTGGCGATAGCTGATTTCCGTTGCTCGCCGCTTGCCTCGGCGATTTGGTCCAGCTTTTGGTTCAGATCAGCTTGCACCAGCTTCAACTCGTTCTCGTAGCTGGCGAACATCTCCGAGCCGGCGTCTGCGTTCAATGCGTTTGACATGGTGATTGTATGATATGTGTTCTAGCTTAAGTGGAAGTGAAGATCTGGTGTCTGCAATGGTGGTTGATGTGTTGATGTAGGCTCCACCTTTATCTGGGGCGGGTGACGCTGTTCAATAATGCTGAGTGGCGGTCTGGTCAGCGGATCTCGTTAGGGCGGGCTTCGCTTTGCGAACGATGTAGACTTGCTTTATCAGGTTTTAGAGAGCAAAAAAAGAAAGAAAATATGTAGTTAGAATAACCAAAGATGCTGATAGGACTGACAAAGGTTGGAACAGGAACGGGTGACGCTGAGACACACGTGATTTATCTAAGTCGGGGTTGCATTTGCGATATGCCGATGACATCTACACACTGCTTAAAATCTACGACCATTGGTCTTCTAGATATTGCAATAAGTTTGAAAATAAAATTTGATACATAGCATTAGCGTAACACCAGGCCCACACAAAACAATTCGCCTTTTCAATAAACATCCAAGATACCCCTTTGGTATACAAGATCATGGAACTTTAGCCTCACAGCCACTTATTGTAGGAAATTCTTGCTATCCTGATCAACAATGATTGCACTGCGCTTGGCATCTAGGAAGAGGTCCTCGCACTCAGCAATATCAGCCTCCTCGATTGCGCCGGGGCGGCCATTGACACGCGAGAGAATGCTTGCGGGGGTCAACAGCTGGAGGGCGTACCGCAAGCTGACCTTGCTGCCATGCTCAGCGACCTTGTTCAAGGCAGGTTCTGTGATATTGAGGCCTTCAATCTTGGCGCGCAGGCGGATAATAGTCTTGATTTCCTCAGGGGCGTAGGGGTTGGTGGGGATAATAAGAAGGCGGGCAAGCAGATCAGGGGGGATACCATGTGCGGCACTGATCTCGTGGGTGCCGCGGATAACAGTGTGACCACGGTTGGAGGCGAGGATGACGATCGGGGAGATGGTCGATTCGAGGGCACGGTTCAGATATGTGAAGCACTCAATGTCGAGCATGTGTACCTAGATAAGAAACTGGGTTAGAAACGCGATCCAATAAAGCAGAAGAATAGGCTTCTCCACATACCTCATCGATGAAGAGAACACCGGGAACCAACTCCGCAACACCCTGGTCAATGTACCGGTTGACAACCTTGTTGATTTCCTGGCGCAGCTTGTCCGTGATTTCCGTCTTCTTGGGCTTCATCAGCTGGCCCATCATGCTCATCACATCCTGTCCGCCCTGAGGCCGAGCATTGGCCATATCCAGGTCGTGAAGCGTCACATCCTGAACAATCTCCTTCTTCTTGTGAACCTCTCCCTTAGGGACAGGCACATACTCCTCAGCCTCGAGATCGAATTCGGTCGCATAGGCATCGGATCGTCCGACTCGCTTGCATGAGCCGGTGTTGGCTTCAATGTAGATGACATCTCCGACTGTGACACGCTCCTTCTGGATGGCTTCGTAGATGCTGGGGTCCAGGCGCAGCTTCTTGGAGCCCTTAGCAGACTTCAATCCGATGATCAAATGGCTAATCGTGCGCCCGTATCCGCCCAGTGGGTTCTCAGCCTCCTCGGGAGTAAGCTCTGTCACCTCTCCCTCATAAACTTCCTTTGTTTCGCGAACGCGGAGACCTGTCATACGTTAGCTTGGGTTCCCACTTGTTGGGTATTCCCTGATGGCGCATTCATACCAATAGCTCTCCGGAAATTCTCCATCAATGCTTCGGTCTTCTTCACCTCCGCAGAGTAGATTTCGCTGCCAACAATTGGGCAGAAAGGAACCTTGGTTCCCAGCTCCTGTGATACAGCAAGGGCCAGAGCAGTCTTTCCAGTACCAGGGCCACCAGCAAGCAGGACAGCTCGTCCAGCCATCTTCTTTGACTTAATCAAGTCCACCACGACACCACATGCCTACCCAATGGTTTGAACCGTTAGTTATCGCTATTGCAAACTAGACACCCTGGTAGATTCAGCGTTGCTCTCCACTCACCTCGCGGGCAGCTCCTTGTCCCACAAATCCATCCGCATTGTTCTCTGGAGTTCCATCAGAGCGCAAGCCTAGACCCCGAATGTGTGTGTGCGCTGCGGTTCTGTTCTCGCGCGAGTTGCCCTTCACTTCGCTGATCTGGACCATGTTTGGAAGAGGTGTGGCCGAGTAGAGCCACAGGTATTGATGAAATACGAGTCAATCAGTCAAGAAGTGGGAGTTAAGAACAAATCAAAGCTTCAAAGAAATATCCTAGATAGAAAGGAAAGGTAACGCGATGGTTCTCTGTGAGATATGCTTCTGGCCGAAATTCGCGAGCTAGGGATCGTCAAATGAGAACGCCTCCCCCAGGGCGGTGAACTGCCCCAAATTCTTCCCCTGCTGAACCTCACCTCCGCCTGTTGTCTATTAGCGACTTCCTGGCTCTTTGCATTCTCGACAATTTGCGAGGGTCCGATACCTGTCGTACACAATGGCAGGCTTACACACAAGATCTGCAATGGCTGCCCCCTTCTCTTTGGCCGCGGCCTTCCGCAGCCTTTCTATTGCACCGAAGCGATCCTTCTCAACAACGCCGGCAACGCAATCGGTTCCGAAACTACCGGACACTGCTCCAGTCTACCCCTACGGACCGTCCAAGTGGTATAAGCAGGCCGACTCCGGTCTCTACGGAGGCGCTTCGATCCGATTCGGCAACAAGATCTCCAAGGGACGCAACGCAGGCAAGACACGACGAAGCTGGAAGCCCAATGTGCGCCGAAAGAAGATCGAGAGTGAGGCTCTTGGCGAGTCGGTCTTTATCAAGGTCACTCGTCGTGCCTTGCGATCAATCTACAAGGCCGGCGGCCTAGACAACTATTTGCTGTCTGATCGGCCCACACGCCTCAAGGAGCTTGGTCCTTTCGGATGGAATCTTCGACACCAGATTATGCAGACACCAAAGATCAAGGACGAATTTGAATCTCAGCGCAAGGCCTACGGTATTCCTGAGCCCCCGTCATTGAGCAAATGGATGAGGGACCACAGGCTGGAAATCAGAAACAAAATCGACAACCTAGACATTGACGCATTGACCAAGCCTCGCAAAGGTTCGCGACGCACCCAGTCTTATGCTCGGTAGAGCCTTGGACGACCTTGCGTGCCGAGGGGAATGAACGGGCGCTTGTATCACTATCCTGAAGAGCGATGGACGGGTTTTGGGCATCATCGGAATTTGTGCCATCTTTGTACGCTATCTCGTTTCTCATGGCGGAAATGATGTCCCACAGCTTTCCAATTTGGGTGCGATTTCTTTTTTCAATTTGCATATTGGGTCTTCTGTGTACTTATATACTCCAATCTTACTTTGTGTTCCTTATCAAAATGTTTCATTCATCTCCTTTTTTACGCAAAGTCTATGACAAGTATGTATAAAAAGAGTATAGCACCCCACTGTAATCAAAATTCCGCCGAGCCAAATAGGAGTGGAAACATGAGCGTCTCGTCAATCCCGTATGCGCTGCCAATCTCATTATCAAGTGGAGAAAAAGCCTGGGCACCCCTGCCAGCCATCGACCCAGGATGCGTTGGTTCACGGAAAAACGGACACTCCTCGGAGCACATGTGACTACTCAAACCCCCAAGCATAGTTTGGTCATGCAATGCTGGCAGTTGGTGGTGGAATTCCTCATTTTGACTCCTAGGGAAATCCTCCGTAGTCATCTCGCGTATCATACGCAAAACACCCCGATGCATGATGATCGATGTGAGCAAAGGCATCCGGGATTGAATGTAGGAAGCAGACTCCGCTGAGATATGCCTCGGTGACGTGTCGTCCTCTACAATACCGTAGAGTGGAACTTCTTTGGCTAGAACATCGAAGACGTCGCGTAAAGGTTCAGCTTCAACCCATCGCTCAGCGAGTATGGCTAGCGCAGTTGAGCAGGCGCGTAATGCTTCTGGAACTTCTCTTGACCGGTAGGCGACGGTTTGATGTCGGGGTGGAGTTGCCCAGAAGCAGTATAGAAGGGTGATACCTACAGCAACTTGACTCAAGAGCTGATTACCGGACTTAGTTAGTTGATGGGAAGAAAGAATAGAGGATTTCGAGCACATACTCCAGGCCATAGTTGTGCTGTCTGTCGGTCTTTTTGAAAAGTTCTGAATGTCATAGCAATCTGAACACAGGCTGGGATTGATCGGTCCCCAAAGCCATTACAGACGTTTTCTTTTGTCGGCTGGTGTAATAAGAGGATCGTGTAGTTGTAAGCCATGCCAACCCATCGATCGCTTGTGTAGCTTTTGGAGGCAACATCGCTCAATAGACGTAACTGCGACCTCCAGGAATCTAACTCGGCCAACATGTGTTCTCTCCATGTCGTTGAAGCATCGATTTCTTTGAAATCAGATCGCAGCATGGTGCTTATGATCCGGGATTGTATGCGTCTGCATCGGAATAGGTGAAGGGCTGGTGAGACATGTGTTTTCTGCGGTAGTGTTTCTACTCGAATGCGACTACCATCTGATCCTTCATGCTGAAGGTCCGCGTCTCCGACGTTTGAAAAAAGCTACCATTGTCAGTGCCTTCAACGTCTTTTCCAGGTACATATACAAATTTCAGGTTATTGAGAAATGACTTACCTCCACGCTAATGTGTTCATCAATGATATTATTGGGGATGTGGTAAATCCAACTGACAAATCGATCCAAAGCATAAGCAGACCAAAATACTCGGCGGCGGGTTTGGATCTCCAGTGAAAACGCGGGATTTGGCACCACCGGCTCACTCTCAGCTAAATGAAGTTCGGCCAGAACACAATATCTCATCATCGCAGAGACAATAGTTACAATCATATGCGATGATGGCGAATGAAGTGCATGCAGGGTCAGAAGCAGATATGCCTGGGCATGTAGAACAGAGTCGGGCTGCGCAAAAACGTGGGTAAGATATTGCATGGCAGTGTTATACAAAGACTAAGCTGTTAGCTTTCCCTTTTGTCGTAGATGTAGTATTCAAAAATCGCTTACTTGAGAAGTAGCAATGTCATCGACCGAGACTCGGGGTGTTAAAAGTAGGGCAACAGCATGCACCTGAAATGTATAGAAAGTCAGTGTCAATTCGAAATAACCAGTGTTTTATGCATACCATGGTCACAAAATAATCCTTCCATAGAGACTGGTGATGTCTGGCCCTATCCATCTGCGAATGAGCCTTCCATGATTCATACCAACCGAGGAAAGTAGCGAGATGGAGAAATGGATATCGTGGATTAACTCGTTCCAGGTATATTTGCACCAAGCGATCAGATACCTCATTTGACAGCCGAGGGACATGATCTGCCTGTGATACCTGATTTGTGGACTGTGAGAAAACGTGGGCATTTCGGCTTTCAGCCTGTGCTTGAGATAATCCAGAGGAATTGGTGCTTGTGAGAGTAGCTAGAATGCCAATCAACAGGCTGGAGTGTCCACATTGGCCATGAAGATCTGGCAAGCCCTCCACTGCACGGGGGAGTGGCAAGGCTAATGATGGGGAACTAGCCGGGTATTGCAGAGGAGCAGAGGATTGTTCTGTCTGTGCATCTGAAAAAGCTCTGGTTTGGGGTACATTGCGAGGGTATGGTGGCCTTGACGCAAGATAAGTCTGAGAAAAATGGTCCGCTTCATTGCCTCTTTGATGCGGAGATTCCTGCCTAGCTGTCTTCCGGCTGGGATCCCCTAGTCCCTCCTGCGGAATTTGAGACTCGAGGTCTACAATTCTTTCTTCGAGGGCTCGGGTGTATCTATAAAAGCAGTTAGTATGGTACTTGTGACGGTTGACTCGACCTACTCGGTACTGACACGGGCCTTTCGGCTCACCGGCTCACTTGAGATACATTCTATAGGCAATTAGACAAAATTAACTTTTTATCGGTGCCATTATATATTTGCCTTCATTCGCTGCTGTGCAATTATCACATGGTCTGCTTCCTGTACACTGCCTTTGGTTGGTCTTTCTGCAATTCAACGCTGTGATAGAGTACACTCACCTTTTGCTTCCGTAATCGGCACCGCCGACAAGCCAGTGATCTCTGTCTCTTTCTAAGTGGGGGTAGGCTATTCCTTTCCATTCGGACTCGGCATTTGGTGGCTCACTGGATGTTTCGGACTGAGATGTCCGATGAGTTCCATTTTCGGCGTCATTGATCCACGTGACTAAGTATTCACCAGAACTTTGGAAGGATAAAGACTGAAAGACTTAGTTATTTTGTCTTGAACTTCATTTAAGTGCTTATATCAAGTGTGCTTTTAGATATAATAGACCAATAAGATCCAAGGCTAAGTCAATCTATTGGTGAAATTGCCATGCAGCCTCATCGGTATGTCAAAGTCCGACGGACATTACAGCCTCCGAAAAGAGTCCGAACTGAGTGCTTTAGATGCTCAGAGGGGTAACTATTTATTCTGACTCATTCCAACCTTCGCTTTGGAAATATCCCACTACAACAAAGAAAGCTACAATATAATGCCTCAGAAAATCACTGTTGCTGTGGCGCAAGCCCGCACTCTCTCTACACTTGAGTTGACTCTTGCTGCTCTCAAGCAAACCACTCAACATGCAGCTTCAAAGGGTGTCCATCTTCTGCTCTTTCCAGAAGCTTACCTAGGTGGTTATCCTCGCACCTGTGACTTTGGAACTGTTTTTGGGGCGCGTGAACCATATGGCCGAGATCAATTTCTTGAATACTTCCGTGCTGCGGTCGATCTAGGCGATACACCCGCTGGAGGGGGAGATGACTGGGTCAAGCGCAAGCTCCCAGTAGCTCAAGGTCGAGACCACCGTGGTGATGGGACAAGAGAGTTCCTTGAGCGGCTGTCCCGAGAAACGGGTGTCTTTATTGCAACTGGGTTAATTGAAAAAGCCGGGGGGAGCTTGTACTGCTCCGCGCTGTATGTTGACCCACTGCGGGGTGTTCTGGGGAAAAGACGAAAGGTCATGCCTGTAAGTACATGGTCATTTATTTTTTGCTGCAAACCGTAGCGGATTTGACTTAGCGTCGAATGCAGCGGGATTGGATCAATGCTGACCTGAAATTGTTGAAAAAGACTGGCTCAGAACGCCTTGTATGGGCCCAGGGCTCTCCTTCTACCCTCAAAGCTATCACTACGGAGCTCAATGGAGTCAAGCTTACTATTGCCGCCGCTATCTGCTGGGAAAGCTTCATGCCTTTACTTCGTCAAAGTCTTTACTCGCAAAATGTGAACATCTACCTCGCACCCACAGCTGACAGCCGTGACACTTGGTTGCCTCTCATGCGCACTATTGGCGGCGAAGGTCGCACTTTCGTGCTATCTTGCAACCAGTGCGTGCGCTACAATGAACTACCGTCCTGGATAACTGAGCAGAGTAAGACTACAGAAGGTACGTCGTATATGGCCACCCTCGGCTTGGTTACATGTTCAAATGACTCATCATTCTTAGAAACTCCAGACCGCTATATCTCGCGTGGTGGCTCCTGCATAGTCGGACCTTTTGGTGAAGTTGTGGCTGAGCCTATCTGGGAAGTCTCTACTGATGATGCAGCTGATGGCTCAAGCATCGAAAATGGGCTTGTGATCTCTGATATCGACTTAGAGGACTGTGAGCGAGGTCGACTTGATATGGATGTTGCAGGAAGTTATTCAAGAGATGCATTCCGATTGACGGTTGATGGGTTGGACTTGAACCCTCCTCCATTCTAGAGAGCAAGTAAAAAGCAATGCGATGATAGTAACCCTCATAATATTGCGAAGACATTCGAATATATTTGCAATGCATCTCAATACAAATATAAAAATTTAACATATATTTTCATTCATCCTACCTAAACATCAATGTTTGAAAGAATAAAGGTCAAAAGTGTGAGAGAAGGGCGACATAAGCTGGTGTGTTCAGCCCTGGAGTTATGCTAGGGCTGATCTATAAAATATATCAGCCAACATCATTTTCCTTATCTTCGTTTTTTTTTTCACAATTATTGTGCAATAAAATTATTATATTATTGAACCAATTAAGAGAGAATATATATCTTATACCTTACTAATTCCAATCCAAATATACATTTATGGATGTAAATTCCCACTGGATGCGGTTTGTCCAAGCCCTGGAATGTAAAAGGTGGGCCGGATTCGGACGCCACACATCTCGGGATCTTCGCACCCGCGTCGATCTTCAAGTCTCTTACTTCTAGCCTTCAACTCTTCGACTTTGCCCTTATTATGATCTGATTCAAACAGAATTACTGTCCCTTGTATAACATCACATAGGGACACATACACCCGCCTTCATGCAGTTCGCGTTACCTCCGCGGCGGAGCCCGCATACTGTACCTTTCTCCCGTTCCCCTCGAATGTCATCCTACCGCAGGAAACAACTAAAGTCGATCGCCGTCCTAGCATTCGCAATATCATCCCTTATTTATCTCATCCACTACCTTTACTCCTCATCTTCTACATCTATTGTGGCCCCGGTGGGGACTTCTGGTGTGGTAATCGTCACACTGCTAGACCGTCAACGGTTCAGCGAGAGCTATCTCAAAAAGATTATTGCAAACCGGGAGGACTATGCCAAGCGTCATGGTAAGAAAACCCTATATGAAATAGTGTGGAGGGGGCTTCCTTCCCAGTGGACTTGATCTAACCTTCACGGGTGACAGGCTACACCAACTTCTTCGCAAGTGTGTCGGATTATGACGATGCCGTTGGCGACGCCCCAATGACCTGGGCTGTTGCACCGGCCACCCGCCATGCCATGGCTACGCATCCTCGCTCGGCATATTTCTTCCATCTCGCCACTAATGCTTTGATCATGAACCCTACCAAACCCCTCAAGTCTCACATTCTGGAGAAGGGCCGTCTTGAAGACTTGATGATGAGGGATGTGCCCATTGTGCCGCCCGATAGTATAATAAGAACGTTCGCCAATCAGAAGGAAGCGGACGTGGAACTTATCCTCACTCAAGACAGCGAAGATTTGAACCCCGGGAGCTTCATTTTGAAGAATGGCGAGTTCGCCCGTTTCTTCCTGGACGTCTGGTTTGATCCGCTTTTCCGCAACTACAACTTTGCTAAGGCGGAAACCCATGGACTGGTAAGATAGATCCTTTATTCTATTACTCTATCTTTATGTAGATAGAGCTTCGAGAGTCTTGATACTGACAGAAATTTTGTTAGGATCACATCATGCAGTGGCACCCAACTGTCCTTGCTCGAACTGCCTTGGTCCCCCAGCGCATTCTGAGCTCATATAGCAGTGACTCGCCGGGTGCTGCTTTAGATGGGACCTATAAGGATGGTGACTTCGTGATCCAATTTCATGGGTGCGATGATACAAAGGGCCGGGACTGTGCCCGGGAACTAGAGTCATACTATAAGCTATGGGAGAAGAAGGCACAGAGTGATTAGACCGCATGAGGCTGAAGAACCTTGTTTTTGAGGTGACTTGCATTTAGAAGTTCACTGTTTCCACGTGAGGGAATGGCGTTTTGCTTGGGATTGTTCTTCTGTTTATGCGTACATTCTTAGGGTTGGTCGGAGTGTGGAGACTTCAACATATGGCGTATTCTTGCTTTCAAATTGGCGTGCATACATAGCTGCAAAAGGAACACGATACTCATTCATTTTTTCTATGTCCAATACCAAAATAATACATCGCCTCATGATATCAGTAATTAGCGCACACTATCACGACAACTAGGGTTGATCGATAAGCTGCTTGGGGCTCCTTTCGAGCTCCCAACAAAGGCAATTTGTTGCCTTGCAATAGTTTTCTTCCTCTTCTCCACTCATTCAATCACTCAGCCCATTGGCATAGCAGATGAGATTGCCAAATACCAGCCTGGACTTGACCATTCTGCCAACTTCTTAGGCAAGGCCAGGGAAGATGACAGAGCGCTTCTTCTTGTACTTGTCACCGAACTCCTTGCGGTAGCGCTTCTCTTTCTTCCAAGCCCAGCTCCACATCTGCAACCCACCAACAGCAACGAAGAGCAACACACTCCAGTTCAACTGGCTGACAAGGAAAATACCCAACCAAGCCAGGATCTCAAAGAAGTAGTTAGGGCAGGTAACGGCACTGAAGCCGAATCCAGACGGAATGCCTCGCTCAGTAGTACCAGGTCGACGAAGATTACGCAGGATGTAGTGCGCATTTAGGTTCGCCAGCTCACCGAAGACAAAGAGCGCAAGTCCGGCGTACACAAGAGCCTGGTTGGGGGTGCTGGTGGCGGCTTTCGCGTCCGGGCGGAACACCCAGTAGGCGATGTTGAAACCAGCCAGAATCCAGTAGTGGGCGCTGTTCTTGACGATGTTGCGGGCGGGCATGGTGGCGCTGCTGAAACGGTGCACAAAGATTGTCTCGAACTCGCGCTTCAGGAAGTGCACGGTCAGGAGCGCGCAGACTAGGAGCTGGAGGTCTGAGGGCACGGGGAGGGGCTTGTCGAAGGTGAAGTACAGGAAGGGTCGGAGTGGGAAGAGGAAGAGCGCGGGGATCAGGAGTGGACCGAGGTATTCGATAATGAAGACGGTACGCCAGGCGATTTGGGGGCCTGTTGGGTTGAAGAACTATATGTTAATTTCTGTGGTTCGATAGGCAGACTGCGCATCCTAGGGGTTGGATTCGCATGGCTTATGGTATTGAGTATAGACACGCACCGAGATCCTTGACGTAGATAACGCTTGAGTTGCGCATGCCGGTGTCCTCAATGGTCGTGTTGATCGAGTTCGGCACCACGCTGTGGTCACTACCCTTGGTGATTCTCATCCGGTGGGTTGAGCAGCCGGATACTGCGGACAGCGCAGTGTGCAATTCTTCAGTGGAGGCATTGAGAGGAATCTCAATTTCCTTGGGGAGCTTCCGGATGGGCTTGCCTGCTTTTTGATTAGCGATGCGATGCTTTCAGGCTACTCTCGCTGTCTTGTTGAGAGCTTTGGGCAAACGATAGCTATGTATGCATACCCCTTGGCTGAACGACGAGCGTGATTTTCTCAGCCGCCATGATTATGATAACTTAGCTCAAGTAGAGATAATGCTGCAATGATGGAGCTTATTTGAAATCAAGAGAACTTGAAATTGCGACTCACTAAAAACAGTGCAGTCCCAACAATCTACAATTGGGGCCTCGGTTGACGTCACGTGTTGACACCTAAGGCCAAATATCCAAAATCCAATGTTTGGAATGTTTGGGCTTTCCTGGGATGGCCTTCCAAGGCTCCCTTGGCAGCTGAGAACAAGGGTATGTCGCTTTCACTGTGTTTTCTTATTTTTTTTATGAGAATCATACAATCTTTGCATCTTGGCAATTGAGCGTGTGGCTATGTCTGTCGCTCCGGATGATTTTGGTCTTCCTCACATCACCTTAGAAATTGGACTGGCCTGTCCGCCAATGGCATATTCTGCTCAATGCGGTATCTCGGCCACCTTGAATGCCATTGTCTACTGGGACAAAACAAAGGTTATATACCCTCCCCAGTCATCTGGGCTGTCAGCTGGAACGACCCGTCCCCGAAGCTAAAGTGAGACGCATTACAGTGGGGCACAAAAACTGCAAGGCAGTGCTGGGGTTTGTGGAAGCTGAGAGAAACAAGCTACTATAATATTTAATGGCAACGTCAAATCAGAATCGAATGATATCGCCCCGTCTTGCCCTGGTGGTCTCAGCTCCATCTTGCATTAGTCTGGCCAAACGGCATTGCCAATCAACGCCTCAACCGGGACAAACCTAAGAAGTCCATTTGGAGTCTCTAGGTACCTGCCATTGTTACATTTATTTCTCAGTAAGAAAATAATATCTTGCAGAGCCTGAGTTGCAGATCCTCGGACCCATTTGGCCGTTGTCATTGCCCCATTTAGGCCACATCTGTCCAAACTACGGAGTGCTAAAGTAAGCTATTGCATGTGCTAATATAGCTCGTGTCTATTAGTTTAGCTAGGCATTCGTATTCCGGATCATCCGTCACGGTTCATCCAATAAGTGGTTAGACAAAAATCCCATAAGACTTGACAGGGGGAGAATCATGCACGAATCAGAGATATTTGATTGTTCATAGCAGTGCCCAGGTGGGGCATTCTTCCTCTCCCACCTTGCACTAAGTAATTGTCAATGGAGGCGCGGCTGAATCTCCTAGGATGTGCGCATTCAGCCGTACGCTTTGCTCGGCTGATGGGTCTCGGCTTACTCCGTGATTCCCATTATAATAATATCCTATCCCATTTCCGCCGAACTGGTCGCCTGATGGTTCACTTCTTCTTTTCTTAAATACCTGTGATTGTCTCTTTTACTGCATCTCTATATACATACATGCTTGCGACTCTGAGTTGCTAAGTTGTCCACCTTACATAGTATTATCTCGATACTTTACCCTGACTAATTGTCTTGACATATACGGTAAGCTACTAATCGATACATTATAATTCTTCTTCTTCTTCTTTTTCTTGTTCGACTTCTACCTTGAACCATTTGGCCCCGGCTCAGGGTTTTCGTAAACCCCTTAGTCGCAAAATACCACCCCGCTGTTATCTTATGGCACTGAGACTAACAGATCACAGTTCACACCTAAATTTCTTATATACTATTCCATTGTATTATATCATCTCCATCCACCATGGCTGAGGACGAGTCCAATTCCAGCAGCATGATTGCTCAGATCGAGAAAGTTGTGACTGCAGCCTTGCGGCCCTTGCCCACCGAAACTGGCGATGGTAGCTATGTACAAAAGCCAACTGTGACGGGCCTTGCTAAGGACCTGCTCAATTTTGACCTGGAAGATGCCAAAACTTTGGCGGAGGTTGTCAAAAGTGCCGTGACTGGTGAGGCAGTTAATGACAGAGACTATGTCATGGAGCGCGTGGTTCAGGTTTGTGTTTCCGCGAGGAATTGGCTCTATTCCCGCTCTAACTTCTCTACAGCTTGCTGCTGGCTTGCCTTCGACATCTCGAAATGGCAAGCAGGTGACCAATACCTTCCTAGGCCAATTGTGGGGGGATTTGGAGCACCCGCCTGCCTCGTGAGTCATGCAATGCGCTATTCCAAGGCTAATTTGTATGCGAAATGTCCAACAACTGACTGGTGATGTAGCTATCTTGGACGCGATGCCGCATACCGGAAGGCTGATGGATCGGGAAACGTAGGAATTGTCCCCCTGTTGGTTGAAGATCTCTGCTAAACAGCCATAGAACCCTTACTGGCCCCAAATTGGTGCTGCTAACACTCCATATGCACGGTCCGTTCGACCTAAGACTATGCAGCCTGCTGCTCTTCCAGAGCCAGAGGCTCTTTTCGATAGTCTCTTGGCCCGGAAGGATTTCAAGGAACACCCAAACAAGATTTCTAGCGTGCTATTTTATCTTGCCTCTATTATCATTCACGGTAGGCTGGCTGATTTGACATCTGCGATGAGAGACAGCAGTATCACTGAGACTAACATTTCTCAGACTTGTTCCAGACGGATCCTAGGGACCATACAAAATCTTTGACCTCCTCATACTTGGACTTGTCTCCGCTTTATGGTAACAACCAGAAAGAACAGGATACAATCAGAACATTCAAGGATGGAAAGTTGAAGCCTGACAGCTTCTCCACCAAGCGGGTTTTGGGATTCCCCCCGGGCGTTGGTGTCCTTCTCATCATGTTCAATCGTTTCCACAACTCGGTTGTCACCCAACTGGCAGCTATCAATGAAGGTGGCCGTTTCACAAAGCCGGATGAGTCAAATGCTCAAGCTTATGCCACATGGGATAACGATCTCTTCCAAACCGCAAGACTGGTTACTTGTGGTCTTTATGTTAACATCATTCTGAAGGATTATGTTCGAACTATTCTCAACGTCAACCGAACTGACAGTGTGTGGAGTTTGGATCCCCGTGCGGAGATGAAGGATAGCTTGCTTGGCGAGGCAGCTGCCCAGGCTACCGGAAACCAAGTATCTGCCGAGTTCAATCTTGTTTATCGCTGGCATTCTTGTGTCTCGGCTCGGGACGACGAATGGTCGAAGGATCTGTATAAAGAACTATTTGATGGGCAGGACCCGAAGCAGATTAGCATGCAGCAATTTACGGGTGGTCTTCGCCAATGGGAATCAAAACTCCCAGCAGATCCCCAAGAACGCCCTTTCGCCAAATTGCAACGACAAGCAGATGGGAAATTTGACGATAATGATTTGGTCAAGATCTTCGAAGAGAGTGTTGAGGATCCTGCCGGAGCGTTCGGTGCTTTGAATGTGCCAGAAGTCTTCAGAAGCATCGAGGTTCTTGGCATCAAGCAGGCACGCTCTTGGAATTTGGCAACTTTGAATGAATTCCGTCAGTACTTTGGTTTGGCTTCTTATCAAACCTTTGAAGAGATCAACCCAGACCCATACATCGCGGATCAGCTTAAGCATTTTTATGACCACCCCGATCTTGTTGA